CCCCCCCCCCCCCCCCCCCCCCCCCCCCCCCCCCCCCCCCCCCCCCCCCCCCCCCCCCCCCCCCCCCCCCCCCACCACAAGCTACTCTGAACGAATGAAATGGGCTACTGGGAACAGGGGTATACAAAACCAGGGGCGCATCTTCCGTTGATCTTGCGTGGATAGGAACTGGACTGAAAGAATGGCATGGGAAGCGTCGTCATCGCTTGTGTAATCTTTTGTTCTTGCTATTTTGTCCCTAGTTGTTACAAGCTGAGGTCTTGAACCATGATCGTCACGCATGCGTACAAAGCAGATCGTCTGCGGATCGTGAATTCACCTGTCTGTCTCTCTCCTTATAACAGCAAAGACGTAGTAGACAAAGAGTGCCCCTCTGTACAGCAAGATAGACACTAGACAAGTACCCTTTGATTTTCTTTCCCCGAGCGCCCCAAACGCCAATGCCATGGTGTGAACATGCAAGAATTTCCCTGTCAAAGTTCCTCTTCCGCTCCCTCATTTTTTCCGTCCACCACCCAGACTGCCCTCGAAGCCAGGCCGCCCGCCCTTCTTCTTACCACCACCGCCGCCAGCACCACCCTTCTTCTTCTTACCCGCCTTGCCCAGCACCTTGTCCTCTTTTCGTTGCCGGATGTTGTCCTCTCGTTTCTTCTGACGCTCCCGCTGCGCGTGCTCGACACCCCGTTGCCTCTCCTTCCACGCCTTCTCGCTCTTGCGCTTGGCCGTCTCCTTGCGCTTGACGGCCTTTTTGAGGGTGCCCTCATCGTCGCGGATCTTCTCGCCCTCGGCGCGGCGACGCGCTGTCAACCAGGCCTCCTTCTCCGAAATGTCCTTTTGCTTCTCGGCGTCCATGGCGGCGAGGCGCTGCTTCTGCGATTGCACCTTGAGAAGCGCTGTCTTGGGGTCAGACGGGCCCTTCTTCTTGCCGTTGGACAGGACGTGGGATAGGTCCCGCGACAGCTGGCTCCCGTCGCCAAAGGCTACGCGGCCAAAGGAGAAGTTGGCGTCGGCGCCGCCGTCGAGCTCCACGGCGGGGCTCATGGCGCTCGGCGAGTTGCTCGCCAGCGCCTCCTCGCGCTTGAGCTGCTCCTCCATGCGTGCCTTGGTCCGCAGCTCCTTTTTGTGTGCTTTGCGGGCCGCCTCCTTGGCGCGGCGGGACTCGATGAGCTCCTGGCGCGTGCGGATGGGCTTGCCGTCCGGGCCGTCGGCCTTGCGGGCGGCGCGGAGGGCTTCGATCTTGGCGGCGAGGCGAGCACGGATGGCGGTCGTGTCGGTGGGAAGTTTGATGTGTTTTGGCTTCTCGGATGGTGGGATGGTGGAGGAGACAGAGGTGGAGGTACTAGGTGCTTGGGCGGCTTCGAAGACGGGGGAATTACTTGATGATGGTGCCGTGTCGTTCTCATCGGCTTGCACAAGGCCGGAAAAGTCGACGGCGGCAGGTGCACCGGCGTCCGAGGCGGCGTCCCCTTCCTCATCCTCCTCCGCCTCCTCGCCCTCACTTTCGGAGGGATCCGCTGGGAGGCTGGTCTGGTCCTCGCTTGGCTTGGCCTTTTGCTGCTTCTTGTCGGCCCTGGGCGTCTTCTCGAGGCTCGGTGCGGAAGGCCCCGCGTCGGCGACGGTAGGATCTGTAGACTCACCCTGTTTCTTCGCCTTCTTCTCCTTCTTCTTCTCCTTCTTGGCGGCGATCTTGGCCTGCTTCTTGGACAGTTTGGAGGTGTCGTCGGCCTTGGGCTCGGCGGCCGGCTTGTCTTCCTCGTCTTCCCTGTCGTCGTTGCCCTGCGCATCCTCTTGCTCGCGCTTCTGCTTCTTGTTGGCTTCGGCCTCTTGCTTCTTCTTCTTGAGGCCCTCGCCGGGCTTCTCGAGCTCGACGCCGTCGGGCACTTCAAAAGCGTCGTCGGCCTCCGCGTCGTCCTCGTCCTCCAGTGCCTCCATGTCGCGCGCCTTGCGCTTGTTTTTCGCCCGCTCCTCCATGATCTCCTGTGCGCTCTTGTTCAGCTCGGCGTCTGGATTCAGCTTTGCCCGCTTGTTGGCCTTGGCCTGGGCCTTGCTCTGCTTCTTGCGCTGCCATTGTTGATCCTGCAACAGCGTTAGCGCGGTGGCTGGGGAGGGCGAGGGTGTCCTCTCGCTGGGCAGGGCAGGGCAACACGTACTGTGCCGTCCTCGCCATAGTACATCTTGGCAGGGATGAGACTCAGGAGGCCTTCAAAGTTGCTCGCGTGAGCACGCAGGCGGTCCTACAGACAGGACCATTGTCAGTACGATGATGGATTGAAGGATTGATTGATTGATCGGTTTTCCAGGTCACCCACCGCCATGTCTGACACGGCGGGGTACCAGATGCTGCTCGGGGGGGGACAAACCTGCGTTGCGTCCTCTCCCCCCATCGTGACGATTTCTATACCGAGCGTGGAAACAAGCAGACTACAGGAAGCGATGAATGCTGCGGGAACCGGGGTGGCTATCGTCGTTGTGGTGAGGCGATCGACAGACAGGCAAAGGTCAAGTCGAAGTGCTGGCCGGGTGAATGCTTCGTCCAGCCTGGGGCAATAATTTTTTTGCATCTGCAGGTGGACGGAGCCGGCATCCGCTAAGAAATGAAAATGTGGGGCATGCATGCGACCTCAACTTCATGAACATTAGTCTACCTTCGTAAATAATCAGAAGAGCACGTTTCCCACGTTTAGCTGAGGTTCCAAGCAAGCGGCTACGTGAACTCGGCGCGTCGGCTCGGTGATTGCGACGCAATATGCACAATGCCCTGTCCCAGCGCAGCGTCGTCAAGACGCGATGAAGACATGGGTGCTTTACACCACGCGTGATTACACTCGCGCTGACGTGACGAGACCAAGATAAAGGCCTACTTCTTGCCCTTCTTCGTAGGACCAGCAGCCGCCTCCCGTCTCGCACGCTCTCGGGCTTCTCTGGCCTCGAGCTCGCTCTTCCTCGCCGCCTCCTTCTCGTCTCTGTCCTCCGTCTCGGCCATCCTCTTCTCCGCCTCGACCGCCCTGCGCTCACGCACCTCCCGCAGACGGGCGAGGTCAGCCTTGGCCTGGTCTGTCTTTCCCGCGGCGTGCAGCTTCATGTACCTCTCCTTGGCGGCGGCCGCCTCATGCGCCTCGCGCTCTTTACGGTTCATGTTCTTGAGACCCTTTGTGATCTTGCCCACACCGGCGTCGCCGTCGTCCTCCTCGTCCGAGTCGGCCACCACGGGCTTGGCAGCCTGCTTGCGCGCCGCTTTGGAGTGGTTCGGGTTGGCGGGCATGTCGTCGTCCTCGTCGCTCTCATCCTCAGAGCTGGAAGGCAGGTCGCCCGGCTGGACGATCTTTGACTTTTGCTTCGCAATGGCGGCGTCCTTGCGGGCTTTCTTCTGGGCCTTGCGGGCCTCGCGCGAAGCCTCGGCGTTGGCTGCATTGGCGTCTTCCTCCTCGGAAGACTCCTCCTCCTCCTCTTCGGAGGACGACTCCTCTTCTGACGATGCATCGTCCTTGTCTTTGCCTTCGGCCCACATGCTCACGGCGTTACCGTCCTTGTCGATAGGCTGCAGATTCCGCGAGAAGTGATGGCCACCTGGGGGCTGTTAGTGATGCGATGCTGGCAGAGACTGCGCAAAGCAGTGTTTGTTTTTACCTCCACGGGTGGGCTTCTTGAACTTGCCGCCGCGGCCGCGGCCGCCTGCGCCTCCAGGAGCCATTGTGATGTAGGTTGTTGACCTGGATTGGGTGCTGAGGATCAGAGGGTCTTGGAAGCTCGCGTTCAGTCCAAGGGTCTTGATGTTTGTAGGGTCTGACTTGGGACGGTTGTGCTTGTTGCAGTGATCGCAGGGGCGGGGTAGCGGGGTAGGTTCTTTCAGTGGTGATGGAATCTGAAACAGCACAATAGGAGGATTGGAGGTGCAAGTAAGGTCTGCTTGGGGAATGGAGCTGGCGAATGCAGCTGAAGTGCTCGCATTGAATGGATGGACAGGTCACCTAGGGCTACGTTTGGGCGCAGACGCAATCAGATTTCACCGTTTGTGAACGAGCGTCCTCCTCTGGCTCTCAACGTAGAGTCACTTCTAAAAATCAAACTGAGCGGCTCATTAATTGCAGCCGTAAGATTGGCTGAATTAGGGGCGATCTAAGGGTCCTACGCGGCGACAATAGCCCAATTCCACCTCAAGTCCAGACATCACAGGCATTCTAGGGTAGCTTGAACTGGCCAAACCGGTGATGACTAAGACCGGAACAACACCGCCCCGCGCCCGCAAACTCACACAAAACTGGCGTTGGAACGCGCGCTTGTGCTGGTTTTCTTCTTCTTCTTCTTCAACCTACTAGAAAGTTTTCAAAACAAATGGAAACCAATCCTTCCTATTCACTCTGTCGTTCATTACTCCATGAAGGAACGGAGGGGAAACGGGAGGAAAGATTAACCTCGCTGACTTACCCTCTGACCTGTGGCACGCCTCGACGGGCGCTGCGTTGGGCTTGGAGAAATTTGGAAGGCGGGACATTCTGAACGTCTTTGTTTCTTGAGATGAGACTGAGATGAGGACGATGATCACAAAGGCCAAGTAAGGCTGCACGTAGTTCTTTTTATTCTTCCGGCTAAGGAGTGGTTACTCTACGCTCAACGTCGATCTGGCGGAGTGAAAACTCCACGGACGTCTGATGCTGCTTCACGTGAGCCGCGTATCATTGTCCTTGTAACGTTCACGCAACGCTCCGAGTCCCGGCAATCTTTGCCCATCACACACCATTCTCAGAGATTACCGTAGGGCGGAAGACACAAGTAATAAGGTGCCTGTCGCCATGCCGTCGCAGTCATGATCACTGCCACCCACTTCTGACCTCACCACGTCACCACGCCTCGAGAGTTCTCCCTTCTTCTACCCCCAATCTCACCACGCTCATGTCCAGCTGTCATCCATTCTTCAAAGAGTCGACCCTTTCACGCTCGCGCCTGCTGCCGCCCCCCTCCAAGTCCACATCATGGCACACGACCTCACGGCGCGCCCACGTGCCGGTGCTCAACCCCCACGGGGCCCGCTCGCTCGTTGACATGCTCATCCCGTTCATCGCCCGCAACGTGGACCTGCTGACGCCCGGCCACATTACCAACCTGGCGCCCCGGCTGCGGTGGAAGATCTGGCGGTTCCTCGAGGCCCGGGGGGCGAGTCTGCACGCGTGGCGCTTGTTCCACCCTGTGCTGCTCCACGACAGTGATGATGACGATGACGGCAACGATGGCGAAGAGGTGGAGGGCAGGACGCTGGGCCTCTGGCGGTTTCGCGGCCACGTCTGCGGACCCGAGGGCGTGCCGCTGAGGACGTTCATGGAGCCGTTGGCGGGTGTTGGGTTCCTGACGCACCTAGTGATCAGCGGCCGGTGCACTTTCACGACGGGCGAGATGCTGCCCCTGGCTAGTATGGCAAACCTCGTCGCGTTGGAGATTATCCAACCGAGCGACCAGGTCCAGCTCGAGTTCCCGCCGATCAACGACATGCTGATCCGGGGCTGGGCGAGTGTCGACGATGCGTTCCCGGCCCTCCGGATCCTGCGCATCTGGGGCGACCCCACGGTCACAAGGCACTCGCTCGCCTGGGTGACACGCTTTCCCTCGCTGGTCTTGTATGACGTCCAGGCCAGCCGTGAAGACTGGTCCCACGCGTCGGCCACGGCGGCAGAACACGGCTGGGATCTCACAAAGGGCCTGGGGGACGGGCTGCACCACTATCTCATGCTCCTCACCGACGAGGCGGCGGCGGCGGCCGAGACACAGCAGAACCGACGAGTGACGAGGAGCATCGACTCGGACCTGACGTCGCTCCTGACGAGTCCCCAGGCATCCATCCGGTTCGTGGCCGAGGGGGACGCGCCCATGCTGGTGGAGTACCTGGCCGACGCGGCGAAGAGCGGCTGGGAGAGCGGCGAGACGGTGGCGTCGAGTGACTGTCACGACTGGCCCTTTGAGGCGTGGGCGTTTTGGCTGATGGCGCTCATGGGCCAGATGTCCGGGCCACGTGGTGGACGGAAAGCTGTCGCCGGCCCCTTTGTGCTGCCCGAGCAGCCCATGGCGAGCGTGTACCTGGGGCACTGCAGCAGGGAGGGCGTCAGCGGTCGGGTGGCGTACGTGAAGAGAGGCTTGTTTGGGGTGAGGCGGTACACGTTTGTCAGGCGGAGCGCGCTGTGCGGGCCTGGGCGGTCCGGGGGCGAGCATGTCCAGCAGCAGCCTCTGCAAGCAGAGAAGAAGACACCAGCAGGGCTACGGCCGCGGAAGAAGCGGCGAATGGACGACATGTTGAGCTCGTTCACGTGAGGGAGATGTCATTGTACTATTGTGTTCAAATGTATATATACTCATCATTCATAACGCCAGAGATGCCTTGACCTTCTTGTTCTTTTCCTTTCCATCCTCTTCCCTACAGCATCGGCTTCAGATCCTCGGCCACCTGAAAGGGCGCCTCGGTCTTGCTCCTGATCTCGTCGACGGTGACGCCGTCGGCAATCTCGACGAGGGTGAGACCCTTGGTAAAGTCCACGTCAAAGACGCCGAGCTCCGTGATGATCCTAGAGACGCAGGCGCGTCCGGTGAGGGGAAAGGCGCACTGCTTCATGATCTTGGGGTTTCCCTTCTTGTCCGTGTGCTCCATGGTGACGACGACCTTTGTGGCGGACGGGTTGGAGACGAGGTCCATGGCGCCGCCAAAGCCCTTGACTTTGCCGGGGAGCATCCAGTTGGCGAGGTCGCCGCCGGCGCTGACCTGCATGGCGCCGAGGATGGTGAGGTTGATGCGGCCGCTGCGGATCATGCCAAAGGACTCCTCGCTGCCAAAGACGGCGGCGCCCGGGTTGAGGGTGACGGTCTCCTTGCCGGCGTTGATGAGGTCGGCGTCCTCGGCGCCGCGCTGGGGGTAGGGACCCAGGCCGAGGATGCCGTTCTCGGACTGCAGCTGGACCTCGACTTCGGGGCCGACGAAGCTGGGCGCGAGCATGGGCATGCCGATGCCGAGGTTGGCGTACATGCCATTCTTGAACTCCTTGGCGGCGCGGCGGACGATGCGCTCGCGCTTGGCGGCGGTGTCGCCGGTGCCGAGGGCGGCCCTGGCGGCCGGGTCGTCCGGGTCGCGGGCGAGGGTGACCTTTTCAATGTTCTTGTCGGCGGTGCTCTGGATGACGCGCTTGACGTAGATGCCGGGCAGGTGGACGGCCTCGGGGGCGATCTCGCCGGGCTCGACAATGTGCTCGGCCTCGACAATGGTCATCTTGGCGTTGCGGCCCATGGCGCCGTTGAAGTTGTTGGCGGCGAGGCGGAACTGGCAGTTGCCGAGCTTGTCGGCCTTGTAGGCCTTGACAAAGGCGTAGTCGCCGGCAATGGCCTCCTCGAGCAGGTAGGGCTTGCCGCGGAAGACCTTGACGTCCTTGGGGTACGAGTAGGTGTCCGGGCTGCCGTCGGCCCTGTTCTTGAGGGGCAGGTCGCCCGTCTGGACAACGGTGCCAAAGGCGGCGGGCGTGTAGAAGGCCGGGACGCCGCGTCCACCGGCGGAGCAGCGCTCGGCGAGGGTGCCCTGCGGGGTGAGCTCGAGCTCGACCTCGCCGGTGAGGTACATTTTCTCAAAGGTCTTGTTCTCGCCAATGTACGAGGCAATCATCTTGCGGATCTGCTTGGTCTTGAGGAGCTTGCCGAGGCCATGGGCGTCGGTGCCGGCGTTATTGGAGACGGCAGTCATGCCCTTGATCTCGGGCTTGAGGAGGAGCTCGTCGATGAGGGTGTCGGGGACGCCGCAGAGGCCAAAGCCACCGCAAAGGAGCGTCGTGTTGGGCTTCATGTCCTTGAGCGCCTCGGTGGCCGAGGGGAAGACCTTGTTGATCTCGCCGCGCGCGAGGGTGGTCGAGAAGGACCGGCACAGCGCGGCGTGGGGCTGGGCTCGGGTCAGTCCAGGTCTTGTCATGGGAAGTGTCTGCTTCGAGGACTCACGTTGCTGGCATTGCGAGCAAAAGCCCGAAGCGTGCGGGCGCGCAGGGCTACCGAGGGCATCGTGGGTGATGCGGCTGTGGTCACTGGTGAGAGAGAGGTGAGGAGTGACGGACGGCACCACGGGCAATGGATCGCTGGAAGAGCAGGCAGAGAGGGTATCACGAGCGAAAGCAAAGAGGACAATGGCCACGAGACGAGCAGTCAGTCTGACCTTGGGGAAGACAGACGGCGGAGGTGGAAAAGGAGAAGAAGAAGGACAAGAAGAAGAAGAAGAGCTTATCCGCCCGTGGGGAAGCTTCACGCGCGTGGATGAGCGTTGGCTCTTATGGGATGTCGAATCCCGCGACTGGCCGTCCGTGCTTCGGGATAATCGTGGAGTGGTCAATAAATTGATTCGTCAATTGATCGATGGTTTCCTCGCGTTGGGATCCGGCATCCAAGGCCGTCGCGTCCCTCCACACGCCATCCAGCATCTTCTCCAAATCACCACGCAGCCATCCATCCTCCACATGCCCGATTCCGCTCTTCGGCATTGGGGTCGACTCGGGAGAATCATTGATGAATGGCTGGATGGATGACGGGGTATTAGCCGCCCCAGCGCAGTCGTCAGCGCGGACCGCCGCGAGTGGGCGGATCCGAGACGGCACCGTCGGAACCGACACTGGTTGCCTATCTGGTTGCTTGTCTGGCTGGCTGGCTGGCTGATCATGTTCACGAGTGGCATCGCATCTCTACTTTCATTCATGGTATTCAAAAGGCGACGGGCGTGAGCAAGGCTGCGCAAGCCAGCAGCAGACTGTGACCATCATATCACCCCAGCAGGACCATCGCCTCTCTGTCGTGACAGTGACAGACGGGTAAGCTGTCTTCCGGCTCGGGACTGGACGACTGACAGTGCGCGCGCTTGTTCCGCGCTCCCCATCAACCACTCACTCCCGCGTCTGTCTGGGAAGATACCTTAGCCGACGCACCAAGACATGAACAAGCAACCAGACCTGGACGTTGACTACGTAGTAAGTCATCACGATGTAGCTATTTGTTGAGGAATGGCCTCGACAAAGGGATTTCTTCAAATGCATGGCCTCTTTTCTATCTCAGCACCCAAGGTCAGGTCAGGTCAGGTCAGGTAGGTATCCGTACATCCATCTGGCTTTGTCTCTCCAGCTGTCGGATATCCACGGCTGTTCAAGGCAGAGCGGCGTCGAGAGCAGCGCCAGGCCAGTGATGCAACAGCCAGCATCCGGCAATCCCTCCATTGAGTAATTATTATTCATCAATTGATAGTTTGACATGTGCCATGTCTGTCTATGTCTGCTGGGGTCCTGGGGAGCATCTCCCAGAGCCTCGTGGACCGCACTGAGCGGGACGCGTGTTCGCGTCACCCTTGGTCGCAAGCGTCGCGTACGACACGAGACATCAGTGACAGCTGCGATAGTCGCAACCAGATCCATCTGAAGCTGTGACTGAATGCCATCAATCACGTACACGTCCTATACAATCATGAGCGACCGTCTTGAGGTGATCGCTGAGGTGCCGCCCCATCTGCCTTATCGTGTCTTATCGTGTCTTATCGTGTGCTATCGTATCCTATCTTATCGCCCGCCGCGATAAGCCTGAAAAAAAGTTGCCCGGCGCTGCCACCACCACAATCAGCACCACCAGCATCAAGCTCGCGATGCTCTCACAATCATAACGCAGCCAGACCAAACGCCCCGCCATGGAGTCCTCCTCAAAACGGCGCAAGCTCAACAATGCGGGCTCTGGACTGAAACACCAGAACCTCATCGACTTTCAGTCCCCCGACGCCACTCGCTTGTCGTCCTCGAGCATCTTCACCCTCCAGACGGACGAGCTGCTCAAGAATGCAAAGGTCGACTACGACAAGGCGCTCAGAGGCGTCGATGCCCAGCTCCACCAGCTCAAGACCATCATCGAGTCTGCCGAGCCTCACGAGCCTATACCGGTACGTGGGATGTCAATCTCCCCCGTCTTCTACACAACGGCTGTGCTAACCTCCCGCCCCCACCCGCCAGATCACCCAGGCTACCGCCACCTTTGAGAAAACCCACCGCATCACGATCCCCTACCCCGAGCCCAGACCCGCCAAGGATGCACCGTACAAGCTGGCCTTTGCGAAGCCGGCCCAGTGCAATGTTGTCGGCAGCTATGTCTTCAGGACAATGACCAGGCACCAGGCCCGGCACTGCGTCGACATGGTCGTGCAGATGCCCCGGTCCCTCTTCCAGGACAAGGATTTTCAGGACATGCGCTACTTCTACCGCCGCGCATACTACATTGCCGTCCTTGCCGCCCAGATCAGGGAGGAGAGCGGGATGAGCGTCGAGTTTGAGTTCCTCCACGACAATCGGCTGCTCCCCGTGCTGCTCCTCCACCCAATGGCCGAGGGCCAGGATCAGGACGGCGCCAGCGCCACCAGGAAGAAGGCCAAGGCCAAGGCCAAGGACTATGCCATTCGTATCGTCCCCTGCGCGCCCGAGGACCTCTTCCCTGCGTCCAAGCTCACGCCCGCATCCGCCTGCAACCGTCAGGCCGACAGCGACGACGCCAAGTCCCCCACCCCCTTTTACAACTCGACCATCAAGGCGGAGAGCACGTACATCTCCTACCTGCGCGTCCTCACAAGGGCAAAGAATGAGTGCGCCGGCTTCGTCGACGCCTGTGTCCTGGGCCGGATCTGGCTCCAGCAGCGCGGTTTCGGCAGCGCCATCGCCCAGGGCGGCTTTGGCCACTTTGAGTGGTCCCTCATGGTCGCCCTCCTCATGCAGTCGGGCGGTCGTAACGGACAGGGATCTCTGTCCACGTCGCTGAGCGCCATGGAGCTCTTCAAGGCGGCCATCCAGTTCCTCTCCGACACAGACTTCAACGGCGCGGGACCCGTCGTCCTCGGCAAGGCGGTAGGCGGCGGCGCACGCGACGCTGGGCCCGCCATGCTCGACCCCAAGACCAGCCTCAACATTCTTCACAAGGCCACGCCGTGGTCGACTGCTCTCCTACGCAGGTACGCCAAGACGACCACGGAGCTGCTGGCGGACGACGCGGCCGACAAGTTTGCGCCCATCTTCATCGTCAAGGCCAACGTCCTCGCGGAGCTCTACGACGCCGTCTTTGAGATTAACAGCGCCGACATTACCAAGAGCGCCTCGTCCGACGACGGCGGCGGCGCCGTGTGGGCCAACAGCCACGACATCTACAAAGTCCTCAGCAAGGCCTACGGCCCACGCGCCGAGCTCGTCCACATCCAGCAGCCCGCCGCCAAGCCCTGGTCACTGGCCTCCAAGGGGTCCAGGCCGCAGCCCACGCTCGTCGTCGGCGTCGTCTTCAACGGGCCCCAGATGGCCGTCCAGCTCGAGAAGGGTCCTCCCGCCGAGGACGCCCGGGACGCCGCGCGCTTCCGCCAGTTCTGGGGCGACAAGGCCGAGCTGCGTCGCTTCCAGGACGGCAGCATCCTCGAGTGCGTCGACTGGTCCGCCCGTCACGCCCTCGGCATCTGCGAGGAGATGACGCGCTACGTCCTCGCCCGCCACGTCAAGCTCTTCGAGGCCGAGATTGCCTTTTACGGCGACGACTTTGTTGGGTCCATTGTCGACTTTGCCCACACCGACAAGGCGGCCTTTGACGCCGTCCGGCGCGCCTTTCTCGCCTTTGAGTCCGACGTCCGCAACCTCGACGACCTGCCCCTGTCCATCCGACAGATCGCCCCCGTCTCCCCCCTGGCCCGCTACACGTCCATCACGCCGCCGCTCATCGGCGCCCACACCGGCCGCCTCGCCCCCGTCGACGTCAACCTCTTCTTTGAGCACTCGACAAAGTGGCCCGAGAACCTCGTCGCCATCCAGGAGGCCAAGATCGAGTTCCTCCTCGACATGGACCGCCGTCTCACTACCGCGCACGACAACATGACCACCCACCTCGGCCGCGACAACCGCGACCTCGGCGACGAGAACCTCGCCTACCTCGACGTCGTCTACGACTCGGGCGCCGCCTTTCGCGTCCGCATCTACTGCGACCTCGAGGGCATTATCCTCGACCAGCAGGTCAAGAGCAAACATCTCGACGCCTACATCCGCAACGCCGCCGACGACGCCCTCGCCCGCTTTCGCTGGCAATTCCACATCCTCCCCTTGCACACCACCGCCCTCGCCACCGCCTGCACCCGCCTCCCCGCCCTCTCGCCCGCCGTCCGCCTCGTCAAGCAGTGGTTCGCCCGCCACAAGCTCGCGAGCCACTTCCCCGACGAACTCATCGAGCTCCTTGTCCTTCACGTCTTCCTCCACGCCTACCCCTGGGCCACACCCTCCTCCGGCACCACGGGCTTCCTCCGCACCCTCGACTTCCTCGCCCGCTGGGACTGGCGCGACGAGCCCCTCATCATCGACACGGCCGGCGACATGGCCACCGACGAACGCGTCGGCATCGCCAAGGACCTCGCCGTCTGGCGCAACCGGGATCCCAACATGAACCACCTCACCCTCTTCGTCGCCACCTCCAGCGACCACTCGGGCGAGGCCTACACCCGCGCCGGGCCCAGTCGTCTCATCGCCTCGCGCATGACCATGCTCGCCAAGGCGGCCTCCAAACTCATCAAGGCAGAGGACTACCGCGTCGACCCGGTCGATCTGTTCGACACCAACCTCCGGGACTACGATGTCCTCTTCCACCTGTCTCCCAAGGCCATCCGGGAGGTGAACCAGGCAGCGCAGCGCTTCTCTTCCTCTGGCGCCACGTCCTCCAGGTTCAAGAACCTCGACGGCGCCACGGGCCAGCAGCCGCTACCTGTGCGCGCAGCCCCCGTGGCCGTCCTCATGGAGGAGTTGCAGCGTGTCTACGAGGGTACGCTCGTCTTCTTCCACGGTGCCACCGCTGCCGGTGCGGAGGACGAGGACGACACCATTATCGGCGCCATCTGGAATCCCAAGCTGAAGAGGACAAAGTTCCGCGCCGGCCTGCCATATAATTTCCACGCTGTCGACGACGACGAGGGCGAGGTGGAGGTCAACAAGCAGGCTGTGCTGTGTGAGATTGCCAGGATAGGCGGCGCTCTGTTCAAGAAGATTGAGGAGGTGGAAGAGGAAGAGGATGAGCAGGATTAGTAGTCATTGGATACCCACACCAAGTTTTTTTAATTCTAAAAAAAAACCAACAATATTCATATAAACAACAAACCCAATCCGATATTCAACCTTTCTGCCCCTGTGAGACGCAAAACATTGAACAATCAAAAAAAAAAAAACGCCGTGCCATGATCAAGAGGCCATCGTCCTCCAGTCCATCTATCATCACTGTCCCTGCCTGCCCTCACCGTCCATCCTTTTTCACCAACTGCTGCGTGGAAAAGGAGCAGTACTTGTCCTTGATGGCGACAACCTCGTACGTACCCTCCTGACTCGCCTTGATGATCTTCTTATGCTCATACGATACGTCATGCCTCGTCTCGAGCACCACACTCCGCTGCCCCTTCCTCGGGTTCGAGCTGCGCGTAAACGTAAACTCAAACGGCGGCGTGCCCCAAAAGTCAAAGTGAATGTCAACCTCGCCGCCCTCGTGAATGTCCACGTGCGACATGCGGCCCTGGCTGATTTGCACGCTGGGCAGCGGGTGGATCGTCTTGGGAATGTGCACCGCCGCCCGGCACTCGGACGCCTTGTCCGAGACACCCGTGATCACAAAGTCGCCTGGCTTCTCGGCCACGCGCCGGAACGACGTCGTCTGCGACTTGGCGTTCCACTTGCCGTTGAACTCGTAGGAAATATCAAACGGCGGTGTGCCTGACAGCGTGTATGCGATGCGCTCGCCCACGCAGTAGTCTTGCCGGGTATCCAGAGGGTAGATGGATGGGGGGTCGTACAGGTGCACCACGACTGAAGGGCTGTTATTCTCGTACTTCTGGCTGCAGCCGTGGCCGTCGCGGACACGACGGATGCGGATCTGCTGGCTGCCCTGGCGGAGGTGCTGCCGCGGGATGGTGATGCCGTGGGTCTTGGTGTTAATCGCCGGCAGGGCAAAAATGTCCGGGGCGGCACCAGCCTGGTGCTTGACCTCCATCTCCACAAAGAAGGGAGGGTGGCCTGCCAGTTTGATCGGAATAGTCTCCTCGTGCTCCTGCTCTTCCGCGCAGAGCTTGAATGTCTGGCCAGGCTTCGCAAAGGTCGCCGTCGGGCGCGCGTTGATGTGCTGCTCGACAATGAGCGGGTTGGGCGACTTGTCATTGTAGTTCTTATCCGCAAGACTGTGGAACTTGTACGTGTAGTCGCCAGCTTTGCCCGTGTCCATGGAGATGGCGGCCTTGCTGAGGGCGGCGTCAAAGTTCTTGCGGCTCATGGAGCTGGATCCGGAGATTGGCTTGTGTCTGATCTCGTAGTCGACGTTGAAGGGAGAGGAGCCTGTCTTTCTGTTAGCCGCTGACTGTGTTCGATGCTGTGCATGAAACTCACCCTGAAGATTTAGCTCGAACCCGTCAATGTCACCCTCACAAATGTCCGCCTTGGTCCAAGTGTTTCCGGCCTTGTAGTTCAGACTGTCGGACCCTACCAGGCTCAGCTGCGGCCGGGGGTACCACTGAATGTCGAACCGCGACGCCGCCGGGTCCACGATACCGGGGCACTGAATATCAGAGACCTCCTGGATCTCCCAGGTCCCGCTTTGCTGCACCAGCAATGCGCCATTGGCGCTCTCGATCCTGTCTCTCACAGGCTCGCTCGAACTGTTGAGGTTGCGGTACTGGACGGTCCAGGGGCCCTCGCCTTGGAGTCGCAGGGGTAGGCGCACGCGTGTGCCCTCAACCTCCATCCGGCTACGCTTGGCATCAACCAGACCGAAGGCTGCGCGCGGCTGCTGCCGGCGGACCAGAACCTTGATTTGCTCCGTGAGGAAGCTGCGGCAGCCACGCACGTCTTGCGTGCTGATGAGCGCAATGTTGTACTCTCCACCTTTCGTGAGAGGCGGCGTCTGGATGGCGAATCTTCTCTGCTGGATGCCATTCAGGCGGTGTGTCTTCCTCTTGCCCTCGTGCTCAATTTCCCATTCCAGCGTGAACGGCGGGTCACCAATGAACTCGACCTCTGTCTCGACTTGGGCATCTAGGCAGACTTGGCGGCTCTTCGTACCCAGGAACCTCGCAGATGCTGCAGGCTTCACCACCTGCTCGATTGTCATTTCCGGTCCTGACAAGGGCTTCCGCACATAGACACCATCATCAATCGACTTGAAAGTGTATGTGTAATGACCTGCGACCTTCGGAACCAGACTCAGCTGCGACCTGACGCCATCAGACCTGTGAGCCTGGGCTTCGGTTTGATGAGTGACTCCATCCTTGTCCGTGTAGGTGTACTCGTAACGGACCAGGAAAGGCGGCGTGCCAAGGAAGTCGAGGTCAACCCGCAAACCGATGGAGTTGCTGGCGCATTTGTCTGCAATCTCTTCGGTACGCAAGGTCAGAGATGGCTCAACTGGGTTCAAAATCAGGCAAGACGACGGTTCCTCGACCTGGCCCTCACACATGCCGCTGGTGACCGATTTGAGGGTGTACAAGCCCGGCTGGTTGACCCTGGGTCTCTCTTTGCTGTTCTTGCCTGTGAAGCTCCCAATGGTGACGAGATCGCCATGGCTTCCGCTGTTGGTCAGGGAGTCGATCGGAGAGAAGGCCCAAGTGACCTCGTGCGACGTATCGGAGACCCCATTCTTCGCCGGTAAGCTGAGCGCGACGGGCAGCGTGGCCGAGTGTCCTTTGGCAACCTTGAGTGGATTGCGCAAGTCGCATCCCTGCATGGACACCTTGGGCCGTTCCTTGACAGTGAATCGCTGAGCCAGTGGCTGAAGCCACGTCGACTTGGCATCTTCTCCAGGTTTCCCATAGTATACCGCATTGCCAAATTTATCGTGGACCTCGTCAATGACATATTCCCATTCTCCAGCAGACGCCATGGACTCGTTGAGACGAACCGGCACCGTACTAGGGCGTACCCAAGACACGTCTCGCTCGTTGTCAGACTCTGACCCAACGACCATTGCTGAAGAGTAGGCCTCGGGCTGCAGACTCTGGAAGTGGAAGGCCTGGTTTTGTCCGTTGATGGTTCGGCTGTAATGGATCTTGAGAGGCGGGGTGCCCGTGACTTCGAGAGTGAGGTCCGACAGGTCCTGGATGCATCGCTCCTCACTTTTCCCCCCAATGATCCGGGCCTGCGGGCAAGGTACCACATACGTATCCAGCGTCTGCCGTTGGACTTGCAGCTTGTGCTGATCCAGTACCTTGCCCAGGCGATAAATGCCAGGCTTCTTTGGCGAGTAGTCCCAGCGGAAGCCATCACTATTTGGGTCGGCGTTCTGGTTGCGCACGAGCTTGGCGAGCTTGTTCACCTCGCGATTGGGGATCTTGATAATCTCATCCTGCGCTGTATCCAGGTCAATCCGAATGATTTCGATCTCGGCAGGTATCGTAGCGTTGAAGACGATAGGAATGGCGACGGACGATTTCGAAGAGACACACATGGGCGCGTGGTCCGGGTTCATGACGGCGGATCCCTCTGGTAAGATGTTGAGGGTGACCTTGCCCCTAATGTGTGACTGGTTGCTCAAAATGCTGGCGACTTTGACGTTGTGTTCCGACACGGAGATCTCGCTATCGTACAGGCTCCTAACAATACCTAAAAGCCCTGAGATGATGGGTATCTGTCCGAAGTTAGTCAAAGCACGATGGGCGAGGGGCATGTGAGACGAACCGGAATCAAGAACATTGCAAACCAGTCGAATAACAAATGGAGCAGGTAAATATAAATAGTCGCAATCTGCGAGATGTCGAGCCATGGTATCCTGAGCTCGGGGACGAGGAAGACGTAGGCAAAGTCGAGTATAATCCACTTGAGGAACATTCCCCATGAGCCAACACCCTCATCTGCCACAGTCTTCCAGTCCCATAGCTTAAAGGCTTGAAGGATACCATATATCGCAAACACCCAGAAGCGCTGGGTCGGCGCGTCGATTAGGTGCAGCGGTATCCATGGCTGGCTGGGGCCAGTATCAGCTGCTGTGTTCTCGGGTGCTAGAGGTAGCTTCGCTGTGTCCGGCGTCCGTTGGCTGTGCGATCTTTGTACAGTTCTGGGGGTTTCTGGATACCCAGAACGGAATCGTGGTGTTGCGTTCATCGCATTGCGTAGTGGTGAAGGTCGGGCGTGCGCATCGGCGGGCGTGACGACTTTTTCTTCCGGAGTGACGGTGCGCAAAGGTGCAATCAGTCTGCGCAGAACTGCAGCTGTATATAGTCGATTGCAGAGATTACCTACCAGGCCGTTGTGAAAGCGATCGGGTCTGGTAAAGGCAGCCTTTGGATGGGATTCACCGTTGGTGGGCAAGCTGTGGGAATTCCGTGAATGTTTCTGTTATGTACGATCACGTCGGTGACTGCGAGCGCGACGCGCATAAAATTTACTGCATGTAACGCTAAAGTTATACAGGCACTATGCACTCAGCTCACCCGCGAATGACCTCATTCAGGCAACCAGCTCCCTAGCGCGGAGAAGGGCAATTGCCTCCTTGCCGGCAATGCTCTAAGATCCAATACGTCTTGGCAGCCTTTCCTTTTCGAAAAGAAAAATGCATAACTTGACAGCAATTGTAACTTATGTGTTGACTTTCTCTTCATGGGTTGGTCTCTCACAAATCACAATTCCCACGTTAGTGTTTCGCACCATATGGATCGTAGGTAAGTTTTAGCTATTAGCTCTCCGTCGAAGGACAGTTAGCATACGATAAGCGAACGACGGCTCTATATAAACGCTTTCGATTGTCTAGCCCCGTTTGAGGTGTCTTCGGAAGGGTTCTTTCACACTGGTGAAACCATGCACTAATTGATATATCTCGGTACCGACTACTGCAGGGGAAGCTTTTCTAACGCCAAACCCAGACGTATAGTATTGATATCTGTTCTCAGCGAAACCCTTGTTTAACATCCCCTAGTATAGCAGAACAAGCTTTTAACCGAATTGTTTCAGCTATAAAACGCCCCAGACCATGAGATTGGTTGGTTTCAAGCTTAAATTTCTTCCTTATGGCGGACCTAGGGCCCTCTAGCGCACAAAGCCGGCGCCCGATCTTCAACCTCGCATCTCCGTCCACATGGTTCGGAACGACTGATGAACGAAGCACGGGCCTAAATTCATCCAGGTCAACAGCTTCCTATAAGAACTCTCATGAACCCTTTTGATCTCTGGGTAATCTCACTTCCACACGCGAGGGCCAGCCCTCCCACACACCACGAGCCAGGCGTCACGCTATCGACGGTATCCGAGAGTTCAGTCTTATGACCGTGGCTCATCAAGCTTTCGACACCTGATTTCTAGCCAAACCCCTCATCAATCGACGGCTGTCAACTACTTAGTGGCTTTGGATCCCATGAAAATCCGACAAATGTTCTCTTGCGCCTGCTGCAGTCCCCTTTCCGCGCTCACTCATATGCAGCTTGGGCGTACGTCCTCCCCGTAATCGTAATAGCTCACGTTTCGCCCCGGTAAGCGACGTGGTTTCGCACAAAGATCGGAGAGCTTTTCACATTGTCACCATTCGTTCACATTGCAGACCGCACGCTGCAGTCGTGCCAGTCAATCGTCTTCATCATGGCGCTCAGCCTCACAGAAGAAAAATCACCAACACCACAGCTGCCGGAAAACCGGTCACCTGAAATACCTGGTAATCCAGTCTCTCTAGATGACCAAGCGGCGACTCGTCGTTCAACACGCCGGATCAAGCCCACGCGACTCTCTCCAACGGGAACGAAGCCCACGCCTCCTAAGCCAACACCCACCGCCAGAGAGACCCGCCGGAATCCCAAGCGAAAGGCTGCTGAGACTTCAAAACCTGTTCCATACTTGGCTGATAACCTGCTGATAGAGGCTCTGCGACCACTCAGGCCTGCAGAGATCGAAGAGTGGGAGGGATGGGTCGAGTTGGAGTCGGAGCCAGTGAGTTGTCTTATCAGCTGACTTGGCAGTATTAATGACTTTGCAGGCGTTCTTCAACATCATCCTTCGGGACCTGGGAGTGAAGAATGCGAAAGTACAAGAGGTCTACAGCCTGGACCAGGCATTGATGGACATGATGCCGTAAGTGCGCGGCGAACAATGTATTGCGAGGTCGCTAAGAGTCTACCTTCAGCAAGCCAGTGTTTGGTCTCGTGTTTCTATTCCAATACCATCCGATGCTCGACGAAAGGGAAGAACAAGAAGATTCTGAGGAAAGCCCTTGGTTTGCGAACCAGGTACCTCCCCATCTCGAGATCTGCTGGAAGAAGCCTAACCAAATACCCAGACCATACACAACGCCTGCGCCACCGTTGCACTGCTCAACATTGTCATGAACGCCCCGGACGTCGACCTGGGCCCGCAACTTGAGTCCTTCCGTGAATCAACCCGGGACTTGAGCACTGCTCTGCGCGGTCATCGCCTCAGTTCCAACGAGTTCATTCGGAGTACGCATAACTCGTTCTCCCGCCGAATGGACCATCTACATGCAGACCTGTCCCTGGAGAATGAGGCGAGAGCGCCCAAGGCGAAGAAGTCACGGGCGAAGGCAGCGCCCAAGAAGCGGAAGCCCAAGAATCTGGATGACTATGCTTTTCACTTCGTCGCATATGTGCCATGGCAAGGACACGTCTGGGAACTAGATGGGCTACAGACAAAACCTCGCAAACTGGGTAACGACTATCCTCTCCATATCCGCTCTATGAAAGCTGACTGAAACAAGGGCCTGTTGATTCAGACGACTGGACAACAGTTGCACGCCCCGAAATCGAAGCTCGCATGCTACAGTACGAGGACAGCCAACTCCAGTTCAGCCTCCAAGCTCTGTGCCAAAACCCTTTGACTGTCTACGGCGCACGAATAGCCGAGGGGCTCGCATCACTGCAAGCCATTGAGACCACAGCTCGCTCGCGACATGCAACGTGGCAACCCCTCTCCGCGCTAGTGTCTGAGGAGGAGCTGCCGTCTTTCCTCGCGGATCTCCGGCTTGACGCGGATACCACGGAGAGAGCATTCGTACCGCAAGCTGTCCACAACCGCCTGGAAAAAGTCGCAACAGATGACGAAGCGCAGCTACTGTACGAAGAGGTCGCCACGGAGACGAAAGCCACTATTGGCGAGTATCAGGCGGAGCTCCTGTCGATGGCCGAGGATGAACAGCGCGTCAAAGGACGGAGGAAAAACTACGGACCTGCGCTCCACAGATGGGTCACGAAACTAGCGGAGAAAGGTCTTCTGGAGGGCATGATATCCTCATGAGGCTCGATCAGGTCTCAGAGCTATGAGAAGGGGCCTGTATTCAAGTTCAATCATCCGGGAAAAGCTCCCGGACATTCGATACGAACCTGCATTCCCTTTCATCAAAGCGCTTAAAGAATTTGCCTGCTTTTCGAAGGTCTACGCCTTTCAACTTTGTCGAGTCCGAGATCAAGATGATGTTCTCCTCTTGGATAATGTGGCGATCCTCAGAGTCCAACCGTCTATCCACGTTAACAAGTTCCTTTAGCATACTAAGGCCAGCTCTTACATGTATGTGTAATATGTATGGTCGTCGTTGAATCGTATGTGGTTGATGTCACCAACGTGCCCGCGGTCGCCCAGCCTTTCGGCCGCTGCTTGCCGTCGACTGAGTTGATCACTCCAGCCGGTAATAACGCAAATGTACCCGTATCTCCGATGGGTAAAAACTTCGCCGACATGATATCTCGGGTAGATGCCACGAGCCTGCCGCTCAATGTGGTTCCTCAGGCTTCTGGTCTTGGGCTGTGCCTGATCACGGGCGTCGATCTCATTGAGGATTTCCCAGCTCCCGTCCGTGGTCGCCCTCCCGTGTTGCCCTTGACGTAGATATTTTCGGACCAGCCAAACGTCCTCCGGCCATGAGCTAGCGAATTGACCCAAGAAAAAGTCTAGCTCGCCCCAGGAGATGGATGGCGTAACAATGAGGGCTGACCACATAGTAGCGTAAAGGCAGGTGCTGACGTTGGACAGATGATTGCTCCGTATGAGAGTACTGATCAAAGGGGTCTGGGGGTTCTGATGAGCTGTCGCGATGCGGAATGTAGCACTGATGTTGTGTCCAAGTCGATTGAGCAAGGTCTTGACATGCATGGGCGCAAGATAAGCATCGGTTCCCTGCGTTTCGCCCATGGCCGCCAACCTGCTCTTGAGATAATCTACCGAGACTTCGTCATCGGCACCGAACGGATCAAGATACATGTGCTCCTGCCATTCCTCATCAGATACCACAGCTCCGTGTCGCGGGCTGTTGAGCGAACAGCCCTGGGCTGCCGAGACAACCGTAAATATATGACCGGGAAAGTTGCATGACTGCGCGTCCAGCCCAATTCTTCGGGCCAGACAACAGTATATGACGCTTGAGATCAGAGGAAGAGACTCGTGTTCCTCATGTCGCAAAGCCTGACCTAGAAGGCAATTCCGCAAGTTGCGATAGTTGTGAAGCTGGTCATCCATGCCGACCAAGTTCTCAGATCGGACCCAGCGAACCAGGGCCAGAGCTTTGGACCTGGCTGTCATACCATCCAACCCAGGGTGAGCCTTTCGGAAGCTGTGCGCGTGTTGATCAAGCATGTCTGAGATCTATAACCATTAGTGATTACTACGGCACCAAGTCATCGTGTACTCACATCATCGAGGTCGCCGTACTCCGCGCCAAGGACGAACATGTCAAAGGCGCCGAATACCTTCTCAAGGGGCGGATCAGGTTCACGCGGGTTCGCAAGCATGCGCCACTGCTCGATGGCGATGTCGCGGTGAATGGCGCGGATAAGAGATTCTGCATAGTATCTGCGAGCCAGATGATCGTCTAGTTCGTCTGCGCATGCACACTGTTCTAATAGAACATCTTTGGCGTCGTATCCTAGAGCACCTATCAAGCCGTAGCGCTCATAGCGACCTTGGGACGTCTCCAAGATGTGCTCAAACCAGCCTGCCACTTGGATGTTCTGCTTCTTGCGCAAGACAAACAAAGCCTCCCAGTCCACAGAGGATGCAGGCTGTGGCAGTTTCCCGTGGAAGGCGTGGTGCTCACTCCAATGGCTGAAGCTCGTCGCGCAAAAGTGCTTCCACAGCAGTGGCTCATGCGTCAAGAGCCTAAAGCGCCGACTCAAAGGCCTCAGATTGAAGAGGGTGTCCTCGGGCGAGCCGTAATGGAGTACTTGTTGCAAGACCTCGTCGGGTAGCTGGTTGAGCGTCATCGTACCCGAGGCGACACGGAATAAGGCATAAAATGAGGGCGCTTTGACGGCATGCGAGCGTGATTGAGCAGCTGACCAATTCGCTAATATGTCACAAAGAAAGACTGCCGCGTTGAACGAGGATGAGAATAATCCCAAATGTCATATCAAGGTCATCAGTGGGATTGGCACAAAATTAATGTATGACACGATTATGGAAATGGAGGGGCAACCTTGTGTGCACAATCTGACTAGTGTCGTGCTGATTCCACTAGTCCAAAAAGGGAAACCATGTAAACAATCTGACGCGCTCCATCACGAAATGCCATGTCCAATTCCAAAGCACACGGCCCTTGCGACTAGGTTCTCATTGTCCAACAAATTTCGCGATACCCTTTGTCTTCGCCGTCGCTCATGGTCTAGCATGATTTTGATTCTCGACCAATTCGCTAGTATCTTAACAGTAAACGAACCACTGTTCGACAGCCACGACAAGGGATGCACGATATCCACGACGGTGCAATAGCGCATTCGCCTCGCGACGACAACTACCTGATCGACAACAACTCCGACGTCTAGGACGCATCATGCCACACCCGGGAACGGGTGGTGCCCTCGACACACCGCGAACCAACATTGGGGATGCAACATACCTCTCACAGAGACCTGACTTTGCCGATGTATCCCAAGAGGCCTCTTTCGTGTCGCCCGCGAAAGATGGCAACCTTCTGCAGCAGATGCGCAACGGGCGTACCAGCGGGGTCAATCTGCGAACACCACGACAGCGAGGGCCCCTTTCCGACAAATTCAACATGCCGCAGAGTATAGGTGGCGCCGAGTTCACGCCTCTGCTCAAGTCTGCGACACGGAATAGCGTAATGAGAGGCAAGGAAAACGGCCGTGCTGTTCCCAATACGCCGGCCCTGAACCGCATAGACGAAGCAGACGTGACTGCTCTCCCCGCAATGGACGCCTCCATGTACACAGGCTCGCGCAACGAGTCTTACATGGATCAGACACTCCCACAAGTAGCCACCAGCAGTCCTGCGTCGACACCACTAGCCATTCCTCGGCGACGAGGTGGCGCCGACAAAGGACCATTACAAGACGGAAATGCTCTTTCGCTGCGTGAGCAGGAGAACGTGATCGATAGGATCGAGAAGGAGAACTTTGGTCTCAAGCTCAAGATCCATTTCCTCGAGGAAGCGCTGCGCAAGGCTGGCCCCGGCTTCAGTGAAGCTGCCCTAAAGGAGAACACGGAGCTGAAAGTCGACAAGGTCACCATGCAGAGGGAACTGCATAAGTACAAGAAGCATCTTAGCAATGCGGAGAAGGACTTGGAAGACTATCGCCAGCAGATGCTCGCGCTACACGAGAAAGCCAAGCGCAAGTATGCCGACGAGAACCTGCGCGCAGAGATGGAGCAACTACGCCAGACAATGGAGCAGAGGGAAGCCGAGATCGAAGATCTTCGGAGCAAGCTCAATGAGGGACAAAAGGGGTCGGAGCAGGTCGAAAAGTTACAGGACGACATTGCCGACCTTGAGGCCGACGTGCGGGAGAAGGACCGATTTATCAGCGAACGCGACGACGCCCTGGAAGATCTTAACGAACAAGTGGTTGAATTGAAGGAGCAGCTAGCGAACGAGAAGGAACGAGCAGAAGAAGTGGAAGAGCAGTTGCGTGATGCCCAAAAACAAACGACAAGCAACGCAAGGCTAGAGAAGCTACAAGACGACATTGCGGATCTACAAGCAGAACTCGGCGAGAAGGAACGCTTACTTGACGAGAAGAGTGATGCATTCCACGACCTTAAATCTCGCCTGGCGGCTGCTGAAGACCAGCTACAGGATCAAGGGCAATTCGACAAGCTTCAGGACGAAATCACCGAGCTCAAGACCAATCTGCGTGAAACGAGTACCCGCCTGCAGGAGAAGGAGGCCGCTTTGAAGGATTTGAGGCCGAAGCTCGAGGATGCCGAATCCCAGGCGGCTGATCGACAATACGCCCTCGAAAAACTGCAAGAAGAGATTCAAGATCTCGAAGCGGAGCTACGAGACAAGGAACGCATCGCAACCGAGAATGAAGAAGCAGCTGAAGATCTTCGGGATGAGCTGAAGAAAACTAGACTTGACGCAACCGCCAGTGACGAGTTGGAGAAGCTGCAAGACAATGTCGAGGAGCTCGAGGCTGAGCTGAAGGAGAGAGACTTATCCCTCAACGAGAAGGACTACGAACTGGAGCAGCTCCGCGCTGAGCTGAGAAACGCAAGGCTCCAAGCAAACAACTACGAAGAACTGGAGGATCTTCACCGCGCTGTTGAAGAGCTGGAGACCGAGTTGCAGGCGAAGGACCAGTCGCTCAACGACAAGGAAACTCTTGTCAGCCGCTTGAGGGAGGAGCTGCGGGTCGCTTCAGCTAACGCAGCTAACCGCGAATACATCGTGAAGCTTGAGAATGACGTTGAAGACTTGGAGACGGAATTGCAGAGAAAGGACCGATCCACTCAACAGCTGGAGCGAAGTCTGGACAGCCTGCGTGCGGAACTCAGCCTTGCTACGTCAAAAGCCGATAATCACGAACACCTCGAGAAGCTGCAACAGGAAGTGTCCGGTCTAGAAGCCGAGCTCAGCAGGAAAGATTGGGCATTGAACGAGAAGACCGATGACCTGAAGAAGATCAGCAACAAGTTGGCTGCTGCTGGAGATGAGGCGGAGAGTCTGCAGGACGGCATCCGCGATCTTGAAGCCAAGCTACGTGCAAAAGACCGCATCATAGCTGACAAGGAAGAGATGCTGGCGGAAACACAAGCCAAACTTGCAGCAGCCAAAAAGAAGATCAAGGACCAGGGTCGCTTTGACGAATTGGAAGAGAACATTAAGGGTCTTGAGCTTGAGCTGAGGAGGAAGGACAGGACCTTGCTTGAGAAGGAGGAAATGCTCGAGAGCCTACGCAACCGTCTGTCTGCATCAAAGGACAAAAGCATGGTCCAGGGGCGGGTAGAGGAGCTACAAGACAAGGTTGATGACCTGGACGCAAAGCTCAGGGGAAAATCTCGACTGATGGGGGAGAAGGACGATGCCTTGAGTGAGCTACGGAGTAAGCTCGACAAGGCAGAGACCAAGGTCAGGGACCTGGAGCAACAAATCGAAAGCGTGAGCCAAAGTGGTCCTCCATCGCCCCGACAGAGCAAGGAGTTGCATGAGGCCAAGGCATCGCTCGAGGATCTCGAAGACCAGAAGGTGTTGCTCGAGGAAATGCTCGACGAATCACGCCAAGAAGTCGAGGGGCTTGAGGACAGGGCGCGTCAGCAACAGGAGACTATCAACAGACTCTTCTCCTCGGAAGACGCACTCAGGACGCAGCTCGAGAAAGCCCGCAATGAGCACTCCAGCTATCGCCAACAGGCGCTGGGGCAGGAGAATCTGGAAAGTGATGCGCAACGGCAACAGGAGATGATTGATGCTCTGATGGCCTCTGAAGCAAACCTCCGCCAGCAACTCAAGCGAGCTCGCGCCGAGCACGCAGCATACCGCAAGACTGCTGCCGAAGCCGAGCATCTTGAGAATGACGCTTACCAGCAACAGCAAGAGGTCATCGATGCACTGACTGCGTCGGAGAGTTCTTTGCGCCGCAAGCTGGAGCGCATGCGTGCCGAGCACGCTACTTACAAGCAGACCGTGGCCGAGACGGCCAACTTGGAGCACGACGTCCAGCAGCAAAAACGGACGATTGACAACCTTGTTGCCGCAGAAGCCTCATTGCGTCGCAAACTTGAGCGTGCAAGAAGTGAGCGAGCTGCATACCGTATGAGCGCTGAAAAGCTCCAGCGAGATGCGCAACGGTCACACAAGACGGACGACATGGCGCTCGTGTCCGCCAAGGGAGCCCATGCCTCAGATGAAGCCATGTCTACTCTTGTCCGTGCGGCTGAGAGTGCCGAGGATAGGCACCGAAAGGAACTCAGGGGCCTCGTCATGCAGATGGAATGGATGCAAGCTCGCTGGGAGAGAGAGGCGTCGTTGCGCTGTGATGCTGCATATGCGAAGCGATTCATTCAGCTTCAGCTTGACATTGCCAACGCATGGTATGTACCCTTCTTGTCGTGGACAACGTACACGGGCAATCAGATGGCTAATATCACTACAGCAACAAAGCGCAACTTCGAGATCTGGAGCATCTTCGCACCAATCTGCTCGGCAACCGGCAGCCTCTTGCGCTGCCTTCTCATCTCAAGAACCAGGAAAAGACGCGGCCAACGTTCAAGTCGTTCTTGGTCATGGCACGGTTTGTCGCCCGGATGCGTATATCGGCGAAGAATTGGTCTCAACAGGAAAAGGTGCGGGCGAAGCTCATTGCCGCGACAGAGGAGCAGAAGAAGAGCAAAACGAGGCGGCAGCTCAAAGTGATACGCGTAGAGGAAGAACCTGTCTTTTGAGTGATACGACCTTGAGATGACTGTGTATGACTCTCGTATTTCACGTGGCGTTTGGAAGGGATGGAGTATCAGGGATGGTTTTGGTTTGGAATCAGCGCTGGCGAGCGTTGTGCAGCCTTTTGAAACTGTGTGAATAGCATTACATTGATTTCTCTCCAACGCCCCTGTCACTTTAAATTGAGACAGCTCACAAAGTGCCTACCCAATTATCCATCTGTCTTCCCCTTCGCCAAAAGCGCATATACGGACGCCGTTCGGTACTACAGGGCGAGCTGCAAACGCCAAATCACATTACAAACAGCAGGTTGGTATCTGGACTCATCAGGGAATACTCGGCAACATGTATGGGCATTGACTTACCAAGAGGGTGGCTGCAGGAGAGTTGGGGCTTCTGGGTGTATTTTGTCGCCAACTCGTCGCGAATGCTGTTGAGAAGCTGAACGTAGCTTTGCTGGGGATTCTTGCGGAGAGCAGTGACGAAAGCCCATGACATGGCCCCGGTGGCCTGGGAAGCAATGGTAGCGTCGGCACTATGCACCAGATTAGCAACAATTCTCCAAAGTCGATTGGCAGGTGGAAGGTAGAAGGTGGCGTAGTCCTAACGTAGCCCGTCGCCTTGGACGCCAGGACGCAGCCGTAATGGCTGATCCCGACGCACAAGGCAGACGAAAGAACAATAGCTATCTAGTCGTGATCAACGGTCCAACGGCCGGGATGTCTTCCGTATTCAAACAACTGCCAGGCCTGCTGGGGCAGATGTGTGAAAAATGAATTTCAAGGGTACAGTGGAAAAAAATTGTAGGGCGTCACAGGGTATGGGTATTGATGAGGGAATTCATAAGGGAGGGGAACTGTGTCAATGTACGGGGGAAGAGAATAGACCCACGATGTCTGGTCGTCTTTGCTGCCCGACAGCATGACCACATCGGCCGGCGATGTTTTCGTAGCGAGTGCTCTCGTGTGCGCTTCCTCGCCGCTCGTGGCTTTCTTAATAAATCCCATGATGTTACTGGCGACCCCACTCAGGTCACCTTGACTATAAGATGAGAGGACACCCAGGAGTCCTTGGCCAGCCTCCTTGGCCAGGTTTGGCTCCTTGAGGACACCTTGCGTGGAGTAGATGTACGGCAAATCGAGGGCTGTGCCGGAGTGACACGAGTCGAAGATGGCTGTCAACCTGACCCCCGGCTGTAAGGGTCGGACCATGATCCTGTGCATTTCATCGTCGGTAATGTGGCCATTGTGGCGGAAGTCCACAGGGTAAATGACCTCATCGTAACCATCTGGTTCATCGCCGTCCAGGTCTCGTGTTTGCCCTCCGTGTCCTGCGCATGTCAGATCTTCTGGTACTTTCAGGCCTTACAAAGCACCACTCACCTGAGTAATGGAAAAATAGCGAATCATTGGATTGCGCATTCTTGACAAGCCAGTGCATGGCTCTTAGAATGTTTTGCTTGGTCGGCTGGCTCATCTGGTTCTGTTGATCATCCGTGAGGATAACCATGTCTTCCCTTCGGTAACCAAAATGCTCAACGAGGTAAGCAGTCATGTTCCGGACATCGTTGATACAGCCTCGCAGCTGTCCTCGCTGGCCAAAGTAGTTGATACCAATCAACAAAGCCTTCCTGCGGCCAGTGCAGTTCGAGTATCGGAAGGCATAGTTCTGAGGGGCCCCTTGACCGAAATGCTGAGGCTGAGTGGGTGGCGCAGGAGGCGCGCCCGGACGACCGTATACCCCAGGTTGTACTTGCGCGGACTCTGGGAAGTACATGTCAGCATCATGCAGCATGAAATTAGGCAGCTCAAGCTAGGCTTACGAGGTCTGGTGTTGTACTTGGGCCCTGGTGGCTGCTGTTGGTATTGTGCGTATTGCTGCTGTTGCGGCTGCTGCTGCTACACCATAGATCAGCCATTGGGTTCAAAACCCCGTCTACTTGAGGTCGAGGAGCGTACCGGATATCCGTAAGGTTGCTGTGGTGGCGGCGGCTGGTATGGGTAGCCTTGGGGCGGTGGCTGTTGTGGATGCGCTTGAGGGTAGTTGTTGTAGCTCGGTTGGGTAGGTCTGAACGGAGGTTAGCATGCTCTGACAGGAAACACAGGATTTGAGACCGCGTACGGATAATAGCCTCCTTGTTGCTGGCTGTATTGAGGCTGTTGGGGCGGGCCGCCGTATCCCCCAGCATTGTAGCCTGGGTAGCCTGACATGAGAGACTATTGCGAATGGTATAGTACACAGCCGATTCGCAAGGTCGTTCGTAGGACTAGCCAGGACCAACTCTGTACTCTCGACGCTGTTGGAGAGCGCGGACCGGGATCGTGGTCGTGCTGGCTGAGGATGCGCCGGACAAGTCTGCGGCGTGGCTTCTGGATGGAGCGACTACCCAGGCCAAATTGGGTAGAGAGTGGATGCGAGTCCTATGAGGACGGTTCAATGACAAAATTGCAGGTTGATGCCGACGACGGTTCTTTATAGGGTGTATGAGATGGCAGAGACAGCCCATAAGCGCGCTCAAGTGCAGGCGAAGTAAGTGCGGCAGGGTTGGGATGATCGCTGCCCAGCTGTGGAGGCCAGGACTCGACGTCAGGATGTGCTTGCGGCTACAACCTGAGGGTCTGTCGCGCACAGGGCTGGAGCCTGGGACACCCTCTTCGTCATGCGCTAGGCAATGATTTCGCGGACAGCTTCGCAGAGGAGAGGCGGAGGCTTGGGGCTTGCGCGGGCTTCTCCCATCCTGCAGCGGGGCGTGTGCTTTGTCGACGATGAGGTGGTGGAGTATGCGTGCGTCGGGTCACTGGTCACAAAGGCCGCGCATGTCGTAGACCGCCACCACCATGTTCCAGCGGCGCTACCCAGCCAGCGCGCACACTCCAGTCCGTACGGGGCGCAAAAGTAGCCGCGCGACCAGGGTTCAGTCAGGACACGGGCGTTTATTCCCCGAGGCTGGGATCGCGCACCGCAAAGTGGGCATGACTGCGTTACGCGAGCAGAAGAAACACTGTTCAGGTGGTAATTAATTATCGACACATCGATGGCCAGGCGCGGCAGTCATGCCTACACGTACAGGTACCTCCTACCCACGGCACTTACTGGGCAATTTCCTCAGCCACAGTGCACACTCTCGCTGTCGTCAGTCGTCCAGACTCCAGTCCGATGCTGTCATTTGTCAATTGCTGTTACGCGTACATCAATTCACATCACGTACATCATCAATCCGCATGGGCGCCAGGCGGGGCCCGTTAGCTCTTGCCAATGGAGGAATGCAATGTCCAGCAAGTCTCCCGGTAGATTTTGAGATGTCTTTCCCAATTGTTCATTGTGTTCCATGACCGAATTCCACGCCAATAATAGACGGCGTCGCCCGAGGCCGCTCCACGCCCTACATTCGCGTCCATCCGTCTACACCGTCATGCAGGTGTATGTACGTTCTGTGAGACAGCCTCCATTAGTCTAGCTTGGAGACAAAATGTAGAGACGATCATGGCGCTGATGCAAACCATCATAGCCTGACTTACAAAAATTGAGCGAGCCCATCCGAATGCATAGGGTGTTGGTTGGTGTTGCTTTGAAATCTTTCGGGGCTCTGTGCATATATTGGAGACGGCAACACCGAGCCCTCAGCTATGGAGTTGAGGCAGTGATGAGCACTAATTAATTGACACAGGATGCAGAACACCACGACCTTACATGCACTGTGAAAAGAACATCAGGCCTACTTCACGCCTACTTCATCCACAATTAAAACACAGAAAATCAGCAAAACATCAATTGTGTGATGGTGTTGGGAGATGAGCTGCCAGTTTAATCTCCAAAGGCAGATACATATGCGCCCGAATAGGCAACGTGGCGGGAGAACCGAGAGCTGAATGTGAACAGCAGGCCAATCAATGCACATCGTCTGCCAACTCATTACCCGCGACAGCAGGCAACTGCGTGAAAAGAGAAAATGACCAACCTCAGTCACGAACTTTACAAAAGCTTTGCACCCAATACACCATCAATTATTTACACGCCGACCTGCATCACCGCCCCTTGCAGAAGCGCACTCCCACGTATGCTTCGCCATGATGCTGGTTTGTTTCCACCGAGCTGTCCGATCCTGCACGGTGGGTGGGAATGTTGTTTTCAGCAGCGCAAGGGTTTCCGTCGAAGCAATGTGTATTCTTGTCCAACCATTGATCACCTTTGATCGCCGGCGCCCCCACCTACATGTCGTCCAACTCAGACGTGCTCGTGCAACTACCTCGCCCTAGGGAGGTCTGCATCAAGCCATACACTTTAATTCAACGTACCGAGGTACGACTCTGTGCATAGGACATAGTCCCTACGTCCCGGATCGGCGTTTCCAAACTTAGATATGATCCCTGTGCAGCTGTGCGATGGAGAACAAGAAGGGAGACCTCAGCTTTGCTGGGATTTAAATGATGATCAATGCACGGTATCTCCACAACAATGTCTATGCTCACGCCCTTGGCATGTTATTATATCGACGAACCGAAACCGTTGGTCCAAATCTTATCTGCTATCCGCGGACAGGGACGACGAGGTTGTATCAAAATATTACTGTTTGTGCGGTAACCCGGGCTATAGTACGATCTCGTTGTCTTATCAGAGCCACCCTCAGCGTTGTACTGACCTGGAACGATCTTACCGATCATCGCGCGGCTGAGGAATATCAGCGTCATTCATCGCAACATCCTGGTCGACGGCGCATTCTCGCATCTGGTAAGCCATGACTGCCCAGAATGCCTTCATGGCCTCGATACGGCCCTCCATCTCGAACATGTCGTACCACGGGCTTCTCCAAGCCTGAACATTGCCCCAGCTCCGGACCGCAGGGTCTTGCTCCGGGGCACCCTCGAGCACTTCCAGCAGCCTAAGGGGTACTCGGACGCGGAGGATGGAGATGTGGTGGAACAGGCAGCTGACGACGAACACATCATCGAACGTCGACCCAGGCACCTTGCCGATCCCCTCGTAGCGCGCCTTCTGGTCCCAAGTGTTGGCTGGAGGGCGCACCATGCGATAGCTGTTGTACATGGGCATGTTTTTGCGATAATTCTTGGCCAAAGGCGGTCCATCAGCATCGCTGGGCCCGGCAGCATCTTCTTTCGCTTCCCGCTCGATTTCGCGGCCAATGGGACCGCCGGCACCGCCTCCCCAGCGAGGCTTTTGCGTCCACCACTGGCCTTCGCCGAATCGGACTTCTTCTTTCCCTTCCCGAGCACGATGTTGTGCTGTGATCAGAGCGGCGCAGATTTCCTTGGACAAGTCTAGCGCTTGAGCTGTCTCCATGTTGGGAGTAGTGAAGTTGGTCGTCACCCTAGCGCTCACTGCAGCTACCGGGCCGTAGACAAGGCCCGCCCGGGACGCCTCACGCGTCGTGGGCGACTGGAAGATGAAGCTGCAGGATGACACCAGGTATGATTTGCGAGGTGATACGGTGCCCTCGGGCGTGCACACGTGCAATCGCGGTTCCGTGCGAGCGTACGAGACATTGCACCCGAAATCGTAGCACACCATTTTCAGAAATGCCGTAGTCAGTTTCTGTCGGTAATCTGTGGGCATTGCAGTCCCCTCGGCTGTCCGAACTGTCCTGCTGTCCGCTGTTCCGGATGGTACGGGCTCGGTGGCCTCTGGAGACGGAGGCAGCTCCGGGGACTTTGACGTATCGTCCCAGAAGCTAGTGAACATTTCAAGGCATCTGAAGAACTCATAGGCGTTACCTAGACGAGCATGTTGCTGGCCTTTGGGAGGGGGAATGCGACGAACGGTCCGGAAAGCTTCCTCGTTGGCGTGGGAAAGCTCCTTGACTCGCTCTTGGTAGGTCTCGCAACCTGGTGAAAGGTTACCATTCCTGATCTGGCACCGTGTGGATTTATGCCTCGTTCGTGCCTCTTCAGACGAGAGCTGATCCCAGCCGCTGAAATCTGGGATAAAGGAGGGATCGGGAATCAACTGATCTGTGGTAGCGTCCAGAGTGAGGTTAGTGCCAAGGGCAGACAGGCCTTTGACGCCAAGTATGGAAGCGTCGGAGCGCCCAGTGTGACTCAAGAGTGAAGGCAGAGAATTGCGCGTGTCGACGAGCCCATCATGCTGCGCAAAAGGTTGGTATCTCGGAATGGTAATTGGCGTTGCTTTTGGCACATCCTGAACATTGACAACCTTGGCAGTGGATGCAGCCCCTGATAGTGTCAGCAAGGCACATCGCAGGTGGGTGTGCAGAAGAGTGAGTATACAGCGACATACCAACGACTACGTTCCCAAACATCGCACGTGACGCTTCGAAGCTTCCAGTCGCGCCTCACGCCGTGTTTTATGATAGTCGCCGACACGTGCTCAGAAGGCTGTGTCCAGAGCAAGAGACTTCTTCCAGAAAGCTGACCATGGGCAAGGGTCGCTGACTCGCTGCGCTTGGACCCTCCTGGAGGACGATTCCGAGTCTCACGGTCCGACTCTCGCCAACAATGCCGACAAGCTGTTGATAGAGCGCACGTGATATAACAAGAGTCGTGCGCCGTGTAGAATCCCTTCGATACGGTCATTCAGGTGACGTAGGATAGAGCTAATTAATATTGCACAAATGACCTGAGTAAATTACTTCAGGCTCTCCAAGGTGCCCGGCGAAGGAGGTGAGCGCGTTGTACTAGCAACACGCATCCAAATGGATGGAAAGTAACGAGCTTCCAGGAGTTGTCCACGCTCACAGCGTAAGGAGTCACCGCAATGCATCCGGCTGCCACCAGAGTGGTTGAAACCGGCTTGCGACTGGATGCTGCAAAAAGACGCCAACACGTGAGCTCGTCGAATTGTTGATGGCGACACCACACCGCTAAGAGACTGGAGTCTTCGATTGATCGAGGCTGGCCGTGGAAGCTGGAAAAAGCAGCCTTTCCTCCGTGCGGCACTGTGCTAATACTGTGTGTTGCCCGGTCGGTGGTCGCTCACCGTCTGTCGACAACGTCAGCCTCACATGCACGCTGGTGTCACTCAAGAGAACACTGTAGTAAACCCGCAGTTCGGAGCAGTCAATCCAATTTCTTTTCATGACAACGTCTGGAGCCAAATACATTGCTCGAATGCCAGGGTGTGCGCCTTGCCTGGCAAGTGATCGACCGGACGATGTTTCGCATGGTCGCCTTTTCTCTTCATCAGTAGTTATTGTAAAAGGGGCACGACCACTGAAATGGTGTCGAAGAGCAAGGCAAGGTAGTTTCGAAACTTTGGAGCGGACCGCATCTTCCTAGCGCGACTGAAAAGACTGCTCTCTTGTTGTTGTTTTTGATCGATGGGTCTCAAAACTCTCAATGCTCACCTTCAGCTTCAACCCGTAGGGTATCACGGTCGTCCGAGGGTCACAGAGAGCCCATCCTCCACGCCCGCCACAACACAGCAGGTGCTGTCAGCAATCTTACGTCTCGGGCTGTCACGACTTTGTTCCAAATGACTGATCGCGCTGCGTTTCTTCGCTCCAAGCAGACATCAAAATTGGCATGTTGTGCTTGTCACGGACTCGCGATTCACGACTGACCCCTCATCACGAGATCAGCTGCGCAATGCTGTTAGAGATCTCTCCACTGCTGGCTCGCAAGGAGCGCAAATTTATCAAGTCGATCTTTATAATCCGATTCCATAAAATCAGCAGTCGATATTGCAGGTCATCTCATGCATCGCAGACTGTACCGAAAGGATTGTTCAAGTGTATGCCTTGTGTCGCGCATCTGATGCTGATAATAAATAATTAGTTCTTTTCCCAACTTGATGGGACCGGATACGGTCGCTGTGCCATGGTAGCATTTATTGACATTTGCAGAACACCTTCATGGCTGTCCAACAACCAGATGCGTATCCGCGCCGCTCCTGAGCTCTGTCATGCTTCAGGTCTGTCGCAAGACAGGGGTCTTCTCCCCCTGGGTCCTGGACTCCTGCTACACCTCCTGGGACGTGTCATCCACAACTTCGTGCGGTAGGCGTCTGACTCGGACGCAAGCGAAGCCGTATCACCATGTTCGATACCTTTTTCCTTGCGGCAAATACTCTTGGCCGGGACCAAATGCGTTTGACAAGGTTACCCAGATGCTTAGCAGAGCTGTTCCTACGTATTACTTTGTGCGATGCATCGACCTGATCACGCCCAATTCCCAACTTCCCATCTCAATTTTTTTTATTTTAATCACACCTTCCCTTTGTCTAGTTTTTTCTCCAGATACGTACAATTGAATTCAACCGTCTCTCGAATTATTGTTGCAGAGTGCAATTGAGCAATAGCCCATGCAGGCCAGGGCTTCAGGAAAGCTGTTTTCAGGCGCTCTTGGGAGGTCAGATCTCGTCAGGCAAGGGCCTCATCACGATGGCATCTATTTCACGAAGCTACTCTCCAAGACGCATACACCTGCGAAGCAATTCAAGCAGCTTTGCGGGAGACGACGTGGACGCCACATCGACGCCAACTGTCCTGTCGAATGTCATCAGTGAAACGTCCACTGCCTCCACAACCGACGCGACGACTGCCCTCGAAACCTCTGATGAGCCGCCTACTGATAGGCTCAAGGAGTCTGCAGAGCAGATCCCTCAGATGCCGTCGGGTACATCATCGGATTCACCACCGACTCCAACTCCGGTACCCGTTGAACCAACTCCCGAAACCCCTGAACTCGCAGGGCTACAACTCTCCACTATCAGACCGGACGTGGGCAATGCAAGCCTTATTGTCTCAACTGAAGTTTTTGAAGAGGAGATCACCCCTCAGGAAACTCCAGCGCCAATTCGCGTCAACGACGAGGCCACAGAAACAACTCAGGACGAGAACCTATCATCGTCAGTTGAGAGCATCTCCGAGACAGGCGTTCTGAGCAGACCCGCGCCTACATCTACGCCTGAACCTACAAGTGATGGTGATGGTACCTTCACGGGATCCGATGACGACCCGATCAATACTGTGGGATTGCCGCCCGTAGTCCCAACTGGCCCAGCTACTGAGAGCGGTGATCTATTGCAAGAAGGCGCCGTCGAGTTTCCTCAGGAGTCTGCTCCAGGCACCGATCAGGGCGGGCCCCAAGAAAATGGCGACAACGGTGCAGATGGTGAAGAGAGTGAAGAGAAGGAGGACAGCGACGACACTGCGGGCAGAAATGATCAAAACCGGGACGACGATACCTCACCTCCTGATGATGTCGATGTCATTGATGACAATGAGACTGGTGGCGCTGAACCCGAATCAAACACTTCGGAACCAGGGAAGGAAACCCAGACCGCAGCTGACAATAGCGCACCAGGGGATGGAGGTAGCCCTGCGATAACGCAGACAGGAACGGCAGTGCCATCTTTACCGACAGACATTTTCTCCGGGGGAGACGATGGTGGCAGCACGGATCGAGAGCTGGCAGGGTCAGCTGAAGGGAATGATGGACTCTCAGGTCCGCAGAAGGCTGGCATCATTGCGGGCAGCGTCATTGGCAGTGCCATCCTATTTGCACTCATCGCGTTCCTCATCTGGTACATACGCAAGCGAAGACGCGATCGGAAGTATCAGTATGTGATCAAGACGCCTATGGTCGAGCAACCGCCGGCACTCGACCCAATACCTCGGTCAGCACGGTTGACCGAAGCTGTGGCCAACATTTTCAAGCCGACCACGGCTTCGAATATGAGCTCGCGGGTCGATCTGAGTCGTGGCAATCCCCAATTTTCGACAGATGGCCAGCCCAGATCGCGAGCCTTGTCAGCAGGACCCATTGGCACAAACGGTAATCCTGCCAGGAACGGCCAAGATCCTGCTTGGCCCTCGGACCCGGGCTCTCTACGAATTCATAACGCCAGGCCGATGGGCAACGCGGTTGCCCAGCTCAGCGACCCCTTTGCGGACACCAATGCCATCGCGACCTCGGGCCGACACCCTGCTGATCCCTTTCATGACTCACAAGCGATTCAAAAGAGCCCACGTCTGTCTCTCGTCCCTGCTTGGGACCCGCGAACCGCCCGTCCACGTGGTTCCACGACTGGAAGCATCCGCCAGACTTCTCTACAGCCTGGCCAGCCGGGCGCATCCGCCCCCATCAAGGCACGGCCGAACGCTCCACCGCCAGGACGAACAAACGTCCGGTCAGATCAGTTCGATTTGGAAATCGCGTTTCCGCCGGCGGCTTTGATCCCTCCTGTGCCACGATTGCAACGCCCCGAGAGCTACACCTCACTAGTGAGCACTCTCAGTAGCTACAGCCAGTCGGATCATCAAAATAGGGTGAGGGTTTCGCGGTTTGGCGAAGCGTTGTAGCTGGGCCCGGTGTCCAGGGGGCCACAAAAACGAGAAAGCACGGAGTTTTGGGTGCGTTCTTTAAAAGATATACCACGGGGGACCTTTGTCCAGGTTGCACATGATACCACGCTCGTTAGCTACGATTGCAAGAATAGCGGGACTATGACTTGCTCCAATGACTTTGCGTTATCCAGGATCCGCTGATGTTAATATGTATATTTTGGCACTGTTGCATTTGGACAACCGCGAAGGTGGTGTCGCGAGGATGGTGCGAAACCAGCGCGTGACATCACCCCAGGCTGATACAAGGCTGATTTTATTGGTGAAAGTATCCACTTTAAAGGCGCGAGTCGCGAGAAAGTCGCGAGAACGCGTGAACGGGGACGATCATGCTGAGGTCTTGAACGCTGTATTGAGGCATTACGGAAGCTTACAATTCTAAAAAACATGATAAGCGTGCATCATTGCCAAGAGCAACATGATAGATACTATGCACGTGTACGGGTAGAATGTCTTGATTCCGTCGGAGTAGCTCACGCTACCTGTGTGTTCGTGACCGCCAGGATCTACTGGGGACACCGCCCTTCCGCCCTTCCATATCCTACTTCATCATGGACGCAACTCAATACAAGGACGCCTGCTCAAAAAAGTCCCAAAATAAACAAGAAGACTCTAAACATGTATCGAGTGCTCGATAGGCCTTCGTAGTCCAAAATTACGAATTCTCCATCGCGCATGAGGAGAATGCTGGCGGGCCGACGCCAACAAGTCGCAGACTAATGTGAAGTTGACAGCGTGGTATCATGTACATAGAAAATGTTGCCGGGTGGGTGTCCCGCGTGGTCCACCGCGTAGTTTCCGTAGTGCTCCTTCCGTAGTGCTCCACTCAAGCACGAGGTTCCTCAAATGTGAGCCTCCGTCTTGCTTGGCTCAAGGGTGTTCTTGCGGCTACAGGACCGCCAGGCGTTTTCCACGTCTTCTGCGCGGGGCTGGGCGTGATGTTGACAAAATCAGCAAGGTCAAAGGCTTGGCTTGGTGTGTTTGGGAAGAGATTGCCACCCCCCGGCGTCATCATCATGGACGACGGCAGGTCGAGATTCTTGCCTCGCTGAGGGGGGGTAGATGGGGGCTCCATGAGCTTGCGGCCTTTTTTCACAGCGGGTGACGGTGAGTTGGCGAGGTAGATGAGCAGATCGGCTCCCTCCTCGCCGGTCTTGCCATTCGCTTTGCTGCTGTTCTCCTTGTTACGCCGAGATCGAGTGTTCATGGGCGGTGTGCGAGGCGCAGGCGGCGAGGAGCGTACGTTGAACGAATGCGCCGGGAGAAATTCGTCATCATCGTCCGAGGGAGCGGCAAAATTGGGCGACGTGAGCTCAGTAAGGTGTCGGTTGTGAAAAAAGGACACATCGGGACCAGTGGCAGTCGTAAAGTGTTGTTGCCGGCGAGGCTTGATAGGAGAAGACTGCGCCAGCTGGTGGGATTCCTTCCAGCCCATGACTTCGCTATTTGAAAATGATTTGTGTTTGGTCGGCGTCGCCCTGAACCTTTTGCTCGGGCTCGAGAACACATTGCCATTGGCAATATTGTCGAATGAGGCCAGGTACGTGCGTTTACGATGGCCTGAGGAGCCACCGCTGGACCCAACAGCATCCGAGAAGAGGGGCGCTTTCAAGGGCGAGCTCATGAGTGCATTATTGCGGCCAGGAAAGGGGTACGGCATGTCAGAAGCGTTCGAAGAAGACGAGTCTGAATGGTTGTCTGGTTCGAGAGCTCGCCGGCGGCGCATTTCTTCTTCGAGTTTCGGTTCGATAGTATCAAGGGTGAGATCTTCCCAGCCATGCTTGGCCTTGAATTGGGCCAGGGCGAGACGATTCTGGAGGTGACGGGCAATCTTGACATGTTAGAGAGTTTGTGGCATCGCAGTGGTTGTTTCCCTACCTTGCTCACTTCCGCTCGCTTAAGAACACAGTCCGCCACTTCCTCCGGTTGTTTCTTCCAGGGCGAGGACATGGCTATGGGACCGAGTGAAGAAATCATTCGCTGGAGAAAGGATATTGACTGAAGGTAATGGTTTGCGGTGGTTTTCGTGGCCTTTTCCAACTCAAGAGGCTCGTGCAAGATATGTGGTGTAATGCTGGACGCAGGTAATCTTGATAGGAGAAGTAAGGTGGTGGCCGAGGGCTGGTTGCTGCGATACAAGATCACAGCTTGTTGGTATGGACATGAAGAAGGATTGGTGGCTGGACAAAGGGCCTGATTTCAGCACGCTACAGCCTGCAACGAGCGGCGGTAGACCTGTGCAGGGGCCCCGTGTCAATGATTCAGCCAATCACACACAGTCTTAGGCTGGCGCCGAGCGGACACCACCAAGCAGGGGCATAGAGTGCGTGCAGCAGCGTGAATTTGTGATCCCGTCATCGTTTGCCCATGATCTTGATGGATAAAGAGATGTCGTTGTTCAGGCTGTTAGATGGAATTTCCTCAGCTCAGGGTTTGTGCTCTGTAGAAAGGCAAGGTTGCACAGTACCTTCGAATTCTGGCTCCCTGTCGGACTGGACTGGTCTGGCCTCCCTACTTACCCTGGGTCTTTTATTGCAACATTCCGTGCACAGGAATATGAAGTGGTCGAGCCCCTCAAAGCTACAATAGGAAGGGAACTTGATCATGGCATTGGAGGAACATCACTGCACGCGCAAGCCACGAGGCTCCAGCGACCTGCTGCTGGAGCAGCCAATGGCTGACCACCTCTCACCAGGTTGTGCATGCTTATGCGAACATTTGCCGAATTCCTGATGCTCATGTGTTCGGTGTCTGGTTCGAGGCAGATTGGACGCTTGCGGTCATAAAGTAGCTTGGAAGCTTACAGGCCCCGCTGTGGCCGAAATTTCGGCTCATAAGATGCGCTTCCCAGGCGGCCAGGCGGCTCCTCCAGCAACCAAACTCGTCAAAAGGCCCGATCGAGATCTGGCAGGATAGGTTGTTCTCCCTGACCACTGCGCTCTGTACTTTCAGCTTTACGGTTGAGAAGTCCGGGATTAAAAGCGCAGAGTCCCAGAACAGGAGAACCTCAAATCAACTGGAATTCGCACATAGACCACGCATAGAATGCCGTGCCTGTCCCGAAATGCGTGTCTTAGACCGTCGAATTTAATTTAAGGGTTTCTCGTAATCCGTACGAGAACGAATCCCCAAGCGTCGGGCAATTACAGTGCTCATGACATGATACCTTGATGGGCATAAATGAGCTTGTAGCCAACGTTGAGATGCCGTTGCGCTGCGCCAAGAAGTGTGGTGCTGCATTTCCTGTGAAGGAGTTTCCCTGCCGGCAGCCGCCTGCCTGCTGTCCTGGCAGCTTTTGTTGCGACAAAATCGTCTTCTCGGACAAGGCCAAGATAAAGGTGTCACACGTATCCGTACGCTAAGAAGAAATATTGCATCTACTACTGCTTGGGATACGCAGATTGGCTTTAGACTACTGCTTGTATTACATCCGCATCGCCCTTCCAAGCGTTGGGAAAACATGGATCCGAGATCAGTGGCTATAGTATGGTTGCATCCGGCAGTGCAGTTAACATCGTATTTGTTAGATCAAGAGAGGGGATGTTGATCTTCGTGCAAGTGCGTCCGGGATCTGCCTTGCCTGCAACAGCATTCTCATGTTTTCCCATATTAATGATAGTTCGCTGTCTTGTTTATCTGCCTACTTTTTATCTTTGAATCATCCACTCCATCTTCTCCATCTGCTGCTCCTCACTTGGTCCCTGGACTTGTCTTACGCTGCGCGTGGGTGAGTTGCTCCAGTCTCGATGCGGAAACTGGTGACGTCATAATTAGACCTTTCCAACCAGGACTAACACCTAATTAATTCCCCGTCAGGAAAGAGAGAAACCGCAATCAGCATCTTCAACACGACGCAGTACTGCGAAGGGTGCTGTCGCTCCTCTCTTTGCCTTTTGAGCCTTCCTGCTCCTGACTTGAGTTTCACAACCCAACAGTCCATGTCTGATCGACACTTGATCAATTGATTCGGCGACCGTCCGTGGCTTCCATCAAGCTGCGATCCACATCAAGATCGACTTCTTGGAAAATCCACCCCCATCCTGGCAGCTCCAGAACGTCCCACGCGGCCAAGGCCAACCGTTCCAAGTTGTCAAGTCCCCAATCTCTCTCGCACCTTAGAACCTCCCTATTCTTGAAGATATCGACCTCCTCAATCAGCATTTGCCGAACCTTTGTGTATCAATTGTCGAACTCAATATCGTATCCCAGTCCTTCTGATCTGCTTCCGATTCGAGACGTGTCAGCGCGCTCACCCCGTGCTTTTCGCAGCGATTGTCGACGAACTGTCTGTACAAATCTCGAACCCGATCCTGTTCCTACTTTTAAGTTAGCGATCTTTTGGCTCGCCGTCGGTCGTTTGCCCTTTCAACACTCTATCACGGCGCAACATCACACCACCATTGTAACCATTAGAGCTTGCACAGCCGTCACCACTGCATCAATGCTCATTCAGTAACTCTCGGATCCTTTTTCGGCTACGACAATGGCACCGACATTCCTTAAGAGCCTCCGACGGCGCTCCAGGGCGAGCTTCCGGACCGAACGTTCAACGACAGACGACTCTAGCGAAGGCGGCGCGAACAGTCAGGGCACAGGTGGCGCGTCTAGTGGTGCTGTCACTCCAGCCTCGATCAACCACCACTCCGACCCTGCTCTTGACTTACAGATTAAGGACACGCCGAACGCATCGCAAAGCACTTTGTCTCAAAAGCCCGCCATCCCAAATACCAATCGATACAGTGTGTCGAGCATGTCAGGCTTGGGCACGCCGTCAATACACGGGCGCCCGAACCTGCCTGTCTCGCAGTACGCTCCGAGAATAGACAACGCGCAGGACGGGATATTTGTACGAGCGATTGCTGGCATGGCACGATGAGAACTTTCTCTAACATATCTAGGTATATCAAAAGGTTATACTCCTGCATGGGACAATCGGCGACGCCAACCAGCACTCGCTTGACGGCAACCTCACAGTCACGAAGCTTGATGACGATTTTCCTCCCATCAGTTGGCCAGTTTGCAGCTCGCACTGGAAAGCTCTTGTCTATCTTCGCCCGGGTCCAAACAAGATCAGACTCGAGTTCAGCAGCCCGAAAGTGGTAAACTCGTCTACGTCGAACCCAATCCACGTCTCCTATCTCACTCTGCATATGATACCCTCATTGGATGCGCCTCCTTTGCACCTGGCCATCATGTTAGGGAAAGACTCACCAGGCACGTTTGACACGCATCCGGCGCGCATTGAGAAGGAAGGGAACGGGCTAGAGACGGCAGTCAACAAATTTCGCATGGCCGCCTACTTGTGGCAATCATTCACAGCCGAACAAATGCTGCGACACAAATTTGGGCGCCGGACATTCCGTTTTGAGGAAGAATGGACCTCAGGGACTGCCAATCACCGCGACCGCGAGAAAGGGAGGCAAAGATCAGAAGCAAAGATCAACATAATTCGCTCCGACAAAACTGTCGCCGAGCTTCGCGATCTCAACATGGCGCAGCAGCATAAGTCTGCCAACGACAAAGACGGCTTGTTTGAAGTTGCAATGGAAGCGGTCAGGCAACACTTCAACCCGCGACCCGGACAGCATCTCTATGTGACCGTACTGCTCATGGATGCGCATTGGGATGCTTCACAAAAAATATTGGCTGGGCATGCGGCACTGGGAGGTGGATCTGGCGAGATGCACCTCTCCATCTTTGGATCGCATTGCCTGTATAGTTACCCATCGAGTCTCGAAGAGGTGGTACCTGCCTTTACAGACTGCACGCCAACGGACACGAACTACCTCGCCAACGACAACAATGAAGCTGGCAGCTCCTGGGAAGCAGCAAACATAGGAATCGGCGCTCACCTGCATGAAGTGGGCCACCTGTTCGGCTGTCCTCATCAGGAGAGTGGCATTATGCTGAGAGACTACGTCGTTTTCAATCGCAGCTTTATAGCTCGCGAGGCCTACTCCACACGATCGAAGTGCAAGGGCGGACTTTGCCTCGTGTCAGACGAGTGTGAGTGGCATCGTTTGGACGCGTTGCGCTTCAGGGCACATGCAGCCTTCAGAACACCCAACGATCCTCCTCAACATGCCGACGCAAGTATACAGGCCTACCCTTCCGAAAACGGCAATATCTTGGTGGTTGCACCTTCAGGTGTAGCCTTCATCGAGATTTTTGCTGAAGGTGATGATGTGTGTCACACTTGGCTCGAGTGGCCAGACACCAACGGTGCGGGTCGGCAGGTCTCAATCGCTGAGGCTGACCTGCGCGCGAAGATCCCGCAGGCCAAGAGAAAGGGCAAAATCAGGTTATCGATCAAGTCTCATGCTGGCGGTTCCGCGGAAGTCGATGATGTTAAACAGTTTATTTCTAAGGAATCTTGCGTGAAGCTGGAAGGAGGTGGTCATGCGTTCCGTGGCATGAGGCTAGGTCATTCATCTATGGATGGGTCCCAGTCACATGAAGTCGTATTCGACAGTGCCATCAACTCCAAGAGAACCTTATCCCGGGTTACTGTGTACCACGGCATGGCTGTGGATGGCCTCCAGTTCACATATGACGATGGGTCGTCACAATTGTTCGGCAAGAAAGGAGGCAAACCCGAGGGAGACACTGTTGAGCTTGGTAAGCACATGGCGGGACACGTGGTGAGCAAGTACTGACATCCAATTTTAGATGTTCGACGTGGCGAGACAATTACTGGCTTCCATGTCAGGGCTGGGTTCTGGATAGATGGATTGCAGGTTTTGACCAGTCAAGGGCGAAGGTCCAATTTCTTCGGTAACCCGCATGGGGGAGATGGGTAAGCAGACCTTTGACATGTTTTCCATGTGCCTGCTAATCAGTCTATTCAGTTATACGCTCATGCCTCCACGAGGATTCGGTATATGCGGTGTTTCAGGGTCTTGCGGGTCATGGCTCGATGGCTTTTCCATCTTGATCAAGCGATGAATTGGATTATCAACATTCACGCCTCGGGACTCTCCACATGTCTCGCCAAAGCGCAGGGTTTGTGACGCGGAGTGACCGAGACATTGTCCAAGTGTCCCCGTCGCTGACCTATCGACCCAATCCACGAAACGGACGCAATTGTAGCCTCTCTACAATCACTGGCTCGGGAGAACAGGGCTTCTTGGGGAGCATTGACTTTGGCGTTGAAACCTCTGACTTAGTGTAGAGGATATCACTCCTCTGAGATCTGACACAGCATGGGTGGGCAAGGCAGCATAGGCATAGAATACTCATACACGTTAATACAATGCAGCACATATCATTCAATATAGCCTTGCTATGAATGAGCCTTACAAATCGACAGTACGGTCCAAGCATGTGAAGCAATGCCAGCTACTGCGCCTGGCGCTAATATGGTTAATGGTGGCCACGTCCTTAGCATGCCCTCTCTCCGGCACTGTCAATACCACACAAAACACTAAGTTACCTTGATATTTAGTCCTAAGCGGCGGATCATGAGCTATCATACTGCTGTTTGCTGAAGTCGCAGGCTTTTGATAATCACCCATCTCTCAAGAAACTTGAGAACAAAGCTGCTTATAGAGAAAGTGACATCGCTTCACCACGCTCAACAGTGTCACGTGTTTGAGGTAGGAGCTAAATCAAGCTTTAGCGCAGCCACGCAATGACTTCATTGTGTTCTCCCCACTACCAGCGACAAACGTGACGCTCTGGGCAATAAGTAGCGGACAGCCTCCGTTGACTCCAAATATCTTCTAAAAAATTGGCTATTCTTACATTGTTCAAGAATCATCATCTCAACCCGCACACGTCAGAAACTACAACCAAGAAACAGCCGACCGTACACGAGCGAAACATGTCAAAACGGGTTTCTACCAACTCCAATGGAGTCGCTGCGAAAGACGCAAGCTCAGAAGGCGGTAAGAGATCTATCTCGGAGCAGGTCCTAAAGTGTTTTTCTCTAATCAAACCTAGGTATGGATAAGCAGAAGATGTTGCTGTCCGCCGACGTGGGCCACTTCTCTCTGGTACGCGCCATGCACCTTGCCGACCTCATCACCCTCATGAACGGTAAGAGATTTCCCTCCACTGCAGTGTAAGCAGGCTGACTGACGTCCCGCGATAGGCTTCTGCGGAACAATGTCAATATTCTCGTCACTGCGGTATACCTTGGGTGACGCGGACGAGTTGGGCCAAGTTTGGCTGGCCCTGGCCTTCTTGCCATTCGGGTTCTTCTTCGACGCCTTTGACGGCAAGGTGGCTCGCTGGAGGAAGAAGAGCAGCTTGATGGGCCAGGAGCTTGACTCCCTGGCCGACCTGGTAAGTTCTCGGTTCTGATATCGCGCGACCTTCAGTGGCTGACCGGGGCAGATTTCTTTTGGCGTGGCCCCCGCCATGGTGGCCTTCACGATCGGCATGCGCTCTTTCAACGACACCGTCCTACTGACCTTCTTCGTACTCTGCGGCCTCACTCGTCTTGCGCGCTTCAACGTCACTGTCTCGACTCTCCCCAAGGACGCGACCGGCAAGAGCAAATTCTTTGAGGGCACCCCCATCCCGACATCACTGGGCGTGGACGCCGTGATGGCATACTGGGTGTACCAGCGCTGGATTCACCAGGACCTGCCTTTGGGTGTGTGGGCTGAGGGTACCGCTTTCGAGGTTCACCCAATTGTGCTGGTGTTCGTCGCACACGGGTGCCTCATGGTGAGCAGGACCATTCGTATTCCCAAGCCTTAGGTCGTACCATGGATGCACATGCAGACGAGGAACAATATGACGTATCTTCACTTACACTGGATGAGAGCAGGATGGATGTAAGTGTGTTGGCACAGAAACGAAGAAGCGCATGGCTGGTTACGTATACGCATTGAAGCAGCAGTAGCGACCGAACATGATTATCGGCATGTGATATAGATCGACGATTGGAACAGAAACATGATACCCATGCGAAGCTTTCACCAGAGAAACGGTGCCTGCGGAGCGCGAGAACGCAAGGCCCATCTTACGAAGACGTGACATGTTGATCGCAGTGGTGGTAGTAAGTCCTTGATTCAGTAGACCGAAAGCAAAATGTCCCCATTAACGCCGGTTATCCCATACACCCTGAACGAGATTTCTTGCACATATGTGTACTTTGAACATCCACCCCTTAGTAGCCACCACGGCCCCTTGAGAAGCCACCGCCGCCGCGGCCACCACCTCCACGAGAGAACCCACCGCCGCCGCGGCCACCACCACTACCACCACGCGAGAAGCCACCGCCACGGCCACCGCCTCCGCGACCACCAAATCCACTGCCTCCACGGCCGCCTCCGCGACCGCCACCTCCCCGTCCACCGAAGCCACCCCTAGGTCCTCCGCGGCCAGCGCCACGAGGTCCTCCCCTTCCACCAGCGCGCTTGGGCTTGGGCGCACCAGGCGGGGGCTTGGGCTTGGGCAGGAACTTGTCGAGCGGCAGCAGTTTCTCGCTTCCAATGTAGAACTTGTCGCCCTCCTTGAAAGATGTCGCCTGGATGCCCTCGGAGGGTTTGATGGTGAAGTAGACCTGGTTGATCGGGCCGAGGACCTCGTCGACCTTGCCGACGGCGGTCTTATTCTCGAGGAAGATCTGGGCGTTGAAGTGGGGGACCTTGGGGTTGATCGACTCGCAGACCATTTCGCCTTCGCAGGCGTGCATGAACTTGCCCATCTCTGTGTGTCCAAAAGTCAGCCACCCACTCTTCTTCTTCTTGCCTGCTTCCGTTCACCGTGACCAATGTCGGCCAACCAAGAGGGCAAGGGATGTCCTACCAAGGATCTGTGCGGGCGGTCCAAAGTCTCTCTGCTGGAATCCTCCACGACCTGTTCGGAGCGTCAGCGGCTGCACCTATGACATGCCTCTCACAATGGACTGCGAGCGAGGCTCTTGGGGGTCCCAAAACGTACCACCACCACGGCCGCCAAAGCTGCCACCGCGGCCTCCGCCACGACCGCCTCCACGGAAAGACATCGTTGATCGCTGTTGCTCGCTGCGTTCGGGACGTATGCAATTGGGTGTATCTCGCGATCCGGATTTTCCGTATTTCGTTTGTGTGGTCGGACAATACGGGTGGTTCAAATGTTTAGATCCCGGTATGGCTTCCGCATTGGAACTTTTTTTTGTGCCTGGTGGAAAATTTCGGCGTAGCGAGCTCTGGGAGCCGGGTGTGGCTCGTGATTGGTAGCGCACTGCGGAACATAGTCGTGCCGGATTTACGTACCACCACGCTTCATGGCGGAAGCAATGATGAGTGCGAATAATAAACCTGTGGAAGAAAAGGGTATAACGCAATTGACATGGAGGAAACAATTCCTAACTGTGGTGAATTCTTCTAGTCTGTCATCAATTCTACATAGTTGCGCTGCCGATGTACCTCTTTGCACGGAGACTGGACTTCAGAACATGAAAATGCGGTCTGATGCTTCACCAGGTCACGAAGAGAGGCGTGATTCAAAAGACAGATAATCAATTCGAAGCTGCAATAATAGAGATACTACACAAAGAATATACTGTTATCCTGAAGACTCGAGACCAAGCGTCTAGGGGACCGCGCTTTGTACAAACCATCCATTTCCCATCCACCATTGGAGCAATACAGTGAAATCCATAGAGAAGCAAACGATAAAGAGGCAAGGAAAGACGTAATGAAGGGAAATCATCTATGCCATGCTGTTCCGGGGGTAGCCGCCGGGCACGTGTAGATTGGAAATCGTGTTCACACTCTCGTTCCTCGAGGTCTGGTTGGTCGGTCGCCTGGGGAGGTCGTCGTCTCCGACCTGAGTGCCATCCGCGGTCACGTCGGACCCAGAGGCTTCTGGTGCAGGCACTTGGTCTGCCTTGTTCGGGATGGCACCGGTCGCAGTCGGGGCATATGCGCTACCGTTGGCTTGTTGACCTTGGGTCTCTGCAAGAGGAGGCTCGCTTCCGGAGTTCATGCCTTGTGGTTCCTCGACATGAGCCGGCTGAGCTGTTCGCTCTGGAAGTGAAGTAATGACAGGTGCAACAAACGTCGAATCTTGGTGATATGCCTGAGGCTGCTGTTGACCCATGAAACCTGCCTGCTGCGCATGCTGCTGCATTGGCTGCTGGTAGTATTGTTCCTGCGCTTGTTGCTGATGCTCGGGGTATCTTGCTGGCTCGCTTGTGTATGGGTTGACACCATCATATTGCGCCTCGTGACTGGCAATGACGGCGCTGGAAGGCTCGTCAACAGGAGCTTGATCAAACCCCCCATAGTTGCGCTGGTCGTGTTCATTCTCGTACTGGCCATACGCGGCGGCTCCCATGGCTGATCCTGGAAGGGCGGTGGCGGCACCGATTGCCTGAGCATCCGAATGCTGGCGCTGTTGTTCCCGAGCACTGGAGCTTAAACTAGATGTCGATCGTGGGGCTTGTAAGCCACGCTGTGCATTGACTTGGATATCAGATGGAAACCGCCCACCTGGTTGAGATCGCCGAGACGCCGAGTCGCCCCTGGGACCCGGGTTAACGTCGATTTGCGCTCCTGCCGAGAATGGCTCCTCGTCATCGTCGTCGTTGAGCCCGTCGCTGCTAGCCGATCGGGCCGATCGGCGCGAGGATTGACTCAAGCTGCGAGAGTGGTGTCGCACGAACTGGTTGCGCTCCTCAGGGGTCTTCTCTGTGAGAGCCTTGATATCTTCATACCAGGCCATCATCGTGTCGTGGCTCTCGGCACGGAACACCCATGTGTGTCCGCGGTGCAAAGTACCTGTCTGGCGCCCTTTGAGCACGAACTTGTTGGATGACCCCTCGCCTGTAGAGTGCGAGCCCACCTTCTGCTCGGGCAAGTACAGCGACATGACGGGCGCCTGGCCCTTGTCCGCCGACTTGAACTCGTGAAGGTGGGTGGTGGATAGAACGTACCTAACCTGGTTAGCAAGTTGTCTACGAGTTTTGTTGCATGGACTTACCATCCTGCGGTGTAGCTCTTGAGGTATTTGCTCTTGCGCTCGAGCAACCCGGCACGGATCTCCTGCGCAGCCACATGTTCCTGACCCGGATAGTGAATCTGCTCAGCAGAACGGAGTGGGATCGTGGGATCCACAAACTGCTCATCGTGGGTGACGAAGTGAATCCATTCCTGGTCCTTGGGCATTGAGATAGGGCCATCGCGGAGCTCCTCGATGACACCGTACGCATTGTCTGCTTCGCGCTTGAGGATACCAGCGTAGGCGTTGTAAGCCTTCTGAATCTCGCCCACGACGATTGATTCGAGCTCACGACCGGAGTTCTCGAGATTGAGGTACGCTTGATGAAGATAGTTCTCCTCGTCCAATTGACGCTCTACCTGCCGATCAACGGCTAAACGCAGGAGGAATGGGTCCTGCTTGCCGGTCGTGCTGGCGTCATCGGCCTCATTCTTTCCGAGCACGTCTTGCAGGTGGCGGACAGCCTTGCGAGTGCTGTCCATCTCCTTCTCGACTGTGTTCTTGAAATCCCCTGACAGATTCTTGATCTCCTTGATCTTCTGCTGGAGATCGCTCCGCAGGCCAGTCAAGGCCAGAATGACATCTTCCTCAATGTCCCTGGCCTTATTGGCCTCCGAGATGGCGTTCTTGTTGTACACCCGAAGGAATTGAAGCGCATCATCAATACCAGCCGACTTGAGGAAGCCTGGCGGACTCTGGATATTGTTTGACGTATTGGCAAGCTTGATCAAGGCCTTGCCACGATGCTCATAGTGGTGCTGAATCTCCCGGAAATACGCGATCAGATCCTTGAGGACCTTTCTCCAAGCTGCATATTGTCAGAAAGTGCGGTCGCAGAACAGAGAGAAGAATACACTTACACTGGAATCGGTTAATGAGGATCTCAGTGGGGTTACCAGAGGTAGGCACAGGGCAGAAAAAGGCGCTGTGGGACTCGTCGCGGTCCGAGGAGGACTGGAGGACAAGGCTCTTTACGCTGCCAGCTCTCGCGCTGCGACGACTGCCTCCACGTCCCAGGCTGCCGCTGCGGCGCATCGAGCTCTTCTTCTTAAGGGTATTGCCTCTGCTGGGCAACTTCCCCGTCGAAAGCTGTTCCTCGTCGCCGGCATTGTAGCTGTGGACCGAAGCTGAGCGCTCCATCGTGCTCCCTCCCGTGCGCGGCGCGGCGCCGTTGCGCCCTCCGTCAATAATGGAGCTTCCTCGCTGGCTGGCGTCCCACTCCTCGGTGAAACGACCACCACCGGCTGGGTAATTTTCGTTGTATTGCTGCTGGCTGCTGTCGAATGCAGGATTGTAGTTGACTACGTCGTTGTTTGACTGAGGGGCATAGTCCGCATCATGAACGCCGTTGTACGAGTTCGCTGGGTGGCCGTCGACACCTGGGTGGGCTGCTGATGACGAAGGATATTCCATACTGGGCGAGACACAATTGACCGGCGATAGCAAGGATCGTCGTCTGCTCGTCCGCAACTACGACGAGGGGGTTGCTGGGGTGGCAGCGCGCGAAACGAAAAGCCACGGAAGAGGGTAAGAAAAAAAGAGGATCTGCAAGCAAATGGCAATGGGTGTAAGCATTCAACTGTTCGGCAGCAGGGGTGAGTGAAGGAGGGGGAATCGGACTGCTTTTGGCGATCCCGCTGGGCAGAAGATGTGGGCAATTGTCGATGAGGTGTTGACGCAATCGTGTTCGGTAGCGGTCGATAGTGGAGGATTGGCACTAGAGCTAGTGCGCCGCCGCCGCCCCGTTTGACGACGACGAGTCGACGACCAGCTACCTACCAACAAGTAGCCTTTGCACCGAGCAGACGCCGCAGAAGCGTCGCACTTGGCTGGAACTGCTCTTGCGCAGGCAGACAAGTTTCTCCAAATGGTTCAATGATTTATTCGCCGTGCCGTGCAAGCAGCCGTTGTACAGAACGACAAGCTTCGTGAGGCAGTCGAATGCGCCAGACCCACGAAATAGAGAGAAGACCCTGAAGATCAGATCAGTAGATACGGCAGTGTTACTATACTCGGAAGCAGGGAGGGCTATTAAGGCAGAGGAGAAATAGATACGGATCCCATGCCGAGCCATGTCGGCGCTCTTGGCTGGCGAAAGAGTGACCTACGTGGAATGCCACCGTTCCCGGCGATCAGGTCTCATGTCGCTCGTCGCTACCCAACTCTGACGTACTCGCGATGGGAATTGCCCCATTGGCATGATGCCTTGACAAGACGATACTAAGGCAAGCTTGGCGTCGACATGGACCGGCAGAAATTGGTGACCGATTGACATGGTCCCCAAGACGCCTGTGAACAGCCTACAGGTAGGTCGTCCACTGCTTCAGTGCTGTGCAGCGTCCAGTCCATTCCCTGGGGAACGAACGATGACGTATCCACTGATCTCAATCTCACGGCAGCCACGCGGCCCCACCTGCCCCGCGTCCAGTCCGCGTCCGTCGCAGGACCGTTGTTCTCGATGAAGCCGCAGAGCACCCACTGCACTATTCTCAGGCTAGGCCGAGGAAATCTGAGCATCCGCCTACCCAGTACAGCAGCCATTTGGTTCCTTGCATAGAGCAGGAACATCGCGAAATTACACCAGAGCAATGTAGCAAACATCTATTCCAGCCCTGGCAAGCTCTGCATAACCCCCGCCCGCCTCGCAAGCTCGTGCTCTCCATTCGCGGGCATAGACTTTCGCCCTTGAAGCTACGACTTGTATGTACGCAGTAGAGGCCTCTACCTCCGGCGTTAAGACGTCAACGCCATTTTTTCGTTCAATTCTAGCTCATTGCTGACGAAAACCTGAGCTTTCGGTCATAAGCTGGCGAACGACATGTAGTCTACTGACGGTACATACCGCCGGCAGGGGGAATGGAGATGATGGATTTCGATTATCCGAATTACAAGTTGATTTCTATCGGGATTCCTCGATGGCAAATCCATCGGAAGACTCTTAACGCTAGGCGCCTATGCAAAATTGTAGCCTGCCAGCTGACCGTCTTATGGCCTGTACATATTCCCAGCACCTCCTAGGTGCGCAAACGACATTCAAATCAGAGCTCAGCTCATATACACCGGCCACAATGTCAAAAAGCAGTATCCCCTCCAAGTAAAGTCCTGGACACACAAAGTTAGGCATCAGTCGGTGGATCTGTCCTGACCTTGCTCTCCAGACCATTCTCTGGAATCGTGTCGACAGGAGAATGCTGTGCCGACTTCAACCTCCCAAATCTTCGAGGAGGTGGTGCCTTTGGAGGTATTTTTTTTGCCGTCTGTGCAAACGGGATGCCGTGGCGGTGCTTTGGCACATCAGGCACGGGCTTTTTTGCACTGACAACAGCTCCATCTGAAAGACATTGGCCATCACCCTTCCCATTCTCGCCGTCATTGCGACTAGGAGTCTGCACACCAGGTTTCTCCCTCACGCCAGCAACATCGTGAACACTTATACTACTGGCGGTCTGCGATCTTGAGAGGCTGATCCCTAGAATCTTGCGAGCGACTTCAGCCTCGCCCGTGCCTTGTTCACTGTCGAGCCACTTGACTTTGGCCACGCGATCCACGAGCCGCAGTGTTGTCTCATCCGCTGGGGCAAAGTGGGCGTTCTGTGATCCGCGTAGTAGACTCAAAACTCTCAGGATCTCTTCTCTTTTGTAGTGAGGCGGCTGACTGAGTTGCGTGTGAGCGAGTAGTGGATACAGGACACGCAGGTATGTGTGCCGCAGGGAGATCTTCTCGTCCGGCAAGTCCATCAAGTTGCGGATGATGACATCAAGAAGCACCCGCAGATCGTTCGTGTAGAAGTACTCGTACGTAGATTTGTTGGTGAAAAGGAGGTAAAGCAGCTTCAAGATGAGGAGCTGCAGCGATGTCTCTGTCTCGCGGTTCAGCAAGAGGATGATGTTCTCCCCAAACGTGCGATACGAGGGACCATGTAAGCTCAAACATTTGACGATGCGGTTTGTCAAAGGAGGCTCATCCGGGTCGTCAGACTCGGTCGACGCCAACATGTACTGCTCATTCAGAACAAGCTGCGACAAAATCAGCCAAGTAACTCCGTGGGAACTCGAGTGGGCTCACCAGCACACGGATCGTCGGGTAGTGGTACGGGTCGTGGACATCGTCCGACAGATTTTCGATGATGCTGAAGAGGTAATGGATGAAGTCGTCGTCGACCAGCTGAATGTCGTCCCGTCGTAGCCTTACCATTCGCGACATCTCGTACATTAGCTGCAGCAGAAAGCGGTGCAACCGGGGGTCGCCGTCCCTCTGTCCATTGATGAGCTCCAAAAGCCGTGGGAAACAGGCCTCCTCAATCATGCGCGGGAACAAACTCTCTTCGTGATTGCCGTCGAGCAGTAGCAGGCATGCTATCGCCGATAACGGACTCGCTTCATCCTCCTGCAAGAGGCTGTGGATGAGTTGTGTACGGATGTAGACCTTGTTGTCCTGGAACAGTGCGCTCTCCACTAGCATATGGCTCGAGCTGATGACATCGCCCTGCGAGTTCGTGCCGTCGAGGAGTCGGGTCGTGGCGTCGAGCCAGGAGCGGAGCGCATCATCGATCGATTCGTGGGATTCGCAGACAGAGGCGATGCATTGTGCCAGGTCTGCGCAGCGTGTGAGTCGTACGAGAATGACAGAGTTGCGGGGGCTTTTTACCTGACCAGCACTGCTCCTCATCTTCCAGAGACAACGTTGCCCTTTCGGCGTCCGCCATACTTCACACAGGACAAATGGCGCGACGATCGCAGCATCTGGTCAAACTGAGATGCACTGGCCAACAAGGATTCGATAGAACAATGTCGAAAGGCGGATCGGTTTGAGTCTACAACAGCTGTTTGGCGTAAGATGATGTGAAAATCAATATCGGCATGAATTATTGGAATGCGAAACTACAGGCAGGCGAGAGAGCCTCCAGCCTTGGTGGGTTGGAAGTCGGAGGTCGTGGTGTTCTTGATTATTGGTGGGGTAATTAACAGTGACGGACGTGACTCAGGTAAGGCAAGGTAATGAATTAACTACCACCAGCCTTAGACAGTCGAAATACCGACCGATCCTTAATCATAAATTAATTACAGAAGTGCGTCGACGGACATCTATTTCCCGATCATATATACAATGTCTACCAGGTTCTATTTGCAACCTCAAGGCCGACAGACCACCGCCCTCAAGCAGCGCTATTATCATAAAATATTACAGGCCCAAGCGTCATGGATTTCCTGCTCCATTTCTCAGCAAAAAACAGTTGCGAGTACGGAACAAGCCGATTTCAGTCATGACCACCAAGAAGAAAAACAAGAGCACGCTGGGAACGTCTTCCTAAGACGCATTGTCTGCTGCTTCAGGCACGCTCTCTTCGTCGTAGATCTTGACTTTGGCCGCGTATTCACGAATGTTGCTGACAACGTGGCTACTGATGGTGTCGCCCTTGCCGGCCGCAACGCGAAGAATCAGTTCGTTGAGATTCTGCCGGCCCAGAATATCGACGTGATCAGCCGTCCTTGGTCCGCCTCGGGGGTTGAAGCGCTCCGGTTCATGGGGCATCTCCACGACGGTGACCTTCACCCCCGCGGGATTGTAGCGCTCCATATTCCAGCCCTTATTGCACATGTACCCTGTGCTCAATAGGTTGACAGTGCCATCACCTTCGCCCATGATGACGCCGTGATCAACATTGCCTTCGGTAAGGCCAATGTCGATTGTTATATTCAGTTTCGTCTGGGTAGGTTGGTCTGGCGACTTGTAAAAATAGGCTCGCTCTGTCGGCTTCCCAACACCATAAAAGCAGTAGATCTTGAGGCTTGGAGCCAACGGCAATCGGGTCTCCAGAGGATTGACCCACTTTGTCTGGTCCAATTCGTTGGCCTCAACTTCGGCTCTCGAGTGCGCGACGCCATGCGAATAACTGCCTTTGATTTGATTCTGATACCAGTCACCGGTAGTATCGAATAGATATTCCAAAGACTCTTGCACTGTCAGATTGTGGGCTGGTGTTGTCCAGTTATTACCGGTTCGAAAGTTAAGAAAGGAGCCATATGAGACCTTCTGGTTTGGTTGATCGTCGGGCGCCCAGTCGGCGTCTCCCCAGACCGCGTTACCTCCCATCGGAAGCATTGACGATATGCCTGGCATGGCGCGAAACAGTTCGGCCCTTTCCTCTTTGCTAAGGAATTGCTCCAGTCCATAAACGGCAAAGGCATTGAGCTGTGCAGTGTCGCGCATCTCTCCGGACAGAATGGCAGTGAGATCCTTGACGGCCCCAAGCATGCATCCGCTGATGTTGATCCAGGAACTGATGTGCTCTTCGACCCAGCTCGGCCCACCTCTGCCCCCGGACTCTGACTGAACCCAGTGAAAAAAGTAGAAAACGACTTGGCTTCCCATACTGTGAGAAGCCAGGACAACTTTCTTCCCATCAAAGACGACCGCCGACTCGATGTAAGACTTGAGTTTACTGAAGTAGCGGTCACGAACTTCGAGGTTTTTATAGGCGAGTCTCCAATCGTAGGCAGCGGTGTACGAGTTTGTCGGGTCATAGCCAATGGTGGCCATGTTCTCGAAAATCTTATTCCATATCCAGTAGCCCGTAATGAAGAAGTCTGTCGCGTCAAAGCCCTGGGCAGCGCGCAGCTTCACCATGGGCGGGTCGAGACCGGTGCGCTTGTCCAGCATAATGTGCCTTTTCCAGATCTCCTTATCCATCACCAATGCTCTCATCATCGTCCAACTTCCCCAAAGTCGCTTCCGAAAGTATGCTCTTGAAATGTTGGCTGTGCCCCAGGACTCGAGACCCGTAGAAATAACACCAGGCACCATGATCATAGGGTGGTGGGCCTCGAGCCCTTCTGCCTGCGCCTGCATTCCAACAGAGAAGGAATCGTATGTCTCTGCCACGGCGCGCTCCCCTTGAACAAAGTCTCTCAGATCCTTGACCAACCCCGGCGGAACAATATCCAGTATACTGTCCACGCTGATCTCACCGAACTCTGGAAAATCTATCAAGTCGTTGCTCGATGCAAAGAACCCCGCGCCTACGATTCCACATAAGCTACCGAGAAGGAATATAAATGTGTTGCGGCGTTTGCTCTTCTTTGGCTTTTGTTCGACGACGTGCACGTGTGTGGTAGGTTGGTCGATTGGGCTGTCCTCGCGATGAGGCACTTCGGCTCCACGTTCATCTGGAAGCAACCGACGCCTCAACGTCGACGCCATGATTGTGGGTGAACGTTCTCGCTGCGACGGCGGCGGACGAAGCTCAGCGCTTGCGCGAAGTGTTGTCGACCCCTTGCAGGACGGGAGAAAATTGACTTCGGTCGGGGCGTACCACGAGCTGATCCAGTAGTGCAGAGTTGCGACTTGAGCATGGGCGCCTATTGCTGGAGATGATGCGAAAATGGCAAGATGGCGTGCGCTCATCGGCTAGCAGCGTAAATCGACAATCCGAGGGACAGGCACATGCAAATCTCTGTGGATATGGAAGGCGCGAGGAAAGTTGCGAGGATCTACCCGTATCAGCTGCACGCAGCCCTGAACGGGCCAGGGTGGGAGGGAGTCCGCGCCGCAAACCGTACCTAAGCCAGAGTCTGACGTCAATGCAGCTGCCCCACCAGCCGGTCGCGGATGTCCAGACTCCAGATGTACGAAGTAGTAGGTTATTAGTCTTGCGATCTACTTGTACTAGTCATTGATAGCTTATATAGTGTTCTTTTCCAAGGTCGCGCGTGATTTTGTTGAGTGAACACTTTGTCAGTAGTAGTCGTCGCGCGCAACACAGTGGCTGTCCTGACTCCTGCCAGATGGATGATTTCAGGCACAAACATCATATGATAGCAACGGATATCGCGCGTCGAAATCCCGTCCATGGCTTCCAGTCTCCACTCTTATAGACCGTACGCAGTTAGCGCAGTAAGCTGGCTCTGCCCAAGCCTCAAGCGCCAAGTCCGGGCTGTCTTCAACCCCGGCCGGTCCCTCACGACATCTTCGCCGTAATTAGCCCGCCTTCCGACTTCTTGCGCCTAGACCTCGAGGCGCCATCGCTACTCGTATACTCCGTACCCTGCGCCTCCAATCCTCTGAAAAGGCAACGACAAGTCCCAACACCCACGCGGCGTGACATATCATCCTCTGGCAGCCTTATTGGCCCTCCCCCATGACTCATCCGGAGGTCAGCTCATAGCGCGCATACGCATCACGTCGAGCGTCGAGCGTCGAGCGTCGAGCGTCGATTGCTCCATGAAATCAAAACACTGAGCTCCCCCTCGCCTCCGGATTTTATAGCTCTCACTCAATTTAGCGACCAAAATGGCCACATTCATGGGGACATTGGTCGAGCCAGAGAGAGTGAAGGAGTTGCGAGGAAGCCTGGAATACATACAGTATCAGCACAGCCTGGAGGCTAAATACCTCCCCGCCATCAGGGCGCTCATCTCGAAGGACCTCAGTGAACCATATAGCATATATGTTTACCGGTACTTCCTCTGTCAATGGGCACATCTCTGCTTCTTGGTTTGCACCCAACTCACTACAGTCAGCCACCATTCAACTGACACGACTTTTCCAGGCTCTCGACCCGGTGGACCACTCCCTGATCGGCGTTATCATTTGCAAGTTGGAAATACATGCTGTGCATTCAACGCCGACGCGAAGAGGCTACATTGCTATGCTTGCTGTTGCATCGCCATATCGAGGGCATGGAGTGGCCACTGCATTGGTGAAACGCGCCATCCAAGCCATGGCGGACAGAAAAGCAGACGAAATCGTCCTCGAGACAGAAGAGACAAACACACCAGCCATGCGTCTTTACGAGCGTCTAGGGTTTCTGCGGTCCAAGAAGTTGCATCGGTATTACCTCAACGGCAGTAGTGCCTATCGACTAGTGCTACTCTTGAGATCGGTGGACCCGGACAATTGTCCGGACCCTAATGACGGGGAGATTCTGTGATCACTTTGTGGCACACCATAATCGGGAGGTTTCGAGGGCTGCAGGTGCTTATGCTGTGGCTCGTGGTTGATATCTGACATGATTTAAGAAGCGATTTTGTGCCTGTTTTTGGAATAGACGGGTTCTACATAGAAGCGAGCAATGTTGAATTCTGGGCCATGTCCCGCTAAAAGATAACTATCGGTCCTAAGAGAAACTATCCAGCGAGCTGTAGATGGACGCGCGAATGCCCCATGGGTTTCCTGACGAGATACCAATGTAAGTGTAGGCATCTGTACAGGTCAGGTCAATGATCGTCTCCCAATTTCGGCACTGCCTTTGCTCACCGGGCTTGTAGTAAATTGGACGTCCCCGAGCCTCGACGAGCTTCAGCTCGCGAAGCTTCTGGAGCACACGTCGCACGTCTGCCTTGTTGCTGAAGTCTGCCGTGTACACGCATAGGAGGCGGTCTTTACGGGGATCCTCTGTCTCGCTTCTCGGTGCCACTTTGGCGGCTATTCCGAGCTCATTGTCCGCGGTCGACTTTGCCACAATCTCCCAGACTTCATTGACTTCTCGAGGCGAACAGAAAAGCATCCACTTTGGCATATCAGCACCACGTCGCGAAAGGCCTCAACAAGACGAGATGGCTCACGAACCTTGCCCGCGCGAACTTTCTGCATTGCTGCGAGGTTAAGTATGTCTGAAGTTGCCCGAGACTTCTCTTTTGCAAATGCTTTTTCTTTTGCTGCCTTCGTCTTCTTCGCTTCCTCCGTCTTCTCGATGAACGACCTCAACAGGTGCAAACGTTCCTCAGCACCTATCAGCAGCATCTGCACGTTACTCCCATCCTCTTCAGGGGCTTCGGCATCATCTTTGCGCCGCGTGTTGCTGCTGTCAACCTTGGCCGCCCGTGGTATGAAGGGGTTGCAGATGAATATCCACGGCGTTTTGTGGTTCTGAGGCGTTGTTTCCGGGGGCAGACGTTGCAGAAAAGACTCAACCGTCTCGGTCAGCTGCCAAGCGTAGTCTATACCGGCATACGGGTTGTGGAGCTGCGTCAAATTCTTTGTGAGAGTTGCGCGGGGAAGAGGGCGACCTGGATGAGACGCTCTAGCTTGGAAGTAGTTCTCAACATCGAAGCTGTCGATGCGTTCTTGAAGTTGAGATGCATGATCCCCGTCTCCTGGGCGCGTCAATTCGAGTCTGAATCGCAGTTCACTGGTTACATACCATAAAAGTCCGAGTCTACATCAGAGTCCATCCGGATAGTAGGAGGTCAAAGTGCTTCGAGGAGACTCGGGACTGATGGGGCTCCAATTTGGCGGTCTTCTGGATGCTTGGAGTTATCGATACTGGCACGTCCGCCAGAATCTCGTCGGCGCGCGCTTGGACTTTGGTTGAAGGCTAGCGATGGCATAAATTATTCACACGTAGAAGTTAGGAAAACGCCCGTGGCTTAGTACATACCTCAAGGTACCTTAACATGGGGGATCTGGGCGGTTATTAGTAGTCGTGGGTGACCCTAGAGCATGCGAATACCACCCACTTCGCTGCATTGTTTTCGTCTGAATGATCAAGGATCAATGATTTTAGTTTTCTCAATTCTTCAAAGTAGCCCAACAGTCGCCTCTTGATCTCTTTCATTCAGCGGTGACTAGTGATTACATTGCCCGGTTTAACACGGCTTGCGACTAATTCTATTGAGAATGGCCAAATCCATCTCATCCAAGTTTTCACTCAATCTGCATTTACCACCCAGTTGCATACAATTCTCTCCTACTCACCCGACATACCTGGTGACTGGGACCTACAATTTGCAGCGAGATGAGAACAACACTGCAAGTAGTGCACCTACCGCAGACGAGGCCACGGAGCCTCAAACGACGGGAACCAAGGCGCAAAGCCGGAACGGCAGTCTGGTCGTACATGAGATGAAGGACAATGTGCTGTGGGTTGCGATCCCGCGCCCCATGCCAATCAAGACTAATCATGAATAGACGACATGTGCAAACATCATCGACACCTTCAGCCCTGCTCGACCTGCGATTTAGCCATATCCCGGGGCAAAAGGACATCATGGCGGTAATCTCAAGTACCGGAACGCTGGCAATATTCCGATTCGATCCTGTAGCTGATCCAAATGCGCCGTTGCAACATCTTGCTACATCTCGATGCGATGATTTGGACGAAGCTGTGCTCTTCCTTCAATGCCAATGGCATCCCGCCCTTCCGAATACAATGGGTGTGACGACTTCGGCGGGCTCAGCAAGGCTGCTACAGCTGGACGAGCAATGGCGGATATGTGATTGGACCGATCTCGATATTGCGAACACCTTGGAAGCGTGGTGTATTGCATTTGCTCCTTCAGGCAGGGAACTCGCGTCTTCCGGTCATACCACTGTCTACTGCGGTGGCGACGATTCAATACTGCGGTATACTACTTCAGCCTACGGCTTGTACCCGCGGGCCACCGAGGACGTGGAGGTGGCAGCTCAGCCATCCATACTCAAAAACCAGCATAACGCCGGAGTGACCGCGATATTTCCATTAGATGCTTTCGATGCAGAGGGCAGCCGCCTCGTGATCACCGGAAGCTACGACGATAACATTAGGCTGTTCGCCGTGCGCGATCCCGACCCGGCGGCCTTTACGAAACGAGCAGAGTTACTGGCTGAAGAGAATCTGGAGGGCGGCGTCTGGAGACTGGATCTTGTACACGCGAACGCTTCCGCAGAGTGTCCGATTTTTTGTGTCCTGGCATCGTGCATGTACGCAGGGGCCCGCCTGGTACAATTCGCAAGAGACAAGCAAGGCATCTGGCAATGTGACATTGCAGCAAAATTCGAGGAACACCAGAGCATGAATTACGGGTGCGCATTTGTGCTGGGAAGTGAGGGTGAGAAGTCCTTGCAGTGCGTATCAACCAGCTTCTACGATAAGATGATATGTCTTTGGGATGTAGAGCTCAAGCTTGAATGTTGATAGAACACTGATTGGTGGTTGTCCTAAGTTCATCCACGCCTGCATGATGTCTACCTTAAGGTACCTACCAGGTACCTGGCGTGCTCTCAGCCTTGCAGCCTGTGTGGCTGATGTGCACTGGAAATGTGGCTGTAGCTGGCGGCCTGCCTCCACATCTGCAGGCGGCGCCTGCTGGCTGGCCACTATGCATTCGATGTCGAAGCAGCATGCAAAGTGCGCTCATCATCCGTGAATTTGCTCAAGCAGCTCTAATACGTGCAGCACGGTTGACATTCTCTTTGTTTGCTTTCGTTCCTCCAGTCTTTGTTCGGTTTGCCTATCCACTACGCATTTTCGACCTTACATCTGTACTGGCCAGCTTTTGCTCACTGCCGCCCCAACAGACCGGTACCTGTTCGTCCCCACGTGTGCGATACGAGAGTTCCAACGCCTACGAACGTCAGCCTCGCGTGAAGCCACTGTCGAGAAGTGAGCTGCTCCCACCGAACCGATCAACGCCGAGCTTTCCACATGAACTGAGAACCTACGCACCAACTAATGGTTTTTAAACAACGCGCGACCTCCCTCGAGCCAAGTTGCGCCTGAATAGACACTTACGCCTTCATCGCTGCCTCCTCGGGCGGCCTGCGTGTCGTACCACCTCAAGTCTGTTCCGCATCAGCATGGAGCCCAACGGCCAGCAGGGCTATGAGCCTAGCAGCACGGTAGTTTTCTCGCAAATCCGCCAAGCTCTCGAGATCGTGCATAGCCCGCAGTCAACGAACGATGCACGGCGGGAAGCGCAAGATTTTCTGGAGAAACTCAAGGGTACATCACGAGGCCCGCTCTTTGGACATAATTTAGGGAGTGACAGGTCTCAGCCGCATATTGTGCGGCATTATGGCCTTTCGTTGCTGGAATACTCCATCCGCTACCAATGGTCAGAGTATGGGGAGGAACAGAAAGAGGCATTGCTTCACTGGGTCCTGGAGCTGAGCCAGACCATCGCGCAAGACGATCCGTCATTCCTGAGAAACAAGACTGCCCAACTTTGGATCGAGGTGGCCAAGAGATCATGGGGTGCAGAATGGATGGACATGGACACGCGACTCGTCGAGCTATGGAATGTGCCAGACTCGCCAGCACACAAGGAGTTCGTCCTGTCCGTTTTGGAGACGCTTTCGGATGAGGTTTTTACTGGTGATGATCCTGTGGTTAGCTTTCGCGAAGGAATTCTTAGCAAGGCTTGCGTCGAAATCTTTACGCCAACCTCTGTCCTGGTCGAGGTGTTCCCCAACAGGCAGGCCGGCCCTGAGGTCCGCCATGGGCATGAAGGCTGGCTGACCCGGATCGCCGAGTTCCTGAAACTTTGTATATCCTCTGGACTTCGCGACAGCCAGACCGAGTCATGTGCCGTGAAGTGTCTCGCCACGATGCAGACGCAATTGCCTTGGGCCATTCCGAAAGCCATCATCGCTGCTGATGCCGTTGAAGTGCTATGCGGAGGCCTGGCGGTGCAGAGCGCCGATGTGCAAAAGGTTTGATTCAATGCTTCCGCAGGTATGGCACACGCAAAACTAATTCGCATGCTTAGGGGGCCCTTGAAGCTCTTCATGGCATGTATGGCCGCATCAACTTCAACGACACAGAGTTCCATGACCTGGTCTTGCCAATGTACAGGCCGTGGCCCGTGCAACTTTTCAAAAATCTCTTTGAGTATTCGCAGATCGACCCTAACGATATTGATGATGACAAGTATCTTGTCCTCAAGAAGTTATCAGAGGTAAGCCATCAGTATTACCACTGGAGAATTTGTAGAATGCGCTCTAATCATAAACAAGCTTCTTGCTTCCATTGGAGAGTATCTTGCGCGCAAATTCGATGAGGTGCCTGAGGGCACAGATGTCGACCCTTTTCTGCATCTCCTGATCCAGGTTGCTCAGCATCAGAGCTTGATGGTGTCGATACCTGCGGTCGTGACTTGGGGCAAGCTCCTCAACTGCAAGTCGGTAAGCAGCGATCGCTTTACGAATATGATCGGTCCTTTGTTAGAGATTGCTACGACGCGCTTGGTGCGCTACGAACACTTGCCAGAAGACTCTGAGGAACCACCTTTGCTCTTTCTCATGGAAGACACCGACACTATGCCTGAGCGACATGCATTCCTCGGCAACTACCGGCGCTTCACCTGTCAACTCGTTGAAGCCATTGTGAGACTCAGGTTGGCAGATGCGGTGACACACATCTTGAGCACTACAGATCAAGTCCTCCACAATCTTTATCCTCCGGGCGAGGGTCTCAATAGTATGTTGAGCACGAACCCGAGTGGCCTCGCTCCTGTGTGGCGAGCTAATCGATTATAGAACAAAATTACGACAAGCACTCGCAACCAGCTCTGCGCGTTGATTGTCAATTCACTGTCATCGAAGCCATGTTGAAGGGATTCAAATCCTGGAAGACAGCGAACAGCGATCGTGAGGTACGTCAGCGAGGAAGTAAGGAGAGGGTATGACTGGCGCTGATCACGAACACGAACAGGCCGTCGTCTCCATCGAGGCGAATCTGGAGGCCTGGTGCAACAAGCTAATCGAAATACAATTTGACGTGAGTCTCAATCTTGATTCTGTATTGAGCAAACGCCTAACGTAATGGGCAGGATCCCGTCATCCGCAAAAGATGCCTCCAGTTGCTGGTGTACTTTTCCACAACCGCTCTAAGCAACAAGACTGAGTTCATGCTGAAAGTACTTGAGCATATTCTGATGACTTGGCCTAACCCTGAGCCCGAGTACAAAACATTCAATGAGGCTGTCAAAGATCTGCAGGGCGAGAGTATGGTTGAACTGCAACGCTTGGCGTCGGAAATGCCAGACCATTTGATCGTGAGTTCTATGGTACTGCCAGCAATGATACTAGCGGCTGACGAAATTTCAGGATGTCTACGACCAGATTTCACATCGCGTGAATGAAATGCTGGCGTCCGGTATACTCGACGAGAAACGTACCATTGCCTACAAAAGCTTTTTATTCATCATTGTGTACGTTTCTCAGATATTTTCACCATCACAAACTGACCATTGCAGTCATAGGACGGACAAGATCAACGTGGACGCCAAGATCCCCCGGCTCCGCGAATTCATCGATCCTGTCAAGTCACAGTGGCAAGATACTCGTATCCAGTCTTCGCTAGGCTCGTACCCGGGCTTCTGTGAGCTACTCGGGCTGGACAAAGCGCAGGCCTATCTGGCCAAGCACCGTGCACATGCAATCCAAGACTGGGGTTCTTGCCCCTTGGACTCAGAAGGTCTCGCTATTCAGGCGGAGCTTGAGGAGAGGTTAAAGGTAAGTTTCATGCCGAGGCGACATATCACGAAGCGGGTGCTGATACTCTGAAGACATTGCCTCTGCGCGCCACCAAGAGCTTCTTGGCCTTCTCAGTGGAGCGCCTGAGTCGCTCATCGCCTGCGTTTCAAGCGTCACATGCTCTCTGGCAAGACGGCTTCACAACAATACTGGCGGATGTCCTTAGGTTCCTGAGCTACGCACACGCGTCACATAATCCGCAAAACTGGATGGGTGTGCCTCCGGACATGCGCTCTATGGTGGAGCGGGTACTAAGCGATCGCTTTTGGCAGTCGGGCATTTCCGAGGGCAGCAAAGACGACTTTTATGCTCGTGTGCAAGATAAGAAGGGAACAGTGGAAGGTTTCGCATCGACAGTACGGGGTTCTGTTCGATTCGTGCGTGAAACTGCCTACTCCATCATCTACTGCATGAGCCGGTTGGAGTCCTTATTTTACAGTGACTCCCAGCTCGCGGAACCCCTTGCACAATCATTTTTTGCTGATTCAACATGGCTATCTACTCACCAGCAAAGCCATCTGCTCAACCTGGTCCGGTACCTGGTAGACGATTGCCCGGTCGATTGCCGACAGACCTTTTTCCCTCACTTGCTTGAGGCTTGTTTCAGACAAACCGACACGAAGATCACCGGAGAATGGGCTCGCATGGAAGAACAGAGAATCATATCTGCCGATGGCGATAGTGCGCTCAAGGAGGAGATGAAGTCGGAAAGCATCCTGCGCCAGGTCACCTACACGGCTACGCTCATGGTGGCCGACTTCCTGGATCCGTCCAAGCTCAGTAAGTTGCCACAGTACCGGTCTCGTGTAGCAGTGCAAAGACTGACGATCTTGTCATCAGACCCGCGCACCTTGAAGCCTGCCAGCGAGGGGGAGGCCACTGTGAAGTACCCCACGCTTCGTAAATTTTGCTTGATGAACCAGCAAATTGTAGAACCTCTATTGGTGTTCTGCGCTCATGGGATTCGGATGAAGGATACTCGTTGCTGCAGCATGATCCTCCGGCTTTTCGTGTCGCTGGTCCCCGAGTTCAGCTCAGATCCTCCTGGATCGAAGAAGGCCACGCTACCGGATGTGGACAACTCGCCTGTGTCTCCCGAGATTGCGTCGGTGATTCGGGAGTACATATCGACAGAAGTGCTGCAGGCTTGCATCACGTCCTTTCACGAACCCTACTTTGTGGACCTGCAGAAGGACCTGGCCTCGCTGATTGCTTCGATTGTGGTACACTACGGGCCGTTGACGACCACACCACGGAACGTCATTCTCTCGCTGCCCAACGTCAAGGAAAGCGATCTGGAGCGACTCGGCGCTTACACCGCCAAGCCTAGTTCGCATACGCGACAGCAAAGATGCATCGTGCTCGACATGCTTAAAGATCTCAAGGGCGTGAGCGTGGCGGAGATGGGCAAGATGGTTAAGAGTACAGGGTTTGGCAACTCGAACCGAGGCAGGAAGCCCACGCGTACAAAGATGGCGCAGGCTTTCATGGAGGCCGCAGCGCCAGCGCAGGGTGGCAATCCCCTGGACAGCCAGCCGCGAGGGGGAACTCCTGACCCTTTAGAGGGAGTGTCGGGCCTCTTCGATGGATAGAGCACCAGTGAAGGTCCATCTGATCGCGAGAGGCATGAAGCTGAGAAGAGGGGAGCCGAGAAGTATCGAGAGGTCATCATCGGGGACAGTATTACTTTGCGTAGGCGAGATACGACACAGTCTCCGCCGCACACGCGTTTTGGGAAGAGGGTCATCAACTGGGAGCTGCTACAATGAATTTCCACGGTGGTAGCAACTGGGCATTGCTCTCGCTGAGGGTGTTCTGACGCTGGCAAGTCGCTGCATATTCCCAGCCAAAGTTCACTCGCGAATAAGATGAAGGCGCTGGTACGCGCAAGGGAGGCAAATGGCGGTATTAAAAGGGGATTGCTTCACTGCTGTAGCAGCATTTCCGCGGTTCGGGGGGTGCGGCATGGGCATGCATGGAACGTGGCAGTACAAACAAATGTATAGACAAACAGCATATTGCATATCTCCACAGGCTAGAATGGATTTCGCGTGTTACGGTACCATTGGACCTGCTGAGTCTCTTGTTGGTGTCATAGTTGAGACGGCTTGCTGTCGATGACTGGACCCAAGCGCGAGGCAGACTTGATTTCCGAGATGGGAATTTCTTGCGGGCACTTTATAGCCTCGGCTTCGTGATGTAGCTATAACCAATAGTGAGACTGACTGTCACAGAGAAATAGCCTCTGTCTGGTTGGTCCGTAGTGGGTGTGACGGCAGTCTATGGGCTATGCCTCGGCACAGCATGCTTGGCAGAGGACGGTGTGTCTTGAGAGCCAGGAAAAAGCGTAGGTCGGCGCATCCCTCTACTTGTAATAACTTACAAAGCTGGTGTGTGTGTTTAGGCACGCAAGCTGACTACGTATATATGTGAAGGGAAAGCCATACTCAAGGAGACTTATTAACACTGGAATTATAGGTACAGCAACAAGTTGGATGTGACTGATCATTCCGGCAGTGCAAGTAGTACAGCCAAGCCTACCCTGCGGTTCATGCTGGTTAGAGATGAGAGCTTGGAGGCAAAGATGAGGCCTGCCTCGATCATTAACTTTGGGGCCTGGGCAGTATGCCCAATGCTGCACAAGCCTGTCTTTCCTCCCAGACTACCTTAGTCTAGTAGCTGTAGGTAATGCTTCTTGCCACTCGAAGTCTCTGCGGGGGTGGGGTTGCCTGTCAGTCAAGGACTGGAGATTTGAGAAGGCAGCCCGCAGCTAAGAGACGTTGCTCAAGGATGGTCCACCCAATTGCCAGTGTTTGGACTCTGGTGCGCAATGCATTGATTGATCGTGCTGCGTCGATCCCTGTCTACTCGGTCTGTGAACGAGCAAACTCTCTCGCTCTCCCACGAAACAAGCTCGACACCCTTCTAGGGGTAAGCAAAGCAAAGAGTGTCGGGGCCACGGAACTTCGTTTGCAGTGATTGTATGCTGACCGTCTCCGCGTCGTGCAATCCTCATGTTGTCCTGCGCGCTCGAAGACCTCTAATCGCCGGCTGAACTTCACTTTATACGTACTCAGTCAGTAACAATCAAGACTGGAGCTTGGAGATCTCTGCGGGGAACCGAAGCCGCCCCTGCTCGTCGAGTCGCCGCCAGCATCCCCTGCTTGCCTCAGCTACCTGCCTGGCATCTGGGTCCTGGTGACCTGAAACCCCTGCGTAGAAAACATCAACCACCCACCGCGTCTCCCATTTGCTTTCATGTTCAATGCTCAACTTGTTGACCGTCTCAATTCCGTACCACATTTCGTCCTGTCTATCCATTGCCTGAACTCGATCCATGGTACGGTGAAAGAACCTCGACTTGAGTACTGTACTTGATCGTCATGGTCTACTGCGGAAAACCGTCGCGCGGCTGCCAGATGTGCAGAACCCGTCGAATCAAGGTTCGTTATCGCTCATGCCCGTCTTCAACCTCACCGCCGCCTGCCGCCAGATGGCGACATGCAGGCTCAACTGACACGACGCAAAGTGCGACGAGACCAAGCCAACATGCAACCAGTGCGCCAAGTCTCGAAGAGTCTGTCCGGGCTACAAGGACGAGTTTGACCTGGTATTTCGCAATGAGACGCAGGCGACGGAGCGTCGGGCCAGGAAGGCCAACAAGAAGGCCACCGCGCAGAAGATCAACCCTGACGCGACCATGACAGTGCTATCTCCCGACGGTAGTCCATCGGGGAAACAGCTGCAAAAGTCGCCGTCTCCTGCACAAAGTAGTTATGTCGCCTCCGCTCTACAGCTTCCTTTGGACCAGCAGGCATCTTGTCACTTCGTCTCCAACTATGTTCTCATCCCCCGCCAGGGCTCAACACGAGGCTTCATGGAGTACCTCCTCCCCTTGATGAAGACGGAACGTCCCGCTGAGCACTTCAAGAACGCTTTCGACGCTTGTGCATTTGCGAGTCTGGGAAACAGGGTCGGCGTCGGCCATGATTTTGGGGAGATTGCACTGTCGAGGTACACAAAGGCTCTTTCCTCGACGTACAAAGCACTCCGAGATCCAGAGCTCGCCAAGCAGGATTCCACACTGGCGGCTATCCTGTTATTAGGATTGTTCGAGAACATTTCCGCGAAGCAGCTCGGCATGCTCGCCTGGGGGTCACACATTGAAGGCGCCATTCAACTCGTCCGCGCAAGAGGCAAGAAACAACTACGCACCAAAGCGGGACTCCATCTTTTCATTGCCGTCCGAACCCAGATGATCATCCACACTTTGAGCAGCGGCAAGTCCCCCATCATGGGCGTTGACTGGTGGATCAACGACGCCGTCAAAGACGAGTCGGCTGCGTCATGCCAACGTATCGCTATCCTTGTCGGCGAACTACGCGCAGAGGTCAATCGTCTGCTTGGGACGCTCACGCGGACTGCTGAGAACATTGAACTCATCCTGGATCTTATGCGCAAATGTCAGCTTATGGACCAGGAATGTGTTGCTTGGTCGAAAGATCTCCCAGAGTGCTTCGAGTTCACGACGGTGGCCTGGGAGGACAATGTGCCGAACGGGGACTACTCCAAGGCAGAGGTCTTCCCCGGCAGGGTCGATGCCTACCAAGATCTTTGGCTGCCTAGCGTGTGGAATCTGATGCGGACATCAAGGATCATCCTCGCTTCTCTGATCGTCCGTGGGGCTGCTTGGGTCTGCGCCCCTTTGGACTACAGGACGACACCGGAATACGCCACAGCAGCGCGGACATGCGTCGAGTGCATTACGGATATCCTGGCCTCCGTGCCATTCCAGCTAGGCTGGTTCGCCAACCGCAAACACCTTCTCGAGAGGGCCAATTTGTCATCTTTCATATGTGGCCACGAGGATGCCGAGAAGGGTCTTCCTGGATACTTCTTGACATGGCCCCTGACCTGCGTGCTGGGGCAAGACTACGCGACCGATTCCCAGCGAGCCTGGGTGAGGGGGCGTTTGGAATTAATCGGAAACCAACTTGGCGTGAGATACGCGCACATGCTGACACAAGTGAGTGAACAACACATCCCATCGCAATCCTTTGCAAGCTGTCACTGACCACAACTAGCTTAACCTGCGCATCCCATCTATGCTCATACGCCGCGATGGTCTCATGGCCAAGCACCTCCCCACCGGACCGGACTTTGAGAAGCTCCTTTCGAGCAAGAATACATCGGCAGCGGAGTATCAGGCAAAGCAGAAGGCAGCGATGCAGCCGCCGGGACAGCAATTGCTAAACCCGCTGGGAGATCAGTGGCCACCGAGATCGAAATGGCAAAGTGCGCAAATGGGGAACGCCGCGGCACAGTCTTAGGAGAACATAGCTATGTCCCGTCTCCCCGTGCGTTGTACGTATTCAAGAAGAAAAGAAAATATCGTACTCTCTCGACAAAGTCGCTGGCGTTCTTGAGCAAGATGTAAGAACCTGCGGCTGAGGATCACGTATCAATAGCTGTGCCAAAGTGCAGGACAATCCATATTGCCTAATATTTGCTGCTCAAGATTGATACCACTCGCAATCAAAAATACTGATCAGCCATGACATGCCAGTGCCATGATCGAGGTTTTTCCGCACGCATCATGTGCAGACGTGTTTACATACCCATAGAGACTCATTGAAAATCCGCTCCTCAAGTCCGTCTTCCTTTTCTCAGTCTTTCTTATCGCCCCCCGATGCTCGCGCTCCGTCCTTGCCCAGGTTCCACGCCTTGACGACCCAGCCCTGTGTCTTGTCCACGTATTTCTCGTTCTGGATGGACTTGACGCCCACCTTCAATCCATCCTTGGTCCACACAACATTCTTCTTGTTCATGCGCTCGGACGCCGTGTTGCCTATCTGCTGTGCAGAAAGGTAGATCTGGTAGCCCACGTAGCCGACGATGGCGAGGAAGAGAACGACGACGAGGAGAGGGAAGACCTTGCTGGTGGGGATGTCAGCGTCTGCACGTACTACGCAATCACAAATGAGGGCTCAGGCAGGGTTTTCTGTAATTGTCCATACGTACCTCAAAGTCGAGGGCTCTCGCGACGATCCCCATGCCATGGTGCCGAATAAAAGCAGGAGGGGTATGAATAAGGGAGAAGACGAATTGATAAGCTTCGTTTCGCTCAAGTGAACTGTGCGGATCGAGATATTGTGAGCCCAAGGAGAGCAAAGAAAAGGAACGGCCTTATGGATGCGCGTGAGGAAAATGTGCGAAGGGTTTGCGATGGAGGAGGAATTGTTGCAGCTGTTCTCGTCAAACCCCCTTGCGCGATCGTAGTTCAGGGTCCAGTCTTTCGTATCGGCTAGCGGGGTGGTTCACCTCAAGCCGCTATTAGTGGCGGGTCTAGTGGTTGGAGGCCTTCCAGCCGCATTCAAGTACATAGCACGGAGAAGCTGGCCAATCTGGGGCTTGGACATATAGCAAATGATCACCTTGCTGATACGGAGTAATTAAGTATGCAGAGGCATCGCATCAGGCGCTATATTAGATCACAAGTCACTGCGCGGCAGACAGAGCGCGTGATGGATGACAAAGTACGACGATTTGCTTTTGCAGGTGACGACGACGAAGCTGCATGAAGCAGGTAAGGTAAGGATTGCCCCATGGCCTTGCCTGGCATCGACGGCCTATCCAAATGAGACTTCTTGGAAATTCGGAGCAATTATAGTCAACTTTGCTCGTATAGAAAGGTATAAACTTATTTATCACCTTAGCACCCGCAAAGCGCCAAGACCTCCAGCCACGCCGCCCCAGAAGAGGCGGCGTGGCTATCGGGCTCTAGTTCAGCCGCTCCGACGGAATGCAGCAGGCACCATTCCAAATTGCATACCCTGAAAACCAGAACTCGACAGCGTGGCCATGATTCCAGGTGAGGGTCGTCATGGTAAGCAAAGGGACAGATGGGGGCTAAGATCGAATATGTCAAGGATCAAATCATTGCTGCGGATGCTAGGAGGATAGCGAGAACAATGGAGCGTCAAGTTCTCCCGTTCTGCTGCAAGGTACATCCAATTTGCAGTGGCTCCCACTTGAACATAGGTACCCCTGCACCCCTCCTTGTGGCCACAGAGCGGTGACGAAAAGGCCACCACCACCACACTAAGCTTCTGGCCGAGCTCAGCACCTTCGGCCTCCAACCTCCCACCTCACCTTGCACCGTCCCTCCCCCAAAGATAGGATCTGTCGACCTCTAGACGACTTGCAAGTCCCTTCCTCTGCAAGTCGCCGCCTATCGACCATCGACTCGCTCCAGCCGTTGGTCTAGGGACTAAGTTCTCCTCCAAAGTCTCCTCGACAACGCGCGCGTGCGATCCCCTGTATCGCCGCATCTCCTCACAATCCGACGACTTACTCCTCTGTCGACCTGACGGCCGACTGTCCCCCGGTAATTCAGCATGTCTGCGCCCCCGAATGAAGGCTACGGCCAACCGGGCCAACAGTACGACGGGCAGCATGCCGACCAGCAGAACCCCCCCCAGGGTGCGACCCAGCCCGAATATGCGGCGCAAGGAAAGAAGAAGAAGCGAGGCTACGCCGCCGGCGCCTTCGACGTGGGCTCGGGTGCCAATGCTTCTGTAGGAGCTCAGGCACCGGGTGCTGTACCTGCTCAGTACGGTCTGCAGCCCCAAGCCGGTGCCCCCCAATATGGAGGTTACCCTCAACCAGAGCAACAGCCAGCGCAAGCTCCGGGCTACCAGTACCCGCAGCAACCACAGCAGCCAGGTTATCCGGTCCAGCATCCTCAACAACCACAGCCGGGGCAACCTGGGTACCCCACGCATGAGTATGGCTACCCAGCACCGGCAGCTCCAGCTACCGCTGGTGTGGGAGGTATCACGCAGGGTATGGGCGGAATGAACCTGGGAGCGCAGCCGCAGCCAGGTCAGCCAGCCCAGGCCCAGGCGCCTCGCGCCGCGATGAATCAGCTTTACCCTACCGACCTGCTGAACCAGCCATTCAATGCCTCGGAGCTAGATCTGCCTCCTCCTCCTGTCACATTGCCACCCAATGTGAGTCTTGCAATGCCGAACTACAATGTGGGGACGTAACTGATACAAAGCACAGTCCAGTGTGACGCCCTCGCCTGATGCGAACTGCTCCTCGAAATACATCCGTTCGACTCTCAACGCCGTCCCCACGACTCATTCGTTGCTCAAAAAGTCAAAGCTGCCATTTGCTCTCGTTGTTCAGCCCTACGCCTCGCTCCACGACGACGAAGACAATGTTCCAGTCATCCAGGACCAGGTCATCTCGCGCTGCCGTCGGTGCAGGACGTACATCAACCCATACGTGACGTTCCTCGATCACGGACACCGTTGGAGATGTAACATGTGCAATCTGAGCAATGATGTCCCACAGGCTTTTGACTGGGATGCTGCTTCGCAGCAGAGCGTGGACCGCTGGCAGCGTGCCGAATTGAACCACTCTGTTGTCGAGTTTGTCGCGCCCCAGGAGTACATGGTCCGCCCGCCACAGCCACTCGTCTATCTCTTCCTCTTTGACGTTAGCTACGCCGCCGTCTCCAATGGTCTCGTGGCCACCGCTGCCCGTACGATTCTCGACAGTCTGAACAGGATACCCAACGCAGACCGACGGACACGCCTGGGTTTCCTTGCTGTGGATTCAAGTCTGCACTATTTCTCAGTCCCCAAGGACGAGGATGAGAATGGCGAGGTCAGCCAGCTAGTGGTCAGCGACTTGGACGAGCCATTCCTTCCAGTGCCTCACGACCTGCTTGTGACCCTTAGCGAGAGCCGCCAGAGCATCGAAACCTTCCTGACCAAACTACCAGACATGTTCCAGAACAATCAGAGCAACATGAGCTGCATGGGCTCGGCCCTTCGGGCTGGCCACAAACTCATTTCAGCCCTTGGTGGAAAGATCGTCGTCCTGACGTCGTCGCTTCCCAACCTTGGCGTTGGCAAGCTGGATATGAGAGAAGACAAGAAGCTGCTGGGAACATCAAAGGAAGGCGCCTTGTTGCAGACCGCCAACAGCTTCTACAAGAGCTTCGCTGTGGAGTGCTCCAAGAACCAAGTTTGTATAGACATGTTCCTGTTTGCCTCGCAGTACCAGGATGTTGCGTCGCTCAGCAACTTGCCGAGATATACGGGTGGCCAAACCTGGTTCTATCCTGGATGGCATGCATCGAGACCGGAGGATGCGTTGAAATTTGCCACCGAATTCAGCGACTTCCTGTCTTCAGAGATCGGCCTGGAAGCTGTGCTTCGGGTTCGCGGCACGAGTGGCCTCCGCATGAACTCGTTCTACGGCAATTTCTTCAACAGGAGCTCCGACCTCTGCGCGTTCCCAGCTTTCCCTCGCGACCAATCCTACGTTGTCGAAGTGGCCATTGATGAGAGCTTGACCAAGAACTTTATGTGCTTGCAGGCTGCGGTACTACACACAACGTGCAATGGCGAGCGTCGCATCCGCGTGATGACGCTGGCCTTGCCTACGACCGCTAACTTGTCTGACGTGTACGCCTCAGCCGACCAGGTGGCCATCACTGCTTACTTCAGTCACAAGGCTGTCGAGCGCGCGCTCAGCAGTGGTCTCGATGCCGCAAGAGACGCTCTGCAGAGCAAGGTCACGGAGCTCTTGCAAGTCTTCAAGAAGGAACTTGCGGGCGGCAGCATGGGCGGCGGCTTGCAGTTCCCTTCGAACCTGCGCGCCCTCCCTGTCCTGTTCCTCGGTCTTATGAAGAACGTGGGTCTCCGCAAATCTGCGCAGATTCCTACCGACATCCGTTCCGCTGCTCTCTGTTTGCTATCGACGCTGCCTGCGCCATTACTGATGCGGTACATCTACCCTCGCCTCTACTCGTTGCACGACATGCCCGACAATGCAGGTACACCTGAGCCAGAGACAGGACACATTGTCCTACCGCCTGCCTTGAACCTCTCCTCTGAACGGTTCGTGCCTTACGGTCTATACCTGATCGATGATGGCCAAACGCAGTTCTTGTGGGTGGGCCGTGACGCAGTTCCTCAGCTCATCCAGGACGTGTTCGGCGTGGAGGACAAGACGCAGCTGCAAGTCGGCAAGGGCCGCGTCCCGGAATTGGAGAGCGACTTCAACGAGAGAGTGCGGGCCGTCGTGCACAAAAGCCGGGATCACAAGTCACTCGGTGTGGGCAGCATCACGGTGCCTCACCTGTACATTGTTCGCGAGGATGGCGAGCCCAGTCTCAAGCTGTGGGCCCAGACGTTGTTGGTGGAGGACCGGGCAGACCAGGGCGTCAGCGCTGCGCAATGGCTGGGCATGCTCCGGGAGAAGGTGGGTTGATTGTTGGTACGCCAGCCAGTAGACACAGACGCTGACGAGACGATAGGTCATGCAGTAAATTTCATAACGCGAATGGGTGTAATGTAGTAGGCAAGCGGGCGCTGAACTGTGGGCATGGACATTGCATAGACGATGGGGCCTCATACACGTACAAGGCTACCAGCTCTACGAGGCGGGAGGCATGTGTTGGCATGAAGGCCGCAAGGTGCTTTTGTGTCCAAATAGCTGAAGATTCGCGTGCTGGGTGGAATGATCGTTTGAGGTGTGCGTTTGTAGTAGTTGAGCAATTCGTGCGCATGTACCAACCTACGCTACCTATCTCGAAGGCGCTTGCGGTTCAACGGTTGAGTGCCGGAGGGGACGCCTGACAGGATGATTACTATATTTAGAAAGCTTGATCTTGAAAAGTTCAATTCGCTTGTCAGGCACTTTGTGACCGCCAGCTCTGTGCTCAAGGAGCCCGACAGGCGCCGGTGAGAGTTCAACGTCCATCCGGGACGCATTGGATCACTGTCCAATTGGAGCGACGGGTAGCCGCCGAGCACAAGCACATGATGGCGACAAGCCTGCGTGACCAAGTAGACGGTCGATGCCGTTTGCGTGCCAGATCCGACTGACGAATGGAGGGTAAACAATTGTTCGTCACCACCGGCGAGTGTAATTTTGGAGAACTGCCTGGAGCAGGCGTTTCAGATGTGGGCACTTTCATCCTTGCTAAGCCTGAGACGTGACTTAGGTGAAGCACCACTTTAGTTGGGGACTTGATACTGCCCTCAAGATCGCGGCCAAGAGTCAAGCTTATCTACCTTGAGGTACCTTGTTCCATATGTACTTGTTGAAAGGCAGTGGTAGCTCCAGTCGACCAGTTGTGCCATTATATTTCAAGCTCGTAGCACTACCTCATGGTCTATATTATCCAGTTTGGTGGTCCCTTTCTCTCTGTCTTTCACTGCGCTGATCATGGTACGTAGTAATGAGCGAAGATTCAATCAGCCAAAGCGGCTGCACTCAGGCCTCTAACACATTGTACATAACCAAAACTGGCAAACCGCAAAACCAACTTGACACGGTGCCTGGCCCCAGGTGCCCCGTAGGTAGAGGTACGTGCCCAGTACCCCTGTCGGCAGCGCACGCCTACGTCCAGTCTCGCCCACTAAACGCGGCCCCGGACCGGTTGTACGAAGCGGGGCAATATCAGCAACGACTTAGCGACCACGGCGGCGTCTTTCCTCGTGCTCCTTTCGTTGCGCTGACCGTGAAGACCCCTTCCGAGACTTGCATCTGTCTCCTCCATCTCCGCTGCGCACCAAGCTGTTTTTCTGATTCAATAGGTAAGTGCAAACTTCTTTGCGAGCGCTTCGTGAACACGTGTGGAATGGCGAGCTCGTAGCTTGCGAGCTACCCCTCAGTCCCCGAGCGAGGCTTAAGGCTAAAACTAAACGACGGAACGCTCGACTTCTGATCAGGGGGAGCCGTGACAGGCGCACGTTGCGACTCTGTTGCCGGCAACAGCTTGCTGTGTCGAGATACTCTGTTGATCAGCGCCTCAACTGCGACAGTTATCAGGAGCTGTCGAAAGAAGTGACAGGCTGCCACGCCCGATAAGCAGTGCCTCTACAGCTCACGTTCACGCAGTGTTTGCTGGCCCACACGATTGCACAAGCTAATCATTTTTGGAACATAGAAAACCTTTGCGACAGCATCGTGGCGAGCAGCGCAGGGACTTGGCGAGCCGACGACCTACCACAAAGTTAATTCGAGTAATACAGACAGCGTTGCCTTTGGACCTGTCGAGGTGAAGGGAAACAGAGGGCCACCACCATGTCCCGCTCCAACCCGCCCAACAACGCGGCTGCGTCTCGCAAGATCTCGTTCAACGTCAGCGAGCAGTACGATATCCAGGATGTTGTCGGTGAGGGTGCTTATGGTGTCGTATGGTAAGGAAGGCCTGGTGTGCTCCATGTTGGCGATCACCGCTAACCCGGCAGTTCTGCGATACACAAGCCCTCGGGCCAGAAAGTGGCTATCAAGAAGATCACTCCTTTTGACCACTCCATGTTCTGCCTGCGAACTCTGCGCGAGATGAAGCTCCTCCGCTACTTCAACCATGAAAACATTATCTCGATCCTCGACATCCAGCGACCTCGCGGCTACGACTCATTCAACGAGGTCTACCTCATCCAGGAGCTCATGGAGACAGATATGCACCGTGTCATCCGCACCCAGGACCTTTCCGACGACCACTGCCAATACTTCATCTATCAGACGTTGCGTGCGCTCAAGGCTATGCACTCAGCCAACGTCCTGCACCGAGACTTGAAGCCATCCAACCTGCTGTTGAACGCCAACTGCGATCTCAAGGTCTGCGATTTCGGTCTGGCGCGTTCAGCAGCTTCGCAGGAGGATAACTCTGGTTTCATGACGGAATACGTGGCTACGCGGTGGTATCGTGCCCCTGAAATCATGTTGACGTTCAAGGAGTATACCAAGGCCATTGACGTTTGGTCGGTGGGGTGCATTCTGGCAGAGATGCTAAGCGGCAAGCCTCTGTTTCCCGGAAAGGATTGTGAGTCTCTTGTGTGGCGTGGATAGCGACAACGAAGCTAACAAAGTGCAGACCACCATCAACTCACCCTTATTCTTGACGTGCTTGGCACGCCGACCATGGAGGACTACTATGGCATCAAGTCGCGACGTGCTCGTGAATACATTCGCTCTTTGCCATTCAAGAAGAAGGTGCCCTTCCGCACCCTATTCCCCAAGACATCGGATCTCGCCCTCGACTTGCTGGAGAAGCTGCTGGCCTTCAACCCGGTCAAGCGCATCACAGTCGAGGAGGCGCTGAAGCACCCGTATCTCGAGCCGTACCACGACCCCGAGGACGAGCCCACCGCGCCGCCAATTCCCGAAGAGTTTTTTGACTTTGACAAGCACAAGGATACCTTGAGCAAGGAGCAGCTGAAGCAATTGATCTACCAGGAGGTCATGCGATGAGCGGACATCCAGATTCGAGGCATTGGGGAGGGCCGCGCTGCCGAACGATGTACCTGCCGGCTGGCCGGCACCCGGTATGATTTTCGAGTCAAACAATTGCGCTGCGGGTGTGGTGGACTTAGATCGAGATATGTTTACATACCAGGGAACGGGGAGATCTTGCAGGAAAGGCACCACCTGGGTTTGAGAGAAGCAGACCGCGCGATCTCATCGCAGGATAAAGGGAGCGCCGACGAACAATTAAATTGATTTTCAGCGTCGATCTGGCAGACTCTTGAGTGACAGTGACTTGTAGTTGTAGAAGCGTCAGGATGTATGCTTCCTGACTGAACTCGGTCTCACCGGAGTCCGCAGAGCCGATGGACCGAGACCGACATGCTCACTCGTTGAGGCGCGACCTGGCCAGGCGGACGGTCTTCTCAGAAAACACGAGAGTATGGAATTGACATTCTGTTAATCTGAGATTGAAACTACCATCTACGTGGAGAGCGAAGAAAACTAACTACGCCAGGGCGCGACGAATCTTTTGGCTAGCGGTGCGAGACTGCGTCCTCCAAAGTCCGAAAGGCCGAAGTGACACTGGCACGCGGCGCCCGACTAACAGGGACCACAACAGCTGTTAGCAGCGCGGCTCTCGGCGGAGGTTGCCTATCGCGACCGGATTAGGACATGCCATGTTCTGATGGAACAACTCCTACGTCAGCCTCGTCGGCTCTGTCTCATTAACACGATACACCACCTCACCTCGCAATTGACTCTCTCTTTGTTTTGTTATTTTCAGCTCGCAAGCTTCGGGCTGCGGACTGTCCTTTTTTTTCGCCGCAATTGAACCAACCTATTCCTTGAGCCTTAGCATTATTAACTAGCATTACACTGACCCGGTACCTCGGGCTACGCATTCAAAGAACACTTTCGACACTCAATAGGCGCAAAGAAACTCCATGAATACTCCATCCCGAACCGACTCCCCCAGCACACCTCCCTCCTCCGGTGCCCAAACTCCAGCGTCACCTTCCTCCCTGCCCGCAGGCCCTCGCTCCGAGCAGCAAACCGACTCTTCCTCGCAGTCTTACCTATCCAGCATGTGGGGACTGATCCGACGCTTCTCCGCCGAGGATTCGCAGTCCTTTGCGAGCCAGCTCGACAGCATGTTTAATGCACAACCGCAGACAGAGTCTGAGGCGAAAGACGGTATCAACGACGTCTTCCGACCGCCTGTCATGCGCACAGCCAGTCCGTTCCGCCCACCGCCGCTCGACCCTCTGGTCCTGCACGGTTACAAGGAGGGAACGCCTGACACAGCACGGTTGCTTAGTTGTGCGGTCGCGGAGGAGGTCAGAGCCATGCTGCCCGAGAGATTACGCATCGTGGACGATTGGAGTCTGGTGTACAGCCTGGAGCAGGATGGCGCCAGCCTGGCAACGTTGTACCTTAAGTCTCGACGGTACGAGCGCAGCCGCACAGGCTTCGTCCTCGTAGTTAGAGATCAAGAGGGCGCGGTACGTGCTCCATCATTGGATGGTTCTTCACGCAATGACTAACGTAAACGGGGAGCAATAGACATTTGGAGCATACATGAGCGAATACCCACATCCAGCACCAAGCTACTTTGGCAACGGCGAATGCTTCCTCTGGAGAGCGTCCACGCTTGCCTCGCTGCCGCCGCCCCCTTCGGCGGACACGACGAGCCTCACCCGCAACACGACTCTTGCCCCGCCTCCCTCAAGCCCGGATCGGCCGACTGCTTCGCCCACCCCGAGCGAGACCATTCGCTTCAAGGCCTTTCCCTACAGTGGCCTCAACGATTTCTACATCAATTGCGAGCACGGTTTCCTGAGCGTGGGCTCTGGAGGCGGGCACTATGGCCTTTGGCTCGATGATGCCCTAGGGATGGGCCACAGCTCACGATCCGAGACTTTTGGAAATGAGCCTTTGAGTGACGAGGGCGAGAAGTTTGGTGTGCTTGGCGTCGAATTGTGGGCTATTGGACGATCGTAAGCTATTACCTTGGGATTTCGTGCGTCGTTTGGATTTTGCTTGGGATGGCGCATCATTGGGACTTTGGCGTTTTGAAGCGTAAAAAAAAGGCATCTCCCCATCAAAATTGGGAGCTAAAGATGAGTACATGGAGGATGAGACAAAAGGTACAAACAGAGAAGACTGGAGCTCCTTTAGTTTGTTGAGCATAATGATACCCGCACCATACAGCGAATGTTCATCTACAAGCAGAGAATGCGCAGACAGACAGCCCCCCTTTTTTTTTTGTATTCACCGTGTTCGCGAATTCCTGTGATTCTGTATGCTCTCCCAGACGCCCTGGGGAGAGGGCTTCTCAGCGCTGGCATCTGGTTCGAAACCAAAGCTGTCTCTCAAGAATTGCTGCGTCGTCGGCCCAATCGTGACCACGTATGTCCTTGATCTCCTCTCCTCCGTCGGCAGCGCCTGTCCCGTTTGTGGATCTAGGATACCTAACCCCTTGAGCATGCCGTCACAGCCTGTGGGTGAAAAAACAACGACCCATCTCTCTGAGGCATCTTTTGTTTGTTCCAAGATGCCGTTGAAGTCTTCCGGAAAAGTTTTCATCACGCCAGTCCCGTACACAACTTCCTCCGTAACGTTTATCCTCCTATGGCATGGAAGGCTTGGATCCATCAGCGTCTTGGGGATTATGTCCCGCCTCTGCTCTCCCACTGGGAACAATAAAGATGGCAGTGTCTTTCGCCGAGGGTACCATCCTGCGTAATGCTCCAGCATGTAGTGCGCGAGCGCCTCGCCATTGCCAGTGTGCGAGCCAAAAATACGCAGGGGGAGCGGTATCGCCTCTAGAGCACGGGTGGTGGCAGGGCCGACGCTATATATAGGTACTGTTTGTAAACAATCTAGCGATACTTTGGAAGTCAGTATTGATCTTGACAACGGTATCTCAGGACAGCAATACCTGTGCTCTCATTGACAAGCTTGGTGAAAGCTTCAACAGCACGTTGAGATGTGAAGATGATCCCACCGTACTTGGACACAACATCGTCCGAAATCTGCTTGTGGCTTATGAGATTCTCAAAGTTCGCCAGGCCCGTATCCTCGAAGCGATGCTGTAGGACAGGCACGAATCGAGGGTCAAACACTGGATCAGCCGCCGACGAGAAGAGCTCTCGGTATGCATCCGTGGGAATACTCTCGGTCTTCAACAACAAGACTGGGATTACCGTGCTATTGTCCCGTGCATGAGCAGGTACCATCTTGTGCGAGACGAAGTAGGCAGTGGCTGGCCCCTTTTTCAAGCAAGGACCATAGGCAAAGGGAGCATCAAGTCTGAGGGTCAGCCGGCTGTCGGGGTTCGGGGTTCGGAAGACAGCAGCGGTGTCAGCCTTATCGATAAGATATCATCATCACCTTGAATCTTCGGCTCCGAAGTTTTGAGCTTACCAATGCATTCGCGCCGAGGAATTTCACATATGGCAACATCCTTCTTTTAGACACTCGCTGAAGAAATCCGGGGACGATATGGCTCCTGAGGATAAAGACCAGCAAGGTGACGCCAAGGCGACGACCTCGACTGCTGGAGGTTCAGCTGGCGCACCATACACCAGGCTACCGAATGGCACCATCGTAGACAAGGACGGCAAGCCGTAAGGGTCCTCCCTCACCCCAAGTGCTACTCAACTGAACGAAGTGACCAGCTGTCGCCCCTGCAATTCGAAATCGGCGTTCTCCGCCTTCGCCGCTCAAGCCACCAAACAGTCCAAGAAACCCAAAGTCGAGTGCCCACCAGACGTCGAAACCCTGGGCCGCTGCTCGTGGACTCTTCTACACTCCATCGCCGCTACATATCCTGATAAACCGACAACGTCGCAGCAGTCGGACGTCGTGTCGTTCGTCAAGCTCTTCTCGAAGCTGTACCCCTGCTGGGTATGCGCGGAAGATTTCCAAGGGTACATCACCAAGAGCGCGCCCAAGGCGGGGAGTAGAAATGAACTGGGAGACTGGATGTGCAAGGCACACAACGATGTCAATGTCAAGCTGGGCAAGCCGACGTTTGACTGCGGCAAATGGGAGGAGCGTTGGGTGACGGGCCCTAAAGATGGGAGCTGTGACTGACGTGGTGCCAGTGTGGTCGCTAAGCTCAGGTACCACGAACCTGCGTGCTCAGCTTTGTTATTCCATTAGACGGATAAATGCTGTACATTGACCTGTAGACGGCTATTTGGGGAGACACTGATGACTGGACCATATGTATATGGAAGCGTCTGTACCATCATTGTTCTTACTATTAGACCACAATGGCATTGACTCAACTCTGCTCATGCACTTGGCATTCACGATAACGAGAAGTATCATAAGGTATGTTCAGGACCCTCGCGAGACACATGCACATGTGTAGCTGGTACGATTGAAATAGCGCCACTTTAATTTGTGATGATGGGCTCGGCTGTTACGACATACTAGAAATGGGCTCACATGCGGTTTGACCCCTCTTTTCTATTGATTTCACAAGCTTCAATCAACCAGTGAGGTACGAGTCGATAAAGTGAGGCCCAACACGCCGTGGTACCGCGATTACATCACCAATAGCTCAGGGAAGTCATAGCGGCCCACACCAGCTCCGAGCTGCATTGCTTCGTCCGGCATGGACGGGGCACTGCCAGTCTGGAATTTGATGGTATCTTAATCCAGACGTGTGGATGATTTTTTTCCCGTTTAGCAAGCGTTCATCGGAAGCTCTTGCCAAGTCAAGTCGTTGATCAAGTTTCCGTTTAATCGTGTTTATAGTACCCTGCCCGTCACTTTACCTTCTCGCTGGAGCAGTCCTAGGCACACGTACCAACAATGGCTGACATCAGGACGCAAAGTCTCAAGAAGCCTGTGGATGTGGCAGAGTATCTCTTCCATCGACTTCACGAAGCTGGTGTCCGCTCGGTCCATGGTGTACCTGGAGACTATAATCTCGTTGCGCTCGACTACCTCCCAGGATGTGGTCTCAACTGGGTCGGCAGCATTAATGAGCTCAATGCAGGTGAGTCCACTCGAAGAGTCACGGCAGGGCCATTCTCACAATCATAGCGTACGCCGCCGATGGGTATGCCCGCGTTAAGAAAATCTCGGCTCTCATCACGACGTTTGGCGTCGGTGAGCTCTCGGCCATCAACGGTATTGCAGGCGCCTTCTCAGAGATGATTCCAGTCGTCCACATTGTCGGCTGCCCTTCCACCTTGTCCCAGCGAAACGGCATGCTGCTTCACCACACACTGGGCAACGGAGATTTCAACGTCTTTGCCAACATGAACGCGTCAATCTCGGTCAATGTCGCCAAGCTGAATCATCCGTCCGAGGTCGCCGACCAAATTGACCATGCATTGCGAGAGTGCCAGCTCCAGTCAAGGCCAGTGTACATCATGCTGCCTACAGACATGGTACAGGCTAAAATCGAGGGCGCGAGACTCGACAAGCCCATTGACTTGACGGAGCCTTCCAACGAGCCAGAAAAGGAGGACTATGTGGTGGACGTGGTTCTCAAGTATCTCCGTGCGGCCAAGCGACCCATCATCCTTGCCGATGCCTGCGCGATTCGACACCGTGTGCTGAATGAAGTACATGATCTCGTCGAGAAGACGAATCTGCCGGTGTTTGTAACGCCCATGGGCAAGAGCGCCGTCAATGAAACACACCCAAACTATGGAGGTGTGTACGCTGGTGATGGATCGCATCCCGATGTGAAGGAAGCCGTCAGTGCCGCTGATCTGATCATCACCATTGGTGCCTTGAAGGTAAGTAGCTCGGCGCCATTGGCTGCAACTGCGTCCTAACAGCTAGCCCAGAGTGACTTCAACACGTCAGGCTTCACATACCGAACCTCGCAGCTCAATACCATCGACCTCCACAGCGACCATTGCATTGTCAGATATTCTGTGTACCCCAGTGTTCGCATGAGGGGCGTCCTTCGCAAGGTCATCAACCAGGTCTCGGCCAGCGACTTGGCTGTTCACCCAAGCCCAACGGTCTCGACCCAGGTGAACGAGACCGATGATGGGTCACAGACCATCACGCAGGCTTGGCTTTGGCCCCGCGTCGGCCACTTCCTGAAGGCAAAGGACATTGTCGTCACGGAGACGGGCACAGCCAACTTTGGCATCTGGGATACCAAGTTCCCAGAAGGCGTCACAGCCCTCAGTCAGGTTCTTTGGGGCAGCATCGGATGGTCGGTCGGCGCTTGCCAAGGTGCGGCACTGGCTGCCAAAGATTTGGGTGATCGTCGCCGCACGATACTCTTCGTCGGCGATGGGTCGTTCCAATTGACAGCCCAAGAGCTGAGCACGATGATCCGCCAGGGTCTCAAGCCCATCATGTAAGTTTGCTTTTTGGTTTTGGGGCGGGCAGCAGCTAACCACAAATGATCAGATTCGTCATCTGCAACGAAGGCTTCACCATTGAGCGTTTCATCCACGGCATGGAGGCCACCTATAACGACATTTCGCAATGGGACTTTAAGGCTCTGGTCGACGTGTTTGGAGGTAGCAAGACCTCTCGCACGTTCACGGTCAAGACCAAGGACGAGCTCAACAATCTCCTGACCGATGATGCGTTCAATGCGGCCGAATGCCTCCAGTTTGTCGAGTTGTACATGCCGAAAGAAGACGCGCCGCGCGCGCTGGTGATGACTGCTGAAGCAAGCGCGAAAAACAACGCGCAGAGAGAATAGGAGAAAGGAGATGACTCTTTACGATAGCACGTAATAGCCTAGGAAGGATGTATACTAATTAATTGACGAATGGTCAAAGCTGTCAGCAACTGTCGCCCTGGTGTTGTAGAACTCGCGTGCTCCTCAACGGGGAATTTCAATGTGAATGAAGAAGTTCGGTATGCTCGCGTAGGTAACGCAGGCGACCCACAAAAGATATCTCAGGCGGGTTCATGGATTTCCACCTTTTGCATGCAAACTCATGACCTAACCATCATCAGTAGAGCGAGCAACCGCACCGCCCAATTTCTCATCATCCTCTTCGCCAATTACCTCGCCACGTCTACCGCTCGCGCGATTCCTGTTAGCATCTGTCCAGTATGGGCGACAACAAGCGCAAGCAGCCACCGGGTGGCTCCAACGGCTCTGCCCCTAAGAAGAGCAAGGTTCGATGGCATTTTGATGACTGCTCCTAAATTTCTAGCTCATTCTTTCTCAGGGCGGCGTTGGCTCCGGAAAGTGGAAGACACCTCACCAGCAAGCCAAGCTGGCGAAGAACGTGGCCATTGGCAAATCATTAACGGTCGGTGACCGGGGGGTGTGGTTCACATATGCGCGCAACATGAAGTACAAGGCGCAGAGGGAGATTGTCGATCTCTGTGAAGAGGTTCGTCTCACTCTACAAGCTCAAAGTGCAGAAGACTGATGACCGTTGCCAGTACGGCGAGACCATGTATGGCATCAAGCGACAGTCGGAGCCCGATGAGGAGGACGAGGATGCGCACCAGGACATTGAGGCGTCCATAGAGCAAGAGCTCAGCGACCTGAAGCCAGGCAAGCCCAAGACCGGGCAGACCTTTGTGGTGGTGCACGCCGATGTCGAATGCTTAATGTTTGTGCGAATGGCGCAACCGATCGACCCGGTCGAGTTTGTGCGTAAAATATGCCAGGACGCACGCGACTGCAAGGATGTAATGAGCAGGAAGACAAAGTACGTCAACAGGTTGACGCCTATCACGGACATGGCCAAGGCTACGGAAAAGGGCCTTGTGCAGCTGGCGACAACGGTCATGGCGCCGCACTTTGTGTTGAACAACGGCGGCGAGGATCTTAGCGAGGATCCTAGTACCGATGCGGACGCATCAGCCCCAGGAGGTGAGGCCGCCAACGACACGGAACCTACGACAACAAAGGCGGCAGAGCCGTCAGGTGAGGCGTTTCGCCCGACATACGCCATTCGTCCCAGTATGCGAAGCCATCTCACATTGAATCGCGACATTGTCATCAAGAGGGTGGCAGAGCTCCCTGGTTCGAGTCACAAGGTCAATCTCACTGAGCCGGATAAGGTCATATTGATCGATATCTATCAGGTATGTCCACGTGTCGTGTGCGGCTGATTCTGCGGTCGGGCCTCGCGCGGAGTCTTTCCGACTAACTTTGACAGATGTTCTGCGGCATGTCGGTCGTTGATGGCGTGGAGTGGGAGAGTCTCAAGCGCTACAACGTGAACGAGCTATATCGCATGGGAGCCGAGAAGAAGACGCCCGGCGCTGATCTCCAAGCGAAGGAAGAGACCACAGCGTCGACGTAGGCTTCGGACCGGCGATGCCTGCAGTATTCAATATGTTCTTCTTCACAGCAGAAATAACACGAGAGCTGTAGAAGTAAATCTATTCTCGATATACAAACATTACCAGACAGCAAGGCGTTGCGTGCAGGTGGAATGTGTAGGACTATGAAGTAGGAGTGGATTCAGGCGGCAGTTATACCCACGAAGGCATGAAAGTATCCATGTTTGTGCAGTCTATTCTTACAGGGACAACACACTATAAGTACTGGCGAGACTGTATGAACTTGAGTCTGTGAGAGCGACATTTTCTTACAATGCGAGTACGAAGAAATAATGAAACATCGGCATAACATTCTGGTCTAGTCTTCGCTGAAAATCGCAAGCACGCCGCCTCCTGGCACCTTCCCCATTCATTAATTGCTAGGCAGCCGTGGCCGATCCAGCTCGCTAAACAAGCCAATCACGAGCGGCCCGACTCGCTTATTTCTGCAAATGACTGGAACTAAAACGCAACGTCTTCAGTCACAAACAATAACCTCATCCTCAGTTGCCAGCGCTCAACCTCATCATAACGCCTCCCGGACGTTGACCGAAAAATTCTTGACCTCGATCGTTCGATATGCAGTATTAATCTTCCTCATAGCTTCTTTCAAATAGTTTGACGGAAGAGTTCCGCACTTTGTTGGACCGCGATAGGTTGACAGTAGGATCGTGCTCGATCTTCGCCATTGCCGCTCCAAGCTCCACGAGCACAAAGGCACATGGGCCGACCGTTTTGACGATTGGGAAAGCGGAGCTGCTACCTTTACGCAATGAGTCGAGCCCGGCTCGGGCTACATTGAACACACAACGGAGCTTATACCCTCTTGATCGACGGCTCTTGTGCACGCCGCCAGCCACGATGTCACAGCTCTCGACCTTGACGAGTACCAAAGCACAGTAGTTTTGCATCTGCCCAGCGTCATGACTAATTTTAGCAGACTGATTCAGTAGCGTATGTGAATCTAGAGCCTTTGCTTGTGCGCTTCGCGAAACTAAGGCTGCTCTCCCGTGTCTGGGGTCGAGAGTCTCGCTTGGCTGGCTCGCTTCTGGTCGCTTGAAAACTCTAGTCGCCTTGAACGTCTCCCACCTTAGCGTCACCATGGGTTCTCGGGCATCATGCGTCTCGCTACTAGGCGCCATCTACTTGTCCACGCAGAGTCGCTGCACAAAGTACCCTGGTTTCTCACCGTTGTTGCCATATCTTCCTTCCGGCCCCTGACCGCTTCGGCATCTAATTACATGCCAAGCTATCAACTTATCATATCAAAGAGGAGGCCAGCAAGTCAGTAGCTGGCCAACCAACTTCGACATTCACATCATCCTTCAACAGTCTTCCGTTTCAAAGTCGTATTCTCTCTCCTTTTGTCCGCATGAGCTCCCAACGTACGCGAACCACACTGAGTACTATTACCGAGCACTGCCCGTGGGGCTAGCGACTTTCATATGCCAACTGCAACAGCCAGTGCTCACCAGCTCTGCGTAGCTTGCTCGTGTGCGAATGTGTCACGGTCCCAGGATTCGAGACACCAAGGCAACAGAGCGGCATCGTCAATCAAGTCACATGGATCTCGTCGTAAAGGACTTCACTTCCACTCCGCCCGCTCGGAGAAACTTCTTACGGCGTCTCTTCGCCCAGATCATCGCCACCGGAGGAGCTCAGCCTTTCACATTAGTATCGCCAACACAAAACCCATGATCGTTCTCGCGGAGATGTCGTCTCCGAGCGCCGCCATGTCTCTCCAGGCGGACGACTGTGCACTAATGTACGATACGGATGACGACCTATTATCGATCTCAGATACAGATTCGTCCGATGCTTGTCAACAGCACGCGCAAAAGTCCGAATATCTTCGCTTCTATGACCCCGATGACAGCATGCAGGCAGTCAAGGATCACATCCGTCTTCGTTTCCCCTCGCTGTCTGTTGTCGATGTGGAATCCACGGCTTCTACAGACGCGCAGATGCTACGTAGTGTCCGTCTTGTCGATGGCAGGCGGCTCCTGATTCATCTGCCATCCTGGTACCGGAGGCCGCTGCAACATGAGCTGGGCTCTATCACGCAAGAGCTCCTAAACATCTGCTGGCTGCAGTCTTTACCAATGTATCGAAGCAAAACCCAGGATAGGGGCCAAGCCGCCCTGGTCTCCTCTCGTCCTTGGCCTCCCACCGAAGCCACTAACTTCAAGAAAGACGTTACGAACACGAACCACCTCACAAATTTCTTTCCGAAAATCTTACATCATGAATACTCAACCCGTGCAACACAGAGAGGCATGGATTTCGAGATCATGTTGAGCGAGCCGCCACTGGGGACAAGCATTCTGGAGTTGGAAGAAGCGCTAAGTCAGAGCGAGCGAATGTCTTGCGACTGGCAGACTGGGCAGCTGTTCCGTCGGATTGCCTCGAACATCTCACCGACTGGCTACTTCGGCCCGACAGCGCATGTTCTGGCGGAGCATACGAGCATGCCCTGGCTTTCTGACAGTGTGGGAGGGACCTACTTGAGGTCGGATATAGGATATCCATCATGGTCCCAGGCCTTTGGAGAACTCTTCTACACGGCGTTGGAGGAAGCAGGAAAGTCTCGAATCACACTACCGTCTTACAAGCTACATGTCGCCTTTGAGCGTTTTCGCCCTGTGTTCGACGTTGTCAAACGACCGAGCTTAGTGGCAGTGGACGGGTGCGAAGACAGCCACGTCTTGGTTTTACGACGTAAAGAAAGCAAAAGATACGCAAGCTCGAGACCTAGCGTTTCCGATGCCTCTGAGGATGAGAGCGCAGATGACGCGTTTAGAAACATCGGGAACCTCTCGACGGATGTCAAAGTGACTGGTTTAAAGAACTGGGGGCATTTCGTCTTTGGCGATCCTTTATTTGCAACCTGCTTCCTCAACACGGCATCAGAGGACCTGACCAAGGGAATGAACACAGCATTCAGTGCCGATGACCCCCTGGGTGACGCAGACCTTGTGGAGGACCCGCAGGGTGCACACATTCGCCTGCTGTTCTACGACATTGTGCACACGATGCGTGGAATTGCGAGGCAGCACAAGGGCGTCAGGACTCCGGACAGTGCGCAAAAGGAGGATATGTGGTGGGCAAGGCTCAGAAAGGCCTTGGCAAAGCTTGATGTTATGACAGCGCAGGAAGAAAAGGGGTAGTTGGCATATATGCAACAAACGTCGAATCAGCATCACGATGGCGAGAATACGCTACAGGTAAACACGGAAAGAACATAGTTACGTATATAGAATACCGTTGAACACGACCGGAACACATTCCATGCTATGCAGCACCATCTCTCGTATTATTTGTGGTAGGTCTCTCGTCGTCCTCTCCGTCATCTTCGTCCCGTGGCAGGTTGATTCCCATCATGCCGAGGAGGTTACCCGTAGGTCCAGCCATGCCTCCTTGACTTTTGAAGCTCTCGAGGATGTTCTTTGCTAGGTTGTAGTCGACATCGACTTCATCCTCGCTGTCCTCCTGAGCATCGACTGCTTCCCCTTGCCCTCGGCCTTCCGTAATGTTTGACCGCTTCGTGGGAGGATCTAGGTGGAGGGCACCATGACCCTGCAGTTCAGCCTCCAACTGACTTGTGATCTTCCTAATATCCTCAATATCGTCATCTTCATCTCCTACTTCCTCTTCTTCTTTAGCTCCAGTATTCGCCGTCTCTACTGCCCGCGGCGAAGCTGGGTCTTGGGTGTCGACATGTTTCCGTGTGGTTGTACCTGAGATCGGCGGGAATCCCATCATCTCCCGCATCAATCTCGAGAATTCCTCTTCGTCAAAGCTGACCTCCTTATCCTCTTCATCACTGTCTTCATCCTCTGATGCCAATTCGTCGTCGTCGTCGTCATAATCCATTTCGTCCATTTCCGCCCCATCGGGTCCAGCGGTTTCGTCATTCAAGAAAGCCTCAAAGCGAGAAACAATCTTGCGCAGATTATCCTTTGCGTTGGGATCACCGAACCCTTTGTCATCATTCTGGGTATCTTTTTGATGTGTTCGACCGCTGAGCTCACACTCGAAATCTTCATAGTTGATGTCGAGCCACGTCTCCTGGTCGTTTCTCGTTGTTTCCGGCCAGGCCTCTATATCTTTGTCGGAAGGCAGGATCCCGTCTCCATCCTCTTTCAGGTCCTCAATTAGAATCGCTAGCGCACGCACAACACGGCTCTTGCTTGTCTCTGCTTTGGCTGCAAGGATCTCGTAGCCGCAGGTCAACTTCATCCCTTTTTCTAACCTTCTTGTCCTTTCATCCGTGGCAACTGTCTCCACTCCTTCGCCTAAGTTGGGGAGTAGATGTCGCCACCTTGGAGGTGTTTCGAAGCGTTGGGATCGAAGTTGGGCGTATAGGACCTTGCTAAACCGGACACTGACAGTAACTAGGTCCTCGGGTGGGAACGTAAGTGTTGACGTCGACGAAAGGATGGGTTTCAAGTTGATATCGTCCCGGAGATAGAACGCTTCGACGGCCGGGGCAACAGATCTCGGTGAGCTGTGCACAATGTAGGCTAGACGTCGCGGTACGGTGACCAGCGAGTGGTGCAACGAGTCCTGAATCTGACCAGGGTATTTCTCCAATCGATAGAAAGCCTCGGCCTCGACGAATGTCGAATGGATAAATTCAGATGATCTGTCTTTGATGAATCTCACGGCGTCGTTTAAGGTCAACTTCTGCTTCGAGTCATCTCTGCAGGGGATGAGGAGGAGCTTCTCGTCGTGGAGCCACACACGATTTTGGTCATTCTCTGGGCTCAGCCATTTGGGCAACACGTTTGCCGCTTCAACCAGGAGAAACTCGCCGTCCGTGTCGAAGATTCGCACCCAGAGGTCGGGGTTTGCGGCGGTGAGTCGCCTGAGTAGATAAACGACCAACCACTCATCCTCCACGGCGTCGCCATACTGTACCTGACCTTCGAGGTAAATGAGCCCTATAATCATCAGCTTCAGCGTGATTCATATTCTTTGCTTGAAAGGGCTCGTACCATTCTCATTTATGAGTTCCAAGTTGAACTGATCCCGTTGCCAAATGTAATCTGTCGCCAGGTCTTGACACAAACTCAGTGCTTCTTTGCGTAAAGCCTCGAGTTTTACCAGAGTAGATCGGGCGTCAGCACTGGCATCAATCATGAAGATCAGGTACTGAACTGTGTCTTCAGGCAACTCCCTCTCGAACCCGGAATGACCAGCGGTCTCATCATGGGGGAAATTCTCCATCTTGTCCTATCTCGAAAAGAGAAGGTGCATCGACGCTGCGTTGAGGGTCAAACTTGAAGATGTCCCTGCCAGAACCAAGCGTCAACTCGGAAAATGGTCGACGTCTTTTCTTAACTAAAGCAGCAATGGTAAAAAAAGACTTAGGCCCGTGATTCTAGTCGACGCAAGTTCTCGTCCGATTGTTGAGCTTCCCATGCGCAAGTTAGAGCCCAAAATGCTCACCCTATAGACAGCACCCTCCTGCCGTCAAAAACGACACGGTCACGCTTGTCCCACCACAGTTAATTGCCCCGACGCGCTCGTCGCGTCTCTTCAGTCCTGCGCAGACACGTCCGCCAAAGACCACCTTTGAGTCCTTGCCCAACGTCACAGTAATGGCGATGCCAGGAAGCTCATAAAGGCGTTTTTGTCAAACCAAAGATGCCCTCGTCTTTGCCATTACACAGCTCTCCGTACCCCTCCGAATCCAACGCTTAGTACAACATGGCACCCCGGAAGCGCACGTACGATGACGGCGGCGATACAAGTGAGGAGGTTGTCAAAGCTACTTCGGCCTTGCGCCCGGAGTCTTCTGTAAGTTGTCGTTATTCCGACTCCATTCTGGTCGTTGTCTGACGCCCTGCACAGCGGAAAAAGGCACGAGTATCCATCAACGTTCAAGACAAGGACCAAGGACCAGTTGATGACGAGAGTCTGGCCTCTGAAGACGGGGAGGAAGATGAAGAGCTATCAAATGCGCCCCAGTCCCCACCACAGACCCAATACGAGTTCGAACGCGATGCCGGCTTCCACCACCTAGACAACATCGAGTACGACGACTTCCGAGCAACCCAGGCCATCAGAAGGCAAAGGGAGAAACAAGTTGGCCAAAATGCGGCAGCCGAGTCCGGCATTATTGAATCTGTTACATGTATCAACTTCATGTGCCACACCCGACTTCACGTTGAGCTCGGCCCATTGATCAACTTCGTTGTTGGCGAAAATGGCAGCGGCAAAAGTGCCGTGCTGACAGCTATCACGCTTTGCCTGGGTGGCAAGGCCAGTGATACAAATCGTGGAGGTAGCTTGCGTTCTTTCGTCCGAGCAGGGCAGGAGCATGGCCAACTCATCGTCAGGATAAAAAATGCTGGAACAGACTCGTACCAGCCTGACCTCTACGGCGACACAATCACAATCGAGCGATACTTTTCCAAATCCGGGACCAGTGGCTTCAAAATCAAATCAGCGGCGGAGAAGGTGATCTCGACAAAGAAGCAGGAAGTGGACGAAATCTCAGAATGGTATGCACTACAAATCAGCAATCCTCTGACAGTCCTCTCCCAGGACAATGCTCGGCAATTCCTCAACTCTGCAAGCCCTGCACAGAAGTACAAGTATTTCATCTCCGGCGTGCAGCTCGAGCAATTGGACAATGATTACAAGATGTCAAGAGACACGCTAGATCGAACGGAACAGCTCAGCGATGAGCTCAAGGACAGAATCGCCGTTTTGAAGAAGGATATGGACGAAGCTCTAAGGCAAGCCGAGCTAGCCAAACAGAACGGCGATCTGCGCGCCAAGGCACGATTCCTTCGAAGTCAACTTGCTTGGGTTCAGGTGCTGGAGCAGGAGAACATACTCAAGCAAAAGATTGAGATTCTAGCTGAACGCGAGCAGCGAGTGCTTGAAACTGAGCAAGCACGTGATGCGAATTCTCAAAACCTTGAGGACTTGGACCAGCAGATTGCCAGGGCGGAGCAGGTCAGAGAAGAAGTTGTGGCAGAGGGGGCCACCTTCTCGCAAAAGGTTGCAGCGGCAGAGGAAATCCTCGAAAAAGCTAAGAAGGAGCTAGCTGATATACATCAAGAGGAAAGAGCAGCGCACACCCGCCTAAAGAACGCAGGGCAGAACGTAACCAAAACGAAAGACCTCATCCAACAAGAGGAGGAGCGTCTCAGCGAATCTACGGGCCCCGAGAGGGCGCAAAAAGACTCGGAACTCAACAATGCGAAGACAAGAGAGGAGGATATGCGCAAACAACAATCGCTGGCAAATGCACGTGTGCCCGCCCTGAAAGAAGCTGTCAACGTCACGGAGCGCACATTTCAAGAGGCAGACAAGCTTTATAACGCCAAGAAAAAAGAAACTCTTGAAGCCAAAGCTCATCTCAAGGCCCTCAGGGAAAATTCCGGTGGTGCAATGGATGGCTACTCCGACGCGATGAAAAGAATCGTCGATGCAATCCACAAAGATGGCACGTTCGCTCACAAGCCGGTTGGGCCCCTGGGCTCACTCATACGACTAAAGCAGCCAGAGTGGTCAAAGATTTTGGAGAAGACATTAGGCGATACTCTGAACGGCTTTGTTGTGCGAAGCAAGGGTGACCAAACCAAGCTAAGCAAACTCATCGGCCGTTACACCGATAAGTCACCCCCTATTTTCATATCGAATCAAGGTCATCTGGACACTGCAACCAACGAGCCCGACGAGGATTTCGACACAATTCTACGCATCATGGAGTTCGATGATGATACGGTCCGGACCCAGTTGATCATGAACGCGTCAGTAGAGAAAATCATCTTGGTGAAGGACCGTGTTCGTGCCCAACAAGTCATGTTCAACCAGGCTCCCCCGCGCAACGTAGGCGCATGCATTTGTTTGCACGATGGCGCCAACAAACGAAATCATGGTCTTCGATTAACGAATCGCGGAGGCAACAAGAGCACAAGTCCAATCAGCCCACCTGAGAACAGACCCGGACCCATAGTCAGCGGCCAGCCACGCATGCGCACAGATATAAAACGCCAAGTCGCTCTACAGCAGGAGACAATAGACCAGTTGGGCCATGATCTGATCGCTATGACTCACAGCCAGAAAGGTGCGAAGAAAGCACTAGAAAATGCGAGGAACGAGGAAACAGACAACAGTCAGGCGATTCAGAGCTTGGCACGAGAGATCCGCCAAGCACAGGCTGACATTCAGCGCATAGAAGAGGAGTTGGACCAATTCGAGGGCGCTGACGATCGACTGGAGACCCTCAGGGCCACTCTTCGAGAGCACAATGAGGAAGCTGAGCAGGTCGGCATGCAATACGGCAATATGAGACTTCAAAAGGAAACTCTGTCCGGCAAAGTTCAGGAGGAAAAGAAGAAAGTTGAAGCGTTGAAGGAAGAAGGCAAAGACTTCCAAGCTCGCGTCAACAAAGCAGAAGGCAAGGTTCGCGGCCTGAATGATGCCCGAAAGGTAGCTGTTTCATCGAAGAACGCTGCCTACGACCAGGCTGCCATGGCAGTACAGGAACGTGACCGGGCCGAGGTCAAGCGTCAACAATATGTCAATCAGGTTGCTGAATACACAGAGGAGGCCGAGAAGGTGTGCCAGGAGCGGCCTCCTATACCTGATGGCGAAACCCGTCAAAATTTGGAGAAGCGTTTCAAGAAGATCAAGGAACAGCTTGCCGCTCGAGAGAAGCGTTTTGGAGGTTCTGACGAGGAGCTTTTTGCGCGTCGCGATGAGGCTGTGAAGCGATATGAGGATATCAAGACCCAGACTCAAGATGTGGAGGAGACCATTGTCTCTTTGAAGAGAGCCATGGGCCGACGTCTTGAAATCTGGCGACAATTCCAACGGCAAATCAGTGCGCGTGTACGCAATCAGTTCACCATTGTGCTCAGTGAACGCGGGTTCCGTGGCGGCATCGAACTCGATCACAAAAATCGGAGAATACACCTCAGGGTCGAGCCCGATGAAACGCGCAAAAGCGATGCTGGGCGCAACACAAAGACATTGTCCGGAGGTGAAAAGTCGTTCACGTCCATATGTATGCTTCTTGCCATATGGGAGGCCGTTTCATCACCCATTCGATGCCTGGACGAGTTTGATGTTTTCATGGACAATGTCAACCGGGCGATGAGCACTAACTTACTGGTAAGTCTTGACGTGTTGACGGCTGAATGTATCATCGGCTAAACTGCTCAGTGTGACGCTGCCCGCCGGTCAGTGTCCCGTCAGTACATACTCATTACACCTAATGCTATTGAGGGTCGCGCAAGGATGGATAAGGATGTCAACATTATCCGGTGAGTGTTGCGCTGTTGCAACTGCTGTGAATATGTTTGCTAACGTCTTCTAGGCTGACGGACCCTCGTCAACAGAGGCTGATCTAGGGGGTTCCACGCCATGTTGCAGGATGAGCTGGTGCGGCGCATTGTATGGCGTTACGGGTGTCGCAGGTGGGCTGCCTTGGGAGTGCAGTTTCGCGACTTCTTTCCGTACTCTGTGGTGTTCAAGTCGTTGGTGCACGGTTGTTTTGTAGCATTTCAGGGGTCGCGACAGGTACCCTATGTTCCGTTCATATGCATGTTGCTATTACACAAATACAAGATTTCTACATGATGTACAGAGTCTCTCGCGAGACAACCATTATATCCTCGCGCCCTTGCTTCTCAATACGTTGATTCCTGCGCTCGCTGTAAAGCCAACCCACTGCCCAATCGCTCCAAGTGTGCCGCTTACAGACTGGACCCCGCCAAGTCTTCGTTTGAGGAACTTGTTGGTCTCAACATAGTCGGGGGAGTGGTCGTTCGTCATGAACAGCTCGGTGGAGCTGTAGATCATGGATAGAGTCGCGCGTTTGGTGTACCAGGACGGATCGACCGCGGTGTCGCCAGCTAGATACCAAATCTCGTCCGATAGCATGGCAAGCTCTTTGAGGGAGGCCGAGGCGTGGCTAGGTTGTGCCATCACAGCAAGAGCCTAGGTAGTTCAAAGTCAGCAAGACTCCTATAGTCCGATCCGGGGCTTCTTACCTCTTGCCACTGGTGAATGACTTCTCGATTAGCCATGAGCCGTTCCCACGTCAGAGCTGTAACCTTGGCCCCTACGCCAATCGGCGCATCTTCTCCTTGGAATATATCGCTGCTCTTTGCTGCCAGCGCCAATCTTTGTGTGTAGAGGTGGTGGCGGATCAAGCTGTATGCACCGTCAGGCAGAGCACTTGGACTGATGTCGAGAAGGCCGGCGTCGCGTGCGCCGAAGGACAGTGCGCGGTGAGTGAAGCCATGCTCAGGCACATGCTTGTATGCTGCAGAGAGAATCGACGTCTCTGTTGCTCCGAAGGGCCCAGTCGGAGGCGGGTGATCGTATGAATGGAAGACGCGACGAGAATGGATGTGCTGATTGTAGGCCAGAGGGCGGGTGGTCCGAAAGCAGCGCTTTGCTGTACGCGTGGGTAGGGCTGTGGCCATGGTGGCTGTTTACGCAGTGGTAATGGCTGCTTATTGAGAAATTAGGCTTAGCAGCCTAATTCACGTCTTGAGCTTTGAGGTGGCTTGACGATGATGCAGGCCAATTGATACCTACCGTCATCTACTAGAACTTCACTAGATTCGACGGCTTTATTCCGCCCTCATCCCACCTTTCGCGTTGTCTGGGCACTTGGGGGTCTCCCTACCCTACATCGCTTCGTTGGTCATGTTTGTACAAATCCTGTTCTATGATCACATAATTTATTCATGAGCTATACCTGTCGGCGGCGATCAATGAAAATCACTGAGCCCGGGAGTATGAATACTGTGAGGATGGGTTTTTCTGGTGTTGTTCACTACGTTCTCGCGTAAGTTCATCTATCGACATGGCTTAGGGGTTGGACCGCACTATAAATACCTTTATAATTACCTGTATGTTTATCCGCACGGCGGCGCTGTAACGGCTTCCAATCAACGCTTAAGGTACAATGCGAATAAGAGTATCCCTGCCACCCCGATCATTTTTTTCGAAGCCTTCTGTTGATTGTTGACCAGGCAGCTGGACAATTCAATGAGGTACACAAGGAGGGGCACGTTCGACCGAAGCTGCGGCTGCGGGCTTCAGTCCCCGACCAAGTTGCATGAGTGCATGGGCCTACTGCGGGATCACATTGCAATCACTGGTTCTGAGCTGCATGAGGTATTACAATGAGACTCACCGGTGTGAGGAAGACATGAGACCTATGGTCCCCGTCTGGAGGATACAATTGGGCAGCACACTGCATGGTGTCACATCATTCACGCACCGAGGCCTGGGCTGGGGGTAACGTGCTTGTTGAGTGTGTACCCTTGCGAACAGGATGAGACTCCGAAGGTCTGAAGTGGTCGTATCACCCGCAGTACTCCGTAGGTATCCGTGCATTCTATTTTTTTCATGTGGCTCATAATAAGACACGCCATCCGCCAGTGGGCCAAACTGGCAGATCTGTCTTACGAGCTGTACTACGTACGTACGACAAGTACGTTGGGTCTGCCTATCCGTACTTGTGCGTAGTCAATTTGTCCGATACACAGTGGTGTAGCTTCCAGAATCCGTGAATTGCTAACTGTCTGGCTGAGCAAACCTGTAAAGCCCATTGGCGGTTAACCGCAGAACCATACGCATTCTGGGTACAGAGTACGACTAAAATTACCTGACAACGCAACTTCGCGCATTGCTTCTTGACTCCTCTTAACTTAATCATCAGGACAAAGGTGCCCACTGATCTAATACCATACTAACCGGCTCACAAGCTGCTGTGCTGTCACGTGATTGTTAGCGATTCTTGACGTCGGGCATTCTTTTGCAACTCGGCGCCAGGAGTCCGACTTTTTCAAACGCCCGTCGCTAAGCGCCGCACGAGCTTTCCATTGGCATGTCAATAAATTAAAAGTTCCAGACTGGGTTCTGGGGAAGGTCAATGCTGAGTTGGTCCATTCCCTCCACCAGGTACCTTGATGAATAACGTACAGCACAGTGCGTCGGTACTGCCAGGAACAGGCTGGATTAAGGACTTGAGGTGATGTAAGTGCGGGGCTTCTGGCATCATACGCAACGTTCATTGGTTTCCCGCCCTTGCGACGCTTTGCAGTCCAGGCTGACCGCGTGCACGCGTCTTTTTCCTCCTCTTGGTCCTCATCACATTTCGAGCTGTGCCGACGCGACTTCCTAGAGGTACGACCATCGACGACCCCTGAAGCCCGCTTCCATTTTCCAGCATTTCAAGGGCTCAAGAGCATCGTGGTAGTCTCGCACAGAGGTGTGCGTACGTCTAGCCAGGCCCCAACACTTGTGAGTCGGGCTACGTTTCCTTATTGCCTTCGATCCCAATGCCCAAATTTGATTCCTGAGGTCCCAGCCTCACTGGCTAGTACTTACGGCGCGCCACTACGCCGCGGTCAACCATCCCACCACACCTTGTGCTCCTGCATCGCCTCGCTATTCGATACGTTTCCATTTCAGAAGCTGCAGCAGTCTGTACAGGCTGCTCTACGTTTGTACCTGGTGAAGTTGACCACTAGCGAGTGCCACCAAGACTCGTCATCTGGGGCGGCCGTGGTTATATTACTTTCAAGCCACTGACCAGGCACTGATCTCACCCAGTGTTCCCATTGGCGAGGGATCCAACACGTCCGCAAAGTCTTGCTTGTATCGCAGTCAGGCTAGCCTGAGTCTGCTCAAACAGTGAATCAGCAAGCACTGGCGTTTTGGAAACCCGTACGTTCCCTCCGACCTCCCCCTCGCACACCAACGTGCCCCCCATTTTCACTACCACCCACTCACTACACCAACCAGAGTACTGGAACGAAACTACCTTCACAGGCGCACACCAGCACTAACCAAGTCTGACGTTGAGCCTGCACCTGTGGTCTCACTCGAATCATTGCCGAAGTGCTTATTGCTGTTGCTAATGTGGTTGTCATTGTTGCTGTTGTCACTTGCAGCCATACTGACCGAGCAAGCAGAGCAAAACCAGCATCATACGCCGAGCAGCCGCACTGCAGCTGTGCTATCAACTCCGACGACATCAGTTCACCAGCTGCACGAGCTTCTTTGTCATCCCCGAACAACGCGCACGGTCTGTGATCGAGCAGATAAAGCTTCAAATCAAGACCCTCGTTGATATTTGTGAAGGAAAATCCTCACTATGGGTACGTATCATTCCCCTTTTCCCATTGTTTACCCAATGCTTTGCACATACCACCCACGATCTGTTGCTTCCTGTCACTCTGCATTTGCTCGCATACCAAGAGCATAGCTGGGTCGCAAGGCTCGTATCCATTCATTGCACTGGCGGGCATGCCTACGCAACGTCAAGTCCACACGCCGTCATGTACTCCGCTCCAGTCCTGTTACTCGAAGCGCCTCGAGAAATGCCGTGCATTGCGTTTCCAAAACTGGCGCCCAGTGGCGTCTTTTCCTCATTTTCATTGCTAGCATTGCATTACCTGAGTTTGCGCCGCGACCCAGCACTTTCGGCGGTTTCAAAGGCAAACCGAACGTTGGGTAGGGTGCGACTTGCGCCCTTATCAGGAAAACGGGATGAACCCCGCCTTCAAAGACATGGCATGCCATGTGCTCTATCTTTTGTCCATATTGAGGTCTATAGGTCGCAGCAAGAGCCGCCAAAATCACCAGTGTGATACGACTTCTTGATGTAACTCGGTCTGGATCCCATTCGAGAGCGTACACTGCTTTGTACCCCATCCTCGATTTGGCCAGATCCGAGGCTCGAGGCCTCTATCACCATCTCGGATCGCAAGCCTTTGCCGCCTTACAAAACTCCTTCCCCTTCCTTGCACGCTTCCTGCTCCAGCGTGTGCCAGGTCCACCTGCCGGCGCTGCGGTCTTGCACACACCCCTCCACCCGCCCCTTCCCCACCCGCATATAGACGCTGTGCGAAGCCACGCTTACCACATATACGACTGCTTCCCTCCATGTCCTTTACCTTTCCTCCAAGGTGTTCTTTTCTCTTCACTTCTTCTCTATTCAGAATTGGCCATCGGTCGTCTCGATCTGTCCCCTGCTAGACACGTCTATCTTGAATGCGAGTCTTTCTAACGTTACCTTGTAGCGGACAACTCAGACAACTACAGACCAGTAAGTGCTCATTGCGGCTATGCGCCTTGATCCCCAGATACCTCCTGCCCTCACCTAGATGCTACGTCACAGCGCCGATAGGAAGCTGGGCAGGTCCTTGGTGTGCTTCAGCGATTGCCCTTGCAGATTCGCAAGCGACCACGATCTTGCTGCCCTGGTGGTCGCGAGTGGCACTCGAGCACACCTTCACTTCAACCATCCGATTGCGAAGTGTGCATCAGAATACAAGGCGTGTACTAACCATTAAACAGCGTGAAAGGTCTCGCTCGCCCCGACGACGCTCTCGCAGCCCTGGACGTTCTCGACGCCGCTCATACTCGCCTCGGAGTCGCTCGCCCAGCCGGGAAGACAACCGCCGTGGCCGTGATCGCTCGCCTATGGCAGGAACGGGCGCACAGGACGGGGGATCAAACTACGGCGGACAAGCACCTAACCGATCATTCGAAGACCGAGGTCGCGCACGAGATTCCATGATGAACAACATTCGCGAAACGTCCCAGCAAGACCGCCGTGTCTACGTCGGCAACCTTAGTTACGATGTCAAGTGGCACCATCTGAAGGATTTCATGCGCCAGGGTGAGGAATGTGGGTGGTATGGAGGGCTGTGCAAGGGCTGACGAAGGGTTCTAGCGGGAGAGGTTCTCTTTGCCGATGTGTTGTTGCTTCCAAACGGAATGTCGAAGGTGGGCTCCATTGCATGACCCTTGATGGCTTTTCTCTCGGCCTTTCCACACTTTTGGATTTTTATGGATGTTGGGTTGACGGATTGGACGTTGTCCATGGTTGATGTAGGGATGCGGGTAAGTTTGGCTCCAGGCTCTACGGTGTGTTTTGCGCAGAACTAACACGACTGCACAGCATTGTGGAATATGCGACACGCGATCAAGCCCAGCAAGCTGTTGCGCAACTCAGCAACCAGAACTTGATGGGACGATTGGTCTACGTCCGCGAGGTTGGTTACAGTCTAGAGGTGCGTGTAACTCAGACGACTGACATATCCAGGATCGTGAAGCTGAGCCCAGATTCATTGGCTCCAACAGCGGCGGTCGGGGCGGCGGCTTTGCTGGCGGCCCAGGAGCCATGCATGGCGGTCCCGGCATGCAGGGTGGTTTCAACCCCGGATTTGGAGGCGGTGCCCCTGGGGGAGGTGGTGGGCGACAGATCTACGTCGCAAATGTCAGTCCTCACGATCTCGTTCAACTAAAGCAAGTCCACACCAAGTCATGGCTGTATACTGACAGGTAGTGTAGCTTCCGTTCAACATAGGATGGCAGGATCTCAAGGACTTGTTTCGACAGGCCAGTATGTCATGTCTTTTACGCCACGGGGGCCAACCTTATACTGACACACTTTAGCTCGCGTCGGTGGCGTGATCAGAGCTGATGTCCATATGGGTCCCGACGGTCGACCCAAGGGCTCAGGCATTGTTGTATTCGAAAGCCCAGAAGATGCCCGCAACGCCATCCAGCAATTCAACGGATATGACTGGCAAGGTCGTATGCTCGAAGTCCGTGAGGACCGATTTGCCCAAGGCGGAGGCATGGGCTTCGGCGGGCGCGGTGGTTTCGGCGGAGGTATGCGAGGTGGCTTCGGAGGCGGCTTTGGCGGTCGCGGAGGCTTCGGCGGTTTCGGTGCCCGCGGTGGATTTGGAGGAGGTCGTGGCGGAGGTTTTGCTGGGAGTCCAATGGGCGGCCCAGGTGGCCCAGGCGCCCCAGGCTTCGATGCTCCCTCGGTTCCCCCCAATCCCTTTACCGACTTCGCCACTTCTGGCACTGAACGCAGCGAGACTATCTATGTCCGCAACGTAAGTTCGTCCTGAGAAGACAAGCCTTTCATCAGTTTGAAACATGCTGACCTGTGTCACAGCTGCCCTGGTCCACCAGCAATGACGACCTCGTAGAGCTGTTCACCACCATTGGCAAGGTCGAGCAAGCCGAGATTCAGTACGAGCCGAGTGGTCGCTCCCGGGGCAGCGGTGTTGTTCGCTTCGATTCCGCTGATACCTCAGATACCGCCATCGCCAAATTTCAAGGCTACCAGTATGGCGGGCGCCCTCTGAATCTGAGCTTCGTCAAGTACTCCAACCAGCCCGGCGCCGCGGCCGACTCGATGGAGACCGACACTCACGACGGATTGACACAAGATCAAATGATGTAGGCACATGGCGAACCCTACAATTTGGCATATTCTCTGGCATTCAAACCGCGCGCCATCAATTGCGCGATCTCTTGTTTCTTTCCTTTTTACTTGGACCGTATCAAAACTGAGATTCGTTCTTCGGCGTTCAAATGGCCACGATATCTGGCTTCGCAAAATGACAAGTGCTCCCTTCTGCGCAAGGCTCACTAGCTGGTATTGCCTTGATCATGTCTTCGATCGATCATGCTTCTGGAGCACCCACCAATAGCTGTTCGCGTTGGCGCGTGAATCACGGTTCGCTTTGTACGACAGCATAGAAAAAGTAACGCGAAGGCGCTGTTGGCGGATAAGCGTCTTGGATGTGGTGGATGTTGTAGGATTTACTCAGCTAGGAACGGAGATTACTCGTCCCAACGAAATTGTATTTGGGATGGAACTCAGACTGCCTTTCAGGACAATGCATGATGAGACTTGAAAGTGAGCAAAGCTTTGTGCAGGCGCTCCTAGCATGTCATGTGCGATCATAACTATCAGGGTACATCCAGTGTGACAATCCTCTTTCTCCAGCTTCCCCGTACTGATTGTCTAGTACTAAGAAGGCCGACGTCACATGCCGAGTCTGTGTGCCGAACGCGTTGGCGGGTGTGAAAGGCCGGCCTACTAGTACTTATGTACGGATTACATCGTGCACTGGTAGCTGCTTTACGTGGAGCTTTGAGATGTGTTGCAGTATCCGTACTGCGGTCTAGATTAGATGCTCATTCCTGCCCCGGCGAAGGACCCACATCAGTTGGAAAAGACTAACCACTCTGGCTAATAATGGATCTAATCGTGATTCAGGAGTACTTTCTTGTCAATGGGGAAGAGGCAGAGTTGCCCGGCGGGCAAGGTATTTGCGCAAAAATCGGCTACCAGAAAGGAGCTTGTACTTTACCAAGCCCAGTTGATGAGCTTCTTGACCTTCGTCGTCTTCCCCAGCCGAGCCTCGAACATGGATGGTGACGAGACGCGCGTTTTCCAACACAAGTTGGCACTTTGGGCCGCCTTACGCCTTGGCTCATGTCATCAACGTGAAGTTAAGGAGGCTCTCACTGCTTTAGGCTTGCAATGAATGCGCCAAGAGCAACGATTCCTAATCCAGCTACCCACCACATCATTCACTGCCGGCTGCGAGTCGATCCGGAGATCGCAATCCTTGCTAGTCTGGGCTAGAATTGCATGGACCCATTATATAAGCAGCACGATTCCGATCTAATAGTAGCAGTGTGCTTTCTCCTCTTGAGAGTATTGTTCTGCTCTGGAGGCGAGGGAGATGCAGACACCACAAGCAGACAAGGCAGATCAAGCTGTCTGGTGGTCAGAGGATATCCTTGAATGTGCGCGCTGTCTCTGGCTACTTGGCTTCAAAATTATTAAGAGTGTCTTGATTCAGTCCTACCCCACGCTCCATGCATGCTAGTCTGAGCTTAAAGGATACCTCGAGTAGGAGCTATGTAGGTACTTACTAGGGGGTGTCACTGCAATGACACAATTAATTTGGGAACTAAGCTTAACCTGCTCTCACAATGCGGGCTGCCATGCCAGCCCTCCCATGGACTGGCGAATGGTGAGCATCCTACCCCGTCAGTGCCTCACGGCATCTCCAGCATCCGTGATCGACCTGCGCTAGTCAGCCTTGGGTTTCCGCCAGATCGAGACTAGTAGGTCATGTCCGAGACGATGATCGATTGCTGCTCCAGTCCCCATGGGCCATGGCTCTTCAGTCGACGCTGCTAGCGGTAGCTCCCTCACATTATTCAGTAGCTTGGCAAAAGAACAAGTGTTCCATCGTTTATCGTGTGGCGTCACGGGAGGAATGAAGAGAATTGCCGCAGATTCTGTCGTTGATACCTACCTATGGCTTCCTGTATCTGCCGGGGGGCAGATGAAAAGATCGTTCCCCTTTGTGAGCTTACTTCGGTCGACAAGCTAGAGCTCGATGTCAATTCCGGGGGCAGTGCTACACTAGTCAGAATTCATGAATCAACACGAGGTAAGGCGTCATGCCCGGGCCAATCTATCGCCTCATTCGCTCGATGTGAAGCCAAGAGCGGTCGGGGTCTTTGAGGCTTGCATAGCTCGAGATCTAGTTTCTGAATTAGGGTCTTGGCTGCTGCTGCTGTTTCTCCTGATATCCTGAACTCACAGCATGCCAATTGATCTGTTTATCTGGGGCTAGGAGACGAATGCGTCCTTTCCTCGGGCCCAGCGACGTATATATAGTGCTGATCCTCCAGTGTAGAGTTTGTTTGTCAGTCAACCCATCGCTTCATCAACCGTCAGCCCATCAATTTCTCAACCTTCGCCAAAGTTCCCAATCCCTCTATCAAGATGAAGTCTGTTGCTGCTCTTACACTCGTTGCCCTCGCCAGGGCCTCCCCCTTGGCTCGCGATGCGAACGACATCGTCACCCGCGACGGCCACAAGATGGACGACCATAAAATGGAAATGACAGGCCCTTTCACCTTTACATCCACCTACAACGTGATCGCCAGCCCAAACCAGGTCGTCAACTCGGATAACGAGTATACCGGCGGCCTCGAGGGCTGCACGGGTCAGTTCAACTTCGGCATCAACTCGCACGACAATGTCATCTGCTACAACATCACCATCGACGGATTCCAGGGAGACTATGAATCGCCTGCCGATACTGCCACCCACATCCACGAGGCGATGGTGGGCATGTCGGGTCCTCCTCGGTACGTCGATTCTTGTTCATTCTATGTTAGTTCTTGTATTGATCGTTGTACAGCATTGCCTTCCCTAACCCGGTCGATATCGGCGAGGGTCGTCGCAACAGCATCGGCTGCCTTCGGGGACCGTTCACCACAGGTGTGCTCTCCGACGGCACGGACACTGGTGAGGGCTTCCACGTCTCGCAAATTGAGGAGAATCCTGCCGGCTTCTTTTCCGACACCCACTCCAGCCTTGCTGTGCCCGGTGCTACGCGCGGCCAACTTGGTGGTCCCGAGTGCAAGTAATGCCTGACCTTTTGAGCCAGGAGGGTTTGTCGCTTCAAATGCGGCAATGTCGTTCGTGCGAGTAGTATAGTGAAAGGATATTCTCGCACCGGTATTAGCATAATGCACATTCATTGCTCTGTCCACTTCATTGAACGTTTCGGCTCTCAAGGTGTATGTTTCCATCACTAATTGGTTGCTGCCATGATTAAGGAAACATTGGGAGAAACATTAGGCAAGTAAGGTTGCCGAACTTTGCGGGAACGAGTCTTAGGCAAGCGCTGCGGACAAGTCCAAAGACGTTCGACCCGATCAAAAATGTTGTTGATTATCTGCCACACCTATGGCCCGGTCTTCTTCTTCTTCGCCTTTGCCTTCTTCTTGCTGCGGTCCCTGGGCTTCAAAGCCGCCATTCCCGCTTTGCAAATGTCTGCATACCGCACGTAGAACCCATCGAGGTCGTCAGGTTTCACCACTGTGGAAATTTTGGCCTTGTCCCCTCTTTCACGGGCTGATTTTCCATTGGAAGCGCGAATGAGAATGGGCACGGGCTCACTCAGATTCAAGTCGGGGAACTCTTCATCTCGTGAAGGTAGGGTTGCATCCTCGGAGTGAGTGACTGTCCTAGCGTTAGCTTCGACACTGTAGACGCTTCGAGATCCACTGACGTCGCTTCTGTGTCAAATAAATTGCGCCATGATCGCTGCCTTTGCGATGACTGAAGAGTTTCTCGAGCTGTTCAAAGAACTAGCGCTTGGTGAGCGAGGGGCGAGAAGAGATGGAGCAGTGTGCGCGTTGTACCTCAGTCTGGCTCAGATGAGTCTTGCTCGACGGCATTGCGCTGCAGGTTGGAGTTCACTCAGGCTGTCTAGAAGGTCGTAGGGACCCGAATCGGCGTGATGCTGTTGGGTGAGTGAGTCGTGATGTGAAGTAACTGATGGCCGATGAGTGAGTGAAGTTGAAGGGCATGTGCGATATGCCCCGCCACTCAAGGTGGACCAAAAGGCGCGAAAAGTCGCTGGCCAGCGGAAGCTCTCCAACTGACAGTAAAGTGTCGAGGTAATTTGGTCCAACGTGTTCTTCCTGACCCACACAGGCTTCCTTGGCATCAAAAAGTTCATCCACGTTCGCATCAAATTTCGTTCCCTTACTTCTCAGCCAAAACAAACTATCATGCCAAAAAGTGTCGCAGAATTGCAGGGCCAGCTCTTCAAGAGCCTTGGCCTAGGAGATGCGTGCGCCGGAAACAAGGCTGGTCGCGGCCAGTCTTCCAACCGAAAGGATCAGCGCAAGGCACAGAGAATTCAGAAGAAGACCAACCGGTACTCCAGAGTTGCTCCAACGAAGTCGCAAGTCACCAATACTCAAGGAAAGAATGGGCCCGCACCCAAATCTCGCCAGCAAAGAGTAGCGGCGGACAGCGAAGAGTCGCTTGGAGAAGACGATGATGAGGACATTGATGACATTGCTGATCCTTTCGAGGAAAGCGATGAGATCCTGGACCAATCCGCTGAGGATGATACGGCAAGCAAGCACGGCAACAAAATGTCTTCGGCGATGAAGGAGAAACTCGCTAAGGACGACGCTGAAATTGAAGGATTTGAGCGAAAGCTTGGCATCAAGAAAGGTCGCAAGTCTTTACCGCAGTCGTTCAAGGAGGACGGCCTGGAGGAGCTCATGGCAGACTTGGCAGATGATTCCGATGGGGACGATGCTGAAGTCTCCGTGAACGGGGACGAGGACAGCAGCAAGAGGAAACGTGAATTTGACGATTGGCTTGCTGCAAAGCGACGAAAAACAGCGCCGAAAGCTGTACCTAAGGGTGGGAGGGAAGAGGATGAAGGGGACTCAGATGACGAGCTCAACGGCCATGATGACCTCACTGATCTTGACGGTGAGGAGGGCTCTGATTTGTTCGACGAAGAGGACGAGGACCAATTCGATGAAGAGGGTTCATTTGGTGGATTTGGATCAAGCGAAGATGAAGCACCGGCTGCTGCTCAACGACCACGCGAAAATCCGTACGTCCCTCCAACACAGGGCAATGTGGTAGCAAAGTATGTGCCGCCATCTTTACGCAAGACGAGGAACACACATGACGAGAAGAGAGAGCGACTACGCAAACAAGCCCAGGGCTTGGTCAACCGGCTGACTGATGCGAACATCATCTCCATCGTGAAAGGCGTGGATGATTTGTATGGCAACAATGCACGAGGAGAGGTCACCGAGGTCTTGACAGACCATATTCTGGCCCAGGTTTGCAAGCCCGAGGCGCTGCCAGACCAGTTCTTTGTCCTCACAGGTGGATTCTGTGCGGCTGTATACAAGATCGTCGGCTCCAGCTTCGGATCCCACCTGGTGAGGCGTGTGGTTCAAGACTTTGGGCAGGAATACGACCGAGCAAGCGCTGTGCAGGGCGAGGATGCCGCGATTCCCAAGGAGCCCTCGAACCTGATCACCTTTCTCTCACAGCTCTACGTGTTCGAAGTCGTGCGCTGCAAGATCATATTCGACTACATGGAGCGGCTTTTGCTGGACTTGAACGAGATCAACGTGGAGTTGCTGCTGCGAATCTGCCGCAATGGTGGCCGGTTGCTGCGCAGAGACGACCCCCAGGCACTGAAGCGCGTGGCCGATGTCCTGGGAAAGTCGGTGGCAAAGGCTGAGACGGGCAGCGTCACCGTGCGGACCAAGTTCATGGTGGACACTATCAACGACCTGAAGAACAAGAAATCCAAGGGCAAGGGGCTGGATTCGAGCATTGTCTCGGAGCAGGTCATCAGCATGAAGAAGCATCTGGGTGAATTAAAATCTCAGTCCCGACGTTTGGACGGATTGACCCCGATGGGTATGGATCTTGACGATGTCATCAGCGCCGACACCAAGGGCAAATGGTGGCTCGTCGGTGCCAGCGTACCGCCAAAGGAGTCTGAGTCCAACAAATCGGAGACCAAATCCAAGAAGGGGCGGAAGCATGTGTCAGAAGAAGTTTATGATGATGCCAATGGAGATGAGGAGGATATGGATTTCGTGCTTCCTGATTACCCCAAAAAGGCGCGGTCTCAGGGGTTGGGTTCACCAGCTCAAATTGCCATCTTCACGGCGCTGATGACTGCCATGGACTGCCAAAGGGGGTACCAACATTACGTCAATCTCGGACTCAAAAGAGAAGAGAAACGGGAAGTTGCCAGGGTTCTTGTGCAGTGCGTCGGCAGCGAAGCGGAGTACAACGCGTACTATGCAGGGATAGGCGAGCTCTGCTGCCGCGACACAAAGCTTCGATTTGCTTTCCAGGCACGACTCTGGCAGATCTTCCGCGCCATGGGAGAGTCACTGTTCGGAGAGGAGGCCGAGGACATGGACACGGCTGACAGCACACGATTCCAGGATGAGCCGCGCGTCCAGAAAGTGGCTCAGTTCTACGCCTCGCTGATTGCGAGTGGCTCCCTCAGCCTCGCGATTTTGAAACCGCTCAACATGGCTGAGATGGAGCTCTGGACATCATTCTTTGTCGAGTGCCTTATCATCAGCCTCCTCCAGGAGTGTAAGTCCAAGAGGACGGAGAGGGAGGATATCAAGGTGGAGAAGGCGTTCGGCGCGGCGAGGGACTTGCCTCAACTCGCCGCAGGATTAGAATGGTTCATGAGAAAGAAGCTACGCAAGACCAAGGCTCTGAGCTCCAAGAGTCTGCTCGAGTTGGACCAGGTGAAGGCAAAGGCTATGGCAGCCGTGCAAAGCCGAGGTGTGCTGGAGGAATAAATGGGAGCTTCGGAAAAGCTTGAATCGCAACGCTTAGACAGAAGAACCCTGATCTGGGCAATTATAGATTTCTAAAGGCCAAATGCTATCACAGATGTGCATATTGAGTTGATTATAATGGTATTCAGGACCGAGGTAGTTCGGTCCATCTCCGTGGACGAGTTCCCTTCGATATATCACAGCTCTTCTATCGGTTGCAGGTACCATATGCTGTGTTCCAGGACAGATCTTTCACATACGACCATACCCAGTGGAAAATACGGGATCACGTCATGCTCTTCTGTAGCGCTTCTTGTGTTCTATAACTCGAGGCCTTTTCTTCCGATTTTGGAACTTGCGATCTCAAGAATTGGATGTTATTGAGCTAGCACAGCGCTCAAAGCGCTCCTTACCCACACACACCCGCTACACATACCATTTTCAGGTCGTTAACGATATAAACGATGTTTCCACGAAAAGGAATTTATTTCTTCTCCAGTGGATATTTGCCTAATATTCATATAATAGTCGCCGGTGGCGATTAGAGATGTCCGTTGGAATGACCCAGCAATACACTCCCCGCTAGAAAATCAAACTATATTTCTTATACCACAAGAATATGTTTTGCCTACGGGCGGGCCCCTGCACTGGTCGAACGGGAAAGTCAGCATTAGATCTGGCCGAGACAATGTTTTTGCGATTGGTGAGGCCCATGGTTCGGCGGAAGAGGTCGGTGGAGTTTGTTTTTTCGTCCCTTTCCTCTTCTTTCTTATTGTTCTCGGGCAGCGGCAAAGGCCGCATTGACGCGGGATGAAACGGGTCAAGAGTATCGCGGTCATCCAGAGTGGTGGCGAAAATAGGCGAATGAGGACGGGCCATGCTGCCGGCTAAGAAAATTTGGCTGGCTTCTTGGGGGGCAGCGCTGTGCCGCCAGGCTGCGCCTCCAATTGGCTGGAATCTTGCCGGGCTGGCAACTTGGAGCTCTGGAATCATCGACTGTACGGCAACATCTCAAGATTTCCAATCCTCCAACCTCAACCTTTATCTCATTTATCTTTGTACATTCTCTTTCGGCATCGCAGGCTGCCGGAAACACCACTAAGACACATCACAATGCTTGCCAGTCGTCTCATCCCCCGGCACACCGTTCGTCCGGTCGTTGCGCGGTCAACGTGAGTAGGCCCTGTACACCCTTTTTGCCTCGACAGCGAAACCGCTCCCTCAGCACGACTGTCTGGCATCACTGGGAGACGATCGGAGACTAATCATGCCGTAGACTTCCCACAGTCCTCGCCCCGAACTCGATATCAAGATGGAGTCGCGGCTATGCCTCATCATCTGGTGCGTAATTTTCCTCGACCGATCACTGCCCGTCGGCGCGCGATTATTGACCCGAAATACAGAGGAGAAGGACCTGGTAATCATCGGTGGCGGTGTTGCCGGCTATGTCGCTGCCATCAAGGCCGGACAGGAGGGCATGAGCGTCGCTTGTATCGAGAAGCGCGGCACCCTCGGCGGAACCTGCCTGAACGTGGGCTGCATTCCTTCGAAATCGCTCCTCAACAACTCCCACCTGTACCACACGATCCTCCACGACACCAAGAACCGCGGCATCGAAGTCGGCGATGTGAAGTTGAACCTGGCCAACTTCATGAAGGCAAAGGACTCGTCGGTCACCGGCCTGACCAAGGGTGTCGAGTTCCTGCTCAAGAAGAACGGAGCCGAGTACATCAAGGGCGCTGGCTCCTTTGTCAACGAGAACGAGATCAGAGTGGCTTTGAACGATGGCGGCGAGACTACCATCAAGGGCAAGAACTTCCTCATCGCCACCGGCTCCGAGGCTACTCCCTTCCCTGGTCTCGAGATTGACGAGAAGCGCGTTATCACCAGCACTGGCGCCATCGCGCTGGAGAAGGTTCCCGAGTCCATGCTTGTCATCGGTGGTGGTATCATCGGTCTTGAGATGGCCTCCGTCTGGTCGCGACTAGGCACCAAGGTCACCGTGGTTGAGTTCTTGGGCCAGATTGGCGGTCCTGGCATGGACACCGAGATTGCCAAGGCCACCCAGAAGCTCTTTAAGAAGCAGGGTCTCGAGTTCAAGCTTAACACAAAGGTTTTGAGCGGCGACACCTCGGGCGACAAGGTCAAGCTGAATGTTGATGCCACCAAGGGTGGCAAGGAGGAGACACTGGAGGCTGAGGTTGTCCTCACTGCCATTGGCCGCCGTCCTTACACCGCCGGCCTCGGCCTGGAGAACATCGGTCTGGAACTTGACGAGCGCGGCCGTGTCATCATCGATTCCGAGTACCGCACCAAGATCCCCCATATTCGCTGCGTCGGCGACGCCACATTCGGTCCCATGCTAGCCCACAAGGCAGAGGAAGAGGCTGTTGCCGTCGTGGAATACATCAAGAAGGGCTACGGCCACGTCAACTATGGCTGCATTCCCTCCGTCATGTACACCTACCCTGAGGTCGCCTGGGTCGGTCAGTCCGAGCAGGACCTCAAGAGCCAGAACATCCCTTACAATGTCGGCACCTTCCCCTTCAGCGCCAACTCCAGGGCCAAGACCAACCTCGACACCGATGGCATGGTCAAGATGCTGGCTGATCCCGAGACTGACCGTCTTCTCGGCATCCATATCATTGGCCCCAACGCAGGCGAGATGATTGCCGAGGGTACACTCGCCATGGAGTATGGCGCCTCCAGCGAGGACATTGCGCGCACGTGCCACGCCCACCCTACCCTGGCGGAGGCCTTCAAGGAGGCTGCCATGGCCACACACTCCAAGGCCATCCACTTCTAAACCCACTGTCAAACGAGGATATGAGCTTACCAACCTACAATACCGACGCGCGGCATCCTGTCTGGAGGAAACGAGCTGCAACTCATTTCTGCATTGACGAAGAAGAAAGATAGACCACAGGCGGTCCACGTAACGTGCAGGTAGGCGCATAAAAGGGCGTCAATGTGCGTACTGGTTACCTAGTCACAACACATGAGGCGCGCAATCTGAGGTGGGATGGAGATTATCCTACCCTTAATGTACCTTTGTATATTTAAGTAGTAATGCTGGTTGAGCGTAGTGGAATGCGAATGACTTCTTCAGTGCAACGGCGTCAAACGGTTGATGACATGCTTTTTGCGGCCGTATCCTCCGATGTGTCTTTGATAGACGACGTGATCCAGGAACGTGGAAGCCAATGTAGTGCCCCTGAAGCCTAGCACGTTGACGTGCCTCAGGGCACTTTGCCGCTATTTCAGGAACATGCTTAGTGCGAACGGGTACCTCACTAAGTTAATCTGACGGGGAACGTAGGGGCAAATCCCCGAATGTTGGTCTCAACGTGCTCCAAGATGTTTGGACTTGGGTATGATCAGTTATGCCACTCAAGTCTCTTGTACTCATTTGTCCACTTCTAAGCTGTTTAATAAGTTGCGTTTTTCAACTTGACCGGTCTATACTTGATGGTCTTGCACGGTTGGTACCTATGCAGGAGATGTCGGTGGACCCCCTTATTGCGCCACCTCGAACCACGTTCTTCAACCACTGCTTGACGGAGACACTCAATGGCATTGTTCCTACTTCCTGCAACAACCTCCCACTGTTCCTCCAGACGCAAGCCAAACGGAGCTCGCAACTCGGCGAATGAGCTCGGCAGCCAGCCCGCCTCGAGATCATCCTTCAGACATCGCTGCGTACTGGCCATACCGCATCGATCGACCGACCGACCCCACGGCGAACGGGAAGATGGCAACCGCTCCATCCAAGGTGTACCCGCTCATGTCCCGAGATGAGGTTGAGGGCATGATAGCAGCGGGACGCAAACTCATTATCATCGGCCAACATGTCCTGAAGGTGGATGCTTGGTTGCCGTACCATCCCGCAGGTGATCTGGCCATCCTTCACATGGTGGGACGAGATGCGACGGATGAGACTACAGTGTACGTCTAACGTGCGAGCACCCTGCGGCCAATTTTTTGTACTAAAACATGCAGTCTACACTCCCAAGCAGCGATCGATCAAATGCAGCGATATCGAATTGGACGAATCGAAGGCCGTTGGAAGAACTTCGTGCCTCCTATCCAGGGTGGCAAGTTCCGAACCAAGGACGAAATAGAACAGTCCGCGGAAGACACAGACAGCAGCGGGCCGGAAGTCGACGGTCGCAGCTCCGAAAATTCGCGATCACCGTCTCCCATCTTTGATACTGTCGAAACAAGAGAAGGCCTGCACAAACGGAAAGGAGTGCAGCTGGAAGCGGAACACGCAGCCCATGCAGAGGTTGACGGTGATGGCCTGTCCTTCCTCGACACCCTAACGAGGGAGCAGATTACTCTTGATCTCGACAAGTATCCGTCCCAAGATGATGCAACCCAGACCGAGATAATTGCCAAATATCGACAGCTCCACCAGCGGTTGCGCGACGCAGGGTTGTACCAGTGCAACTACTGGGCCTACGCACGTGAAGGTACTCGCTACATGTTACTTTTCACCGCGTCTATGCTGTTCCTACGACACGGCTGGTACATATGCTCGGCTCTGGCACTTGGTTTCACGTGGCACCAGCTTGTCTTTACGGCCCACGATGCGGGACACATGGGCATCACACATCATTACCACGTCGACTCGGTGATTGGGATCATCATTGCAGACTTTATTGGCGGCCTCTCGATGGGATGGTGGAAGCGAAGCCACAATGTACATCACATTGTCACCAACTCGCCGGAACATGATCCGGACATTGAGCATTTGCCGTTTTTCGCCATCAGTCATCGTTTCTTTGGGAGTCTCACATCGACATACTACAACAGGGTGATGCAGTATGATGCATTCGCCAAAGTCGTCATCAAGATCCAAGCGTACCTGTACTATCCCATACTTAGTCTGGCGCGATTCAACTTGACCTTCTTGTCCTTGGATTACTTGCTGGCCGGGCGTGGGCCGACAAAGGGGCAAGCTGCTTGGCACAGGTGGCTGGAGCTGGTTGGGCAGGTCTTCTTCTGGACGTGGTACGGTTACCTGCTCATCTACAAGACCCTGCCAAACAACTGGACCCGGCTAGCCTACGTCTTGGTCAGCAACATGGCGGCCTCGCCCGTCCACGTACAGATCGTGCAGTCCCATTTCGCTATGAGCACGGCTGATCTCGGGCCACAAGAGTCATTTCCGCAGAAGATGCTACGGACCACTATGGACGTAGACTGCCCTCCCTGGCTCGACTTCCTCCACGGCGGGCTGCAGTTCCAGGTCATCCACCATCTGTTTCCCCGTATACCACGACACAACCTGCGTCAAACGCAGAGCATGGTGCAGGAATTCTGCAATGACGTTGGCATTCCTTATGCTTTGTATGGATTTGCGGATTGCAACAAGCAGGTCATTGGCACCCTAGCTGAAGTGTCGAGGCAGGCTGCAATCCTTGCAAAGTGTCAGAAGACTATGATCGAAAGTGGTGATCCTTTCGGGCACGGTCACTGAGCCTCTAAGCCTTAACGAGCAGGACAATCTGTTATTAGGCTCGTGGAGTTGTTGATATTGGATCGAACCGAGCCTGTTTTGTTCCTAAGTATTTAGACCGCACGAAGCCAATGCAGTCATTTGTGTGTTTCGTTTTCGCCATGTTCAAATCAAGCTGACTTTAAACCACTGCGTATACTGGCCCCTTTCACCATTTAGTTAAGACAAGGAACGGTAGAACTCGTAGCTGATGAATGAGTTTACTCCTGGATATGGGGTAGACCTTCAACTCCAGGGCAAGGCACGAGATAAGTGGAAACGACCGTTGACCTCGACCAATAACAGAGCTCCGTGGCGACAGCGACCATACCGACCTTGACGTCCGTCGCAGGCCAATTGACGTAGCTCGCCTGATCAACTCTCTTCCACCTCCCCTCATCATATGTCTTGCACGCAAGTTTGATTACGTGCCAGCACTGTACACGCTCGTGACTATTGAGACTTGTCTTACGTAACATTCTGGGTTTGAGTTTCCGAGCAGCAGAGATCCAGCTACCACCATGCCCCAGTGAGAGAGACCGCCATGGACCCTAACATCCAGCGCGCGCTGAATGACAAGCTCTACGATAAACGCAAAGTCGGAGCCCTCGAGTACGTTGTCTCGGGAACTATGATACTTGGCTTGTTGGGGCTTCTCACTGATATTTGTCAGGTTGGAAAGGATCATTCGAGAACACAGCAGTGCTGGAGATCACCAACGAGTGTCTGATATACTTGATCAGCTGTGTAATGATTATGCCTATGCTGTTCACCAACCCCATGCACGTAACGGCGGCCTCATAGGGCTTGCGGCCGCGGCTATTGCATTGGGACAGGTACGGATGTTGTGCTGACTTAATACTGAGATGGCGACGCTCACCTTGACCTAGGAACTGCCCCGATACTTGGCCAAAATCGTGCCACCAGTTCTGGCTTGCTTTACCGACCAGGATGCCCGGGTTCGCTATTATGCGTGCGAGGCCATGTACAACATCGCAAAGGTTGCCAAGGGGGAGATTCTCGTGTACTTCAACAGCATATTTGACCAGCTCTGCAAGGTAAAGCTTTTTGTCCTTTTGCAGTGCGTCTTGACTGACGAGCGTATTTCTAGCTTGGCGCAGATTCCGAGCTGTCTGTGAAGAATGGCGCTGAACTTCTGGACCGTCTCGTCAAGGATATTGTGTCCGAATCGGCAGCCTCGTACGTGTCTGTTCTGGAATCCTCATCAGACTTCAACGGCGATGACAAGTCGGACTTTGACGACCGAAGCTCTCATTTCCCGACAGCCTTTTCCCTCCCGAGGTTCATCCCGCTGCTGAGAGAGCGCATTTGGGTCATCAACCCCTTCACACGGAACTTCCTGGTTGGCTGGCTCACCTTGCTGGACTCAATCCCTGATCTGGAGCTTGTGACCTATCTGCCTGATTTCTTGAGCGGGCTGCTCAGATTCTTGGGCGACCCGAATGCGGACGTGCGAACATCAACGCAAACCTGCCTGGATAAATTCTTAAACGAGATCAAGCGCATTTCCCGGGTCAAGAAGGGCATCTCAGACACCAAGAGAATGCGCGAGGGCGGGAAAAGGAAGCGCCAGGACTCTGCAGACAGCGAGATAGGTCGCGTCGATTTGGAAGAGGGCGATGAAATTCACTCTGACATCGTAGATGAGGAAGACCAGGATGACTTGGACGAGGACTGGATCCCAGGACAAGACGTGGAAATCAACTACAAAGAGATTCTGGAAATCCTGACATCGTCGCTGGACTCGCCTCTTGGTGCGTTACCCTGTGTTCTGCCAGACGGCTTTTGCTGACTTGTTCCAGAGGAGGATTGCTTGTTGGAGTCGCTCCGATGGATTGTGGATTTCCTGGACATCTGTCCAGAGGAGGTCCTGCCCTTCACACCAAAGATCCTCGCCCACATGCTTCCTGCCATGGCAAGTCCGAATGAGATCATTCACCAAGCTGCAACAAGAGTTAATGGCGCCTTGATGGATTATGTGGTGTCTCTAGCCGATGAGCCGACATTCCACAATCAACCGGCGGTGTCCCAAGGGCAGACACAGGCTCAGTCTACCTCCAGACTGCCACTGTCGGGCGAGAAGGCTGAAGGAGGCAACAGCAGCAACCGGGCTTCACTCACAAGTTCAAGGGACCTGGAAATGCCTGGCCCTGCTCCGGTTCCGTCACAAGGTCGCTCAATGTCAACGCCCACGGGGATTAACACCTCGCAACAGCAGACCGACTTGGACTATGGGGCAGCCGTGGGCTCGCTCACCCTGCTCTTCCTCAACGACCACGAAGCTACGCGGGTGGCTGCCATGACGTGGCTCATCATGCTCCATCGCAAAGCGCCTGCCAAGGTACTCTCCAATGGGGACGGTATCTTCTCAGCCTTGTTGAAAACGTTGTCTGATCCGTCAGACGCAGTCGTGACCAAGGACTTGCAGCTCATGTCACAAATCTCACGGACCAGTGAGGACTCCCACTTCGCGTCCTTCATGATGAATTTACTACAGTTGTTCGCTACGGATCGGAAGCTCCTGGAAGCTCGTGGAAACCTGGTGATTCGGCAGCTCTCCATCAACCTGGGCCCGGAGAGGATCTACAGGACCATGGCCGAGATCTTGGAGCGAGAAGACGATATGGAGTTTGCAAGCATCATGGTGCAGAACCTGAACAACAATCTCATCACAGCCCCTCAGCTGTCAGACATGCGGAAGCGGTTGCGCAACTTGGAGAGCAAGGTATGTCCTGAGTGTCGTGGTCTTTTACTTGTGCGCCTATTCTGACATTCTTCTTAGGATGGGCAGACTCTCTTCGTGAATCTTTTCAGGGCATGGTGCTATAATGCCGTTGCTACATTCTCGCTCTGCCTTCTTGCGCAGGCCTACGAACAGGCGTATCACCTGCTTCAGATTTTGTAAGTCCAATACCGAAACAGACAGATTCCCAATTGCTCACATAAAGCAGTGGAGAGCTCGACATGACTGTCAACCTCCTCATTCAAGTCGATAAGCTGGTGCAGCTTATCGAATCCCCGGTGTTTACCTGTAAGTCGTACGACACATACATCGCGCACAGCCAAACTCATTGTCAATTCCAGACCTTCGACTACAACTGCTCGAGCCCGAGAAATACCCCTATCTATACAAGTGCATGTATGGAATCCTCATGCTACTACCGCAGTCATCGGCCTTTGCTGCCCTTAAAAACCGTCTGAATAGCGTCAGCTCTATTGGGTATTTGCACGTAGCGCCGAAGAGGTAAGACTACCAGGGATACAGCGAGATCGCGCCATGGACATCTATACTGACTAGTAACTAGCACGGCATCGACATCAAGTGCCTCGAGTTATGACCGACCAAACAGGCTCAAGGGTCGTGAAGAGAGTGGCATTCGCTGGGTCGAGCTGCTAGACAAGTTCCGCAACGTTCAAGAGCGAGCTCGAAGAGCATCCAGCTTGATGAATGAAAGCGACGGCATGCTGATGGGCGTCAGCGATCTCCGTATAGGAGACGGGCCTGCTGATCATAAGGGCAAAGATGCACGGTCTGTGCCTGTCGACGCGCCACCGCTGCCCCCCAAGGACCCAACCCCGGCCCCGCCTGCTCCAGCACCAGTCAAGAAGTCCGGGCTGGGGAGACAGTTTGGAAGGCTAGGCGGCGCGGTCGCGGGTAAGAATAGACGTAATTGATAGACGAATTAGACACTCAAAGACATGCATTAGCTGGCCCCCTATGCCATTGACACCCGAGTACCACATGAAGCTTGTGCTGCCACTGGTGATTGCTGACAATTGATGCGATGTCATCGAGGCCTGCGCTTCACCGGACTCTCGTGCTCCACAAGCCCTTCGAACACCTCATCTCGGTGGGCATTGGCCGCATGCAGCTCATTCCGCAGAGCTTCTAGGTCTGAGCGAGCAGTAACAGGGTCGGTGGACAGCCCCTCAAACTTGGCGATTTGCGTGTCAAGCTGTCTCTTTCTTGCAAGCAGTTCCATATAAGCCAGCTCTTCCTCAGCGACGACATCGATGCTGGGTCCATGAATCGTTACAGACGAAGCAAGCGCTGCGGCACGCTCCTCCATGTCGGGTAGCTGGGCGGACATGATCTTGGCTTTTCGTTGCAGCTCAATATTTTGCTTGGCCAGACCAGGAGCAGGCTGATAATCGTCCCTTTCCAGGACATCAAGAGAGTCCCGTATTTGTTGACCGCTCTGCTCAATATGGCGCTGCAAGGTTTGGACACGCAGTTTCATCTGCTCCATGGCGAAAGTAGTTTGCTGCAAGTGGACCATGGTTTGACCGAGATCCCGGGGCTCAGGGGCTGCGATGCCCGCTTGCACAGCCATCTGAGCTAGTGATTCGAGAGCGACCTGGCCCTCGCGAGGAAGCTCGTCCTCCATGGCGTCGAGGAGGGCTTCTCGAAAACATCCTGCCTCTCGACTCCCTCTGGCGAGTTCGAGCTGTGCCAGTGCCTCGCTCTCTGCACGCGCTACCAGCTGGCGCTCCTCGTCAGCCGCTTCATTGAAGGAGGCCAAGGCTAACAAAGCTCTGAGAGTCTCCTTGTTTCGCTCAAACTGAGGGACGGCGCGCCCACCAAACTTGGAAGATAGCCAGGAATCGACATAGGACCAATCCCGTGCATTGGATGCCGCGACTCTGGCAACTGAGGGAGAGAAGATTGCAGTGTCTTCAGAAAGATGGCGGTGATGATGCGCCATCGCTTTGTCTGTGGAAGTACCTGACCAGCAGTCCGTGGATAGTACCGTGCCCAGGACAGGATGCGATCCGAAAGTGCTCCCTATTTGGCGTAATGGCTAGTTAAGTCAGCGGGATGGGTGCAAGACCCCACTGGAGAAAGGGGCGCCTCGTGTTGAGCCTTGGGGGACGGACGGACCCCTGTCGTCTGGGTACAGGGTGAGCAGGACACGGGCGGGTCCAGTCGGTCGGTCACCTTATTTGCCAAATCCGGGCGGTGCCTCCGGTCGCTGAAAGGACAGCAAAGCCAAATCCATTAATGCCTTGCCTTTTCTAACAGCCTGGCCTTTATTCCTCATCAATGCAGTGCATTTCACATAATCATCTTCGGACTTCGCTCTAGTTCGTGGCAGCGACCCTCGCTCAATCTTTGTCTTGCTTTCCCAGCCGTTGTCGCCGGCGACATTGCGAGCGCACGCACGCCGTCTCTTGGTGAACTCCGGTGCGCCCCACGTCGACACTTTAACAGTTGTCTCCCACTTACATACTCGGTCTTGGGCATTCCATTGCGCCGGTTCATCACCATGGTTCGTGGCCTTTGTACACTTGCCGTGGCGGCTGGCCTTTTGGTTACCGGCGCCGCCTTTGTTCAGCCCGATATCCCGAGTGATTTGCCTGTATCGGCACTCCTTACTACCGCGCAGAGCCGTCTGAGCAGTGGCCAAACGAACGAAGCCTTGACCTACTACGACGCTGCGATCGCCCGCGATCCTTCCAATTACCTCACCTTTTTCAAGCGCGGTGCGACATACCTGTCTCTAGGCAGGACGAACCAGGCGACCGACGACTTCAACAAAGTGCTCTCGCTCCAGCCCGGTTTCGAGGGCGCGCACACACAGCTTGCGAAGATCAAGGCCAAGTCAGCCGACTGGACAGGCGCGCGGGCTGAGTACGCTGCTGCCAACAAGGCCGCGGACTCTCCGGATGTTGTTGAGCTGCAAGAGGCCGAAGACGCCGCACGGTTGGCTGAGGCGGCTCTCGGCGCTTCTCAGTGGGATGACTGTGCGACACATGCCAGCAATGCGATATTGGTCGCGGGACGTGCACCGCACCTGCGTGAAGTGCGGGCAAAGTGCCGGTTTGAGCGAGGAGATCTGGATGAAGCCATGCAGGACCTGAGGCACCTGCTCAACATGCGGCCGGGCGACACGCAGCCACACATCGTCATCTCCTCAACGTCCTTCTATGCGCTCGGCGAGATGGACAAGGGTATGGAACAGATCAGGAAATGTTTGCATTCTGATCCCGAGTCCAAAGTGTGCAAGAAGATCTTCAACTCCGAGAAGGCTATCAGCAAGAAGTTCAAGAAGGTCACCGGGCAGTTGGAGAGAGGACAGACCACGACCGCAGGCCGAAGCTTGGTTGGGACAGCGGATGAAACCGGGCTGCTTACAGATGTCAAAGTGCAGCTAGAAGAGCTGAGACAGGATGGCAGTATTCGGTCCGCTACCAAATCTATCCTGTACGAGAAGGTTACTGAAATGACCTGTCAGGCCTACTCAGAGGTAAGTCTGTATAGTCTGCATGTGTTTGTATGGCAGTGTCACTAACGTCCGCATCAAGTCCAACCACAAAGATGTCTCTAAGTACTGCGATGAGGCCCTTGGGTTGAACCCAGATTCCTTCTGGGGATTGTTGCACCGAGGCAAAGCACAGATGAAGAAGGAGGACTACGAAGCATCAGTGCGTACTCTTCAGGATGCGCTCGACAAACACCCCCAGATGCGGGACAAGATCCAGCCCGTACTTCAAAAGGCCACCGTCGCTCTGAAGCGGAGCAAGACGAAGGACTACTACAAAGTCCTCGAGGTGCCACACGACGCGGACGAGCGACAGATCAAGTCCGCATATCGCAAGGCTTCCAAGAAGTACCACCCGGACAAGGCTGTCAAGCAAGGCGTAACCAAGGAAGAGGCCGAGAAGAAGATGACCTCGATCAATGAAGCTTACGAGGTTCTCAGCAACCCCGAGTTAAGGGCACGGTTTGATGCTGGTGATGATCCGAATTCGCACGAGTCCGGCTCAGGTCGTAACCCATTCGAAGGCTCGCCTTTCAACTTTGGAGGTGGCGGGTTCGGCCCAGGAGGTGGGCAAAGAAAGACAAGCTTCAAGTTCAATACAGGGGGGCCGGGCAAGCAGGGCGGCGGGAATCCCTTTGGCCAATTTCCATTTGGCGGTCAGCAGTTTGGCTTTTGAACATGGTGGTTTTGCGAAATAATACAATCTGGACAGCGCTAGAATTCATATTGCTCAATCTGCCGGAACGGAGAAACAAGGGCAACGTTGAAACAAGTCTAGATTTTGCAGCTCAATGATCTCCAGAATACGGTTACATTCCCAGACTGTCCGCCAGCCGATGATTCATGTTATGATCGCAACCGCATTGCGACAAGTGTATATACAATGCTATCCAGTTTCAAGTTCGGCCCGGCGCGTGATGATGCGTCAACGGGCCTTCGAACCTCGCTAGAAAGGGACAGATCGCTTGCATGTAGTCCTCCACGAAGTCTTGCTCTTCGATCGGCCAACACATTCTTTGTCGATAATGTACATTACGAGCTCGTGCTATTGAGCTTGATAAAGTATGCCCTGCACAGGAGTCAGCGGGCACGGGAGGGCAGGCGTAGGGTCGCGACTTACTTGCAAAACTCATAAGCTGACCAGCAGATCGCCGTGCTGGGCATCGTTGTGATTATCCGAGGCTTCACGCCCTTGAAGAAGCCCGTGAAGCCCTCGCGCTGTAGCAAGAGCCGGCAGCCGCCCATGAAGCCGTTGACGTTTCTCACCTGGGGATCCGAGGATGTTCCCCTGGTTTGTAGCATTGTCTTGATGACATCCATTGGCGTCGTGAGGCCAGCGGCGAAGCCTCCAGCCACGGCGCCGGCGGCGCAATGTGTCAAAGGATCGTACTGTTTCGTGGGGTTCATCATAGTAGAGATGGACTCGTAGGCGAGAAACTGCAGGGCGGTGAAAGGGACCGTCATGGACAAGGTCGTGGGGTATGACACGTAGAAAGCGCCGAGACCCTCGTTCTTGTACACATATCTGGCGCAGTCGACCATGGACTTGTACATCTTCTTCGAGTTCTGGATCTGCATGCGCTGTTTGATCACTAGAGTTGCAGGTCCTTAGCAGGCCGTCTCACGAGGTTGGTCGTATTCGAACTCACCGTCGAATGGGTTCATGAACGCATCACTGGCAATCGTGGCCGCAGCACCGCTGGAAGCTATTTCAAGATCAGCTTGGACGTCTTCAAGGGAGGAACAAGTGGATCCTACCGGCAGCAAGAGGATGGTGCACGCCAGCCTGGTTGCCGCCCATCGCATGCTTGACAGCCTCGTATGTCGCAAAGTAAACAGCGTGAGCAGGCCCAGCGCCTACGATGACGCTGGACATGCCTCTCCAAAGACTGAAAAGACCTTCGGTAGATGCTATCTGGTAGGTACTGCGCACGACGCCGGTGTAGGCCGGTGTCGCGGACGGGTTGAGGATCTGCATTCGCGTCTGAACCACCAAAAAGAAGCCGTCAGTTTTCGTGCGCAAGCTGTGGAAGCCTCGGGTACACTCACCTTGACTGCATCAATGGGATACATAGCCGTGTGTTCCTACGCCGGTTAGATTCCAGTTTGATCGAGGTTGGCCGGTAGGCAATCGAGGTCGAGGCACGTACAGCGATGCCAGCGAACGCTCCTGCTGCCATGTTCTGCAACAAGGAGAAGTTGGGTGGAAGAGCTTCATAGCTAGAGTGATGACATGCGTCAGCTTGAAATTGCTCGGTGACATGGTGAGACGGAGTGCTTCGCGACTTCGCGCGAGCGCAGCGACATGTTGCGGGCGGCTCACTCATAGTCCTCCACAGGCTCGGCCGTAGGCTGGGCCATTGCGGCCACAGCGGGAGAAAAACCGCCGGGTGCTCTTGATTCGATGGCAGCCAGCTTAGCTGACCGTTCAGGTTCGCGATTCGCGCAGGGGGAGCGGTGGTCGAGGCAGCTCAGAGCAAGCGTCGAAAAAGTGATGGCTCCGTGGACCGGCGAGCGTTTTTGGTGAGATGATTATGCGACGGCGTGGAGAATCCCAAGGTACAATGCGCGAGAGCGTTGCCCCAATGTAGTGACGGCGCAAAGGGAGAATCGCGCGTTTTGAGTGTCGAGGATTGGAAGAGTCTGGCGGACGGAGTTTGAACTTTGTAGAAAATAGCACGGGCAAGGCAGGACCAGTTTTTGGATCTGATAACGAGAGAGGCGGGAGAGCTGCAGTTGGAGGCGGCAGGGGTGCACCTCGGGAATTCCGTTCAGGCTAACGACTGGGACTTCGGAGCACGTCGGCGATTTCACAAAAACCCTCACTGAGTAAGAACAGGGCCTTGCTGTTGTTGTGAGCAAGAATGTGTCCAGTCCCGTGAACAAGCCATCATGGTGATTCTTCCACGCAATGGTTCGTTCATCAGCTATTGAGGTTCCGGAAATCTCATCCTCGTCCGCTCGTCGCAGCAGACTCCAAGTCAGCTGTCTATGACGACGACGATACCGGCATGGAGGCTTTTCTCCGCCTCATTTCCCAGAATCATTCTGCCATTGCGTTCACAGCCAATGTCTTATGATAGCGCATTCAACGGCAACTTCAGTATTCGTCACGTAGGCGGCACAATAGCGCAGCAGCAAACTGCGGATTGCTGATGTCGCGAAACTATCTTGAGCGTGAGTATCCTACGCAAAGTTCAGAGGGCGAGTGTACCCTTTTCCATTGCCTAAACTACACCTGCGCCTCTCCTACCTCTTTGCGTATGTCGAAGCTCCTTAATCATGCCAATGACGCCGGCAGCAGGCTCATCTGCGTTGGCCGCGCTGTTATCGCGGCTGAGTCCACGTCCCGGTGAAGTCTGCCACGCTGACACCCCAAGGTCGTCAGCGCTACCAAAGGCTTCATGGTCGGTTCCCATTGCCCTGCTCTCGTCCGTGCCCTGGGAATCCTCCTCAACAATCTGGCTTTCATCTCGTGCCGCCATCCAGGGATATCTAGATCGATGTAGGCTCCTCCCCCCTCCAATGACTCCCTGAGGTTGATGGCGAGGATCGAGCAGCATGCTAGCCATTGGCGACGCCAAAGGCGGTGCCGCACGGGTTGTCACACTCTCCTGATTGCGCGACCGTCGTCTCCCTACATCTGATCGGTGCATATGCGCGTCGTGTGCGTCCGTCGCGAGGGTAGGCGAGTTCAGACCAGGAAATGCCGGTGGGGGATGGAATTGCTGCCGTCCACCAGGCGGGATATGACCGGGTATACCTGTTTTGGGATTGATGACATAGTTGTCAATGAACCCAAAGTAGGATGCAGCCATCTTCCCATGCTTAGTTGAGTAATAGTCCTCGCGGACGTCCTGGTCACGGGCTCTGTTGCCCGTGTCTACCCCCTTTTTGAAATCGAATACGGCGAACGAGCACACGTAGCCTAGACCGTCCACATGAACTGTGAACTCCCTAAAAAAGTCGACAATCTGTTCGCTACACCTGGGGAGCGTGTACAGCAGCAGCAGAGATGTCGTCACGATGCCCATGACCTCTTCGAGGAAGATGACGAACTTCATCTTGTACAGCTGAGCGAATTCCTGCTTGACTTCATAACTGTGCAGCCGAGACTTCCAGTGCTCAGGCATGTAGTGGGTGTACTCGGCCACGTTTCGCATGGCATATTCGGGGTTGAAAACATTGGTTTCTTCGGATATCATGCCGCGCGACATGGCCCAGATGGCTCCAAAGGTACCGAGATAGAAAAGGACCGTCCTGTCCTTAGTGATCTCAAAGCCGAGAAACAGCTCCGAATCGAACACAGTCAGTACTGCCAGAACAGCGGTTAAGGCTCCGGAGATGAACGCGACCGTTTTCGCTATATCTTCTGTCATTCTTTTGGGAAATTGGTCCACATAGCGCGTGGCAAACGGTACCGACATATGCAGCCTTTCGTAAAAGATATGAGGCAGCTCGTTGAATTCACGGAACTTCCATTCGGCCAGTCTTGAATACTTGCGCGCTGCTGCTAATTTCGGGTCCTTTTGGTATTCCTAGATGCCGTCAGTACACATAGTGACACAGAGGGGCACGCTGTAGTCTAGACTTACGTTGTAGTAAGTGAAGAAATAGACGATGATCACGTATGCGAGGACCATTGGAGCAAAAAGCAAGTTAAGGCAACCCGCAAACAAGAACCGTTGACGAAGCTTTTGGCTCAGGATCCCGCGGCGATCGGCACGAAGAAAGTCCTGTTGTACCTGACCCAGGTCGTTAAATGCCATATCTAGGACACAGAACTGCAGGTTCCATTCCATGGTTTTGGAGAACATTTGTCGTCCGCGTAGAAAAGGCAGCGGGAGAGATAGGTCAAGAACATCTTTGTTGATCAACGCGATGAGGTAGTTCTCCTTGCGCATCAAACGATTAGCAATGTCATGGGCGTCAAGCCGTTCCTTTGACTGGCTCCCAATGAACCGACGAAGAGCCTGGGGCATGTTGACCGCCGTTTTCGGATTTTCGTCCCTCAGTGTCATGACGCGAGCTACAATATCTTGCCATGACACAGTCTGCATGTCTTGTTCTGGAATTTCTAGCAGGTAGATGTAGAATCGGCGGATGTGTCGTAGGCGCCTGATTTCCAAGAAGTACTGCACAGTTTTCCAAATAAAGAAGAACGAGTACAGCCAAATTGCTAGGCTCCAGGAGCCAGACATGTGTCGAGTGCATTGTTGGACCATAACTTGATCAAGAGATTTGCTGTGTGGTAGTTTTCCATAGTCCAAGCACTGCGTTAAAAACGTCAGAAGCATCGCAACGAAGAGTGTCTCGCTGTATCCTTTAGCCCTTTTGTTTCTCACGAGGGGGTTCAAGCCGACTTACAGCAACCATAGGCCATTCGAGCACAGTATGCCCCAGAAGCCTCCACCCTCGAAGTAGTCGTACACGTCGCGCATGAATGTGTCGAGGTTTGTGGTATTAGCCCACCGCCACAGTGCTTCCTCTCTCGGTCCGCCTGTCGTTTTGCCTACGAGAAGTGACTTGGGGCGAGCGTTGCCCGAGCGTCCGCGACCGGCTAATCGAGCGGGCGTCGGTTGTGTCTGCCATGCCGGGGCACGAGCGCGTGTGCGAGTTCGTTCGCCTTGGCCAGGGTGATTGCCAATGTGCTGCGGTCGATCTAGGTCGCGTAACGGAGTTGGCCTCCCGGCCTCAGTATGTTCTACCAGCAGAGATGCCGGCACGTCGTTGTCAATGTCGTCCTCCCGAGGCTTCCACCTAGAATTCATAGGAGGAGCCGCTAGGTCTGTAACCAAAGCATTACCGTGGGCTGTGCTAGCAACGGTGACTCGACTGCCGTCCACGCCGACATCGTCTGTATGAAAGTCGTCAAGTCGGTGTCGCAGATTCTCTTCATCCACATCGAGCCCCCCCCCTTGCTCTATATCGTTCTCTTCGTCTTCGCTATCATCCCGGGCGCGAAGCTGTTCGTAGAATGATCGAGTTCCTCTTGGGGAAGAGATGAACCGGTCGAAGATACGGGAAGTCATTGCGATATGCGCTGGGACCTTCGATTCTCAAGTCTCTGGCATCGCTCTTAGACTGCGGTGGTTTGGTAACGGTAACGATCTATTGTCGGCTTCGGCTAACAGGCGATCGTCGATCCGACAGCGAGGTTGCCTAAAGTTGTATGATGTTTGTTGTAACCAGAGTGCGAGAACTTCAGGATCAACCCATGTTGTTCACTTGGCCTCTCATAATCCGTGTCGTTGGAAACTCCGACGAGTTCAACTTGGTCATTCGGTCGCATCAGCCGGGTTTATGAACCAGGTGCACAGGAAGAGCTGCGGTAGCAGTCGCGTGTTATCAAGGTCCAGTGACCAGCTTAGGTAGACTCAAGTGACACCAGCCAGCTTGGTGATGACGAGAATGTGGAGACCTGGATCCAGTCCCTGCAGTCTGCGAATTAAGCCCTAGCGGCTCAGGCCGGGCGGTTCGAGGTGGACATTCTCAAGCCACCACCATTCTGGCATTCAAGCCACCACCAGGCTGATAGCCAACTTTGAGGGTAGGGTAGGCAGGCGGTGAGTGATTCTGCCAAACACCAAGCACAGCCAGTATCTTGGAGCACTAAATTACTACGTATCCCCCAGTGTCTCCACCAGCGTTGGTTACTACACTATTTAGTACTCTGGACCTGTACAAACTTGATGAACTGATTGTCGCAGGGGCCTGCTTGCATACTTGCAGTACTAGCCGCAGACGTCAATGTGACTTGCGTCGTGGACACCTTGAGCACGGCTTACTACCTCAACGCGCAAGCCGTTCAATGAACGCGCTAGCAATTTCACCGTAATCTCCAGTCAGCGCGACTGGCACGGTATGATCATCGATGCCACAATACACAAAGTTACAAGGAATATTGGGATGAAAACGGGAGTTTTGCGATTCTAGTCTGAACGCAACTCAACTGTACCAGCTATAGTCATGTCGTCCAGCAGCGCATCCATGTTAGCACCAACGGCTTTGAGTGGCCCCAAGGCACCTTCACCTCTCGTGGCCAAAATCACGTCTGTCCTATCGAAGTCGTACTCGGACACAGAGTTCAGAGATGCCTTGGCACTACTCGATGAGCGAGAGGTTGTCAATGAGCCAGAAACAAGACGCCAAGTGCGCTTGGAGTTGCAGAAAGAAGTTATCGACAGCAACGCCGATATCATCCGCGAGTTTGGCAAGGTTTCTGAGGTAACGAGTCAGTCAATATGTCTTGAATCAGGCTGACGCCTTTTTGCAGCAACTCCAGCGCATCAAAGGCACAGTGGATAAGCTGAACTCACGGTTCGAGACCGTCAAGCGAAACGTTGCGGCTGCGCAAGTCGAGACGCAGCCAGCACTACGCGAGGCTTCTTCACTCATACAACAGCAAGAGCAGCTCCGGAAAAAACGGATGTTGCTCGATACCTTCACAACGCATTTCTCACTGTCCGACGACGAGATCGCCTCGTTAACGGTGACCAGTGAGCCGGCGGATGACAATTACTTTGCAGCACTGAGGAAGGCGAAAAAAATCCGTGCCGATTGCCACGTGCTGTTGGGTTTCGAGAGCCAGGCTTTGGGCCTGGAGCTCATGGATCAGACCTCCAAGCGCATAGATCTTGGTTATCAAAAGCTGTACAAATGGGTGCAGCGAGAGTTCAAGACCCTGAATCTTGAAAACCCACAGATGAATCCGTCTATCAGGCGCTCCTTGAGAGTTCTTGCAGAAAAGCCAACGCTATTCCGAAATTGCATAGCGTTCTTCGCCGAAGCCCGAGAGAGAATCCTGACAGATGCGTTCCATTCAGCTCTGGTTGGACCACCTTCACGTTCCACCGGTCCTTCAGCAAAACCTATTGACATGGTCGCACACGATCCTTTGCGTTACGTGGGCGACATGCTAGCCTGGATACATTCGGCTGCTGTCAGTGAACATGAGGCGTTGGAAGTACTATTCGTCTCGGAGGGCGAAGAACTCGCCAGAGGCCTGAAAACCGGGCGCGATGCTGAAGTCTGGCGGCTAGTAGCCGATGATGACGATCAATCCGCCGATTACAATGCATTGAGAGCACTCGAGGATCTCATCGACAGAGACATCTCTGGTGCTGCCCGCGTTCTTCGTCAGAGAATTGAGCAGGTCATCCAGGGCAATGAGGATACGATTGTAGCGTACAAACTGGCAAATCTAGTGGGCTTCTACCGAATAACATTCGAGAAGCTTCTGGGCTCTGCATCAACGCTCGTGGACACTATGAGCAGCTTGCAAACAGAAGCCTTCCGCCAGTTCAAAGCCCTCGTCCGAGAGCACATTGCAACCTTACATGGGCAGTTCCAGCAAACCCCCTCAAATCTCGAACCCCCGGCGTTTTTGCACGAATGTTTGAAACAGCTGGACGCCTGTATGCATTCTTACGATTCGTCTTTAGCGATACCTGGGGACAGAAAGAGCGGGTTCGATCCGCTGTTGGCTGAAGCTTTCGACCCATTCATGTCCGGATGCGAGAACATGGCTCGCTCTATGCCAAAACTCAATGCCTCGATTTTCCTCATCAACTGCTATCTACTCGCATTGTCGACGCTAGACGGATTTGATTTCACACAGGCAAGGGCGAACCATATCCACGAAGCGATGGATAAGGTGGCTGAGGATCTCGCTGGGAACCAGCTGCAGTTTCTCCGCGACGCTTCGGGCCTTGATGCTATCCTTGATGCTTTTCTGGGCGAGGCGAAGGAATCAAACCCTAATATAGATCCAGTCCAGTTGCGCGAGGCCAGCCAAAGCCTGGATGATTTCTTACCCTCTGCATGGATGGATAGTCTGGAGAGGGTGCGACATCTGCGAGATTCTACTCTCGCACGCCAGATCACTCAAGATGCAGCTGAGGACTTCTGTCGCCAATTTGAACAGCTGGAAGCAGCGATTGAAAAGGCGGACAAGGACAGCATGGGTGAGCGGGAAGGAGATCAGCCCGGACCTCTCCGCTTGGCACTGCCACGAACTACCGCAGAACTGAGTGTTCTTCTGTCGTGACACGCGCAATATGTTTTTGTCTGCGAACGCACTTCGATCAAGCCTCCATCAAACGGCACACTGTGCGTGAAGAGCACTCGAGAGCGAAGCCGATCGCATCACGAGTGCCGCTCATTAGCCCGGGTGTCGCTACTGAGCAAGCAAATCAGTACATAGCAAAGCACATAGACATTCCTAGGTGCTCAATGAGTAGACATAAGCAATAATCAGAGGGTGAGCTATAGGTATGTTTACCCATTTCCTGGACAACAATTCGCTGGCTAATAAATTCCCGGGGACCAACTTAAGATACCTTACTCACCTGGTACAGTTTAAGTTAGTAGGTTACGTACGGATATGGAGTACTAGTCCAAAGTCTCTGGAATTGGAAGGCGCTACGTCATTTATGATGTCCTTTCCGCGCCTCACAAATAATCGCATGGTTTGCGGTTCAGTGACGTGCCACATAACATAGTATTTAACAAGCCAAATGTTTGCTATCATCAAAACTTAAGGGCAGGGTGACGCTGATGGAGCATGTCTCTGGTGCAATCTGACCGTGACTCCGACCTACGATGTGTAGTAAATAGCTACTCTTGATGTATGGAAGACCCGCTTTCGGCGTGCAGTTGCAGGTCGTCAGCGCACTACCATCATTAGCGGCGACCAACCGCCTCGAACCTAACTCCAACATACGTCGGGAATCAGCTTGTCGTCCCCTCCTGCGTGCCACTCCTCCGCTGCTTTACGCTACCGCCAGCCTTTGTCTGCTCCTCCTAGAGAAGGACCTATCGCCATCGAATCAGTTGCAGAGGCGGCAATTCATAACACCATCGCACATCATCTGCCAACACTGTACACTACGTCTGCTATGATTGGGGCGTTCCCGAACCACGCCTGGCCCTGAAATGTCTCGCAGCAAGACGTTGGCGGTACTGCAGAAGACATACGATGACAGCTACTTAAGCTGCTCCACGGCGGTGTATCATGAAAGCCAGGTTCGTTTTGCTCGGCCACATGGCTACCACGATGCTGTGTACTGGTATACGGCTTTCACTTGCGGACAAATGTCTAACGATTCCAGGGCAACGAAATAGAGGCAATGCGCCATTGGAGAGGAGCCCTCGATCACATTTACGAGCACAACGCAAACAAGATCACCCCCACGTACATCCCCCGCAGCGATACCGAGAAAGCTCTCATTGAAGCGCTGAAGCAGCTGGAACTACAATGCAAAGAGAGAATCGATCTGCTCGAAGCGCTACGTGTGTCGAGACGCGACAGCCCAACAACAGAACCTGGTGGCAGCGGTACAAAGCAGACGTCGAACAACATTAGCGATTATCCTGGGAAAGGTTCTATAGGACAGGGAACTATTCCTGCAGTTACATACTCGGAGCTATCACGGCCGGCCCTGCTCTCTAGGCCGTCCCTCCCAAATCGACCATCTGCCTCGAGTCGAACCTCCTTGGAAGCTGCCCACACTACGGGAAACGGATACGAGAATGAGGATTTGGCGGCTCCATCGACATCAACGCCAAAATCACAATCTCCTGCTCGGCCCGCAGGCCCGCATGCTCTAGGCAGGGCTCTAAGTCCGGATAAGTACACCATGCGCACCACCCTGCGAACGGGCAAATCTGGGGAGAAGGCGCCCAGGAGTAGTCGCAAGTCGCCAAACCCAGCCGCTGAAGGTCCCAGTAAAGCAGCTACCCTCGCATGGAGCTCTCTGGGCTCTCGTGAGAAGCCGTCAAGGATGGCCAAACCAATTTTTGAGTCGCCATCATCATCTCAATTTCGTAGCCACTCCTCGTTCGACCAGGCACCAAATACAACTCACCGCCAATGGGACAGCCATTCCCGACGGCTCGTGACACCCGTCAACACCAATGACCATTCGGCTGACGCGGACTCGCCTTCGGCCCGGCGGGACTCTGAAGAGCTCGCACAGCCTTCGCATTTGTCTGTCAGTGCTGCGTCTAGTGCCTTGACGTCTGCCCAGGAAGTACCGCCGGCAACGTCTCCTAGCCCACGGAACAACGCGACTCGCATAGGGCGATCAGATCCAGTCCCATCGAGAAGAAGTCGTGATGTTTCCAGGCGAAATAGTAATGGTAACAGCAACACAGCTCCGCGAGGAAGTGTCACAAGTCCGGCAGAGGACACTATCAAGAGGAAGGTGGTTCCTCGGGTCAAGCCAAAACCACGAAAGCTTTCTGCAAATCATCCAGAATTTGAACCCCGCGCTCGTCCGCGTGTGACGCCCACAGCTCCAGCTGCCATGGCCGCCAGTAGCTCCGAGGACGACGGCGGGAAAGATTCAAGTCGTCGGGTCCCTAGCAAATCTGCACCAGCGAGGGCGGCCGTGCGCGACGAGACTCCGGAGGACTCTTCTGCGGATGAGAGCGTCACAGAAGACATTATATGGAAAAAGAAGAAAGAGACGATGCTGAAGAATCTCCCACCAGGTGTCGATGAATCGGCTGCGAAGCAGATCCTGAATGACATCATAGTCCAGGGGGACGAAGTTCGCTGGACTGATGTTGCCGGACTCGACGTTGCCAAAAATGCTCTCCGAGAGGCAGTTGTGTATCCTTTCCTCCGGCCAGACCTGTTCATGGGGCTTCGGGAGCCCGCACGTGGCATGCTTCTCTTCGGCCCGCCTGGAACAGGAAAAACGATGCTGGCGCGCGCTGTTGCTACCGAATCGAAGTCGACGTTTTTCTCGATATCTGCCAGCAGCTTGACCAGCAAGTTTCTAGGGGAGTCCGAAAAGCTCGTCAGGGCTTTGTTTGGACTTGCGAAAGTTCTTGCTCCAAGCATCATATTTGTGGACGAGATAGATTCCTTACTATCGCAAAGATCCGGGTCTGGTGAACACGAGGCTACTCGTAGGATCAAAACCGAGTTCCTCATCCAGTGGAGTGACCTACAAAGGGCTGCTGCCGGTAGAGAAACCACAGATCGCGATAAGGAAAGGGGCGACGCCAATCGAGTCCTCGTCCTAGCGGCCACAAACCTACCATGGGCCATTGACGAAGCGGCGCGTCGACGATTCGTGAGGAGGCAGTACATCCCACTCCCGGAGTCAACTACGCGCGAGACTCAGCTAAAGACATTACTTGCTCAACAGAAGCACGGCCTTTCGGAAGATGATTTAGCGACGCTCGTTAACCTGACAGAAGGTACGTATCGCGAGCCTCAATGATTTACATATTACTAAGGCCTTGTGTGCAGGTTTCTCGGGTTCAGATATCACAGCTTTGGCAAAAGATGCAGCCATGGGACCGTTGCGTTCGCTTGGCGACGCTCTGTTGCATATGACCATGGATGATATAAGACCCATTGCCTTGTCAGACTTTCAGCTCAGCTTAGGCTCAATCAGACCAAGTGTGAGCAACGCAGGCCTGAAAGAGTACGAGGACTGGGCCAAAGAGTTCGGGGAGCGTGGTGGCTAAACATTTGCGTTTGCGGAACATTCCAAGGTCGAGATATCACTACCTAGTGCCTACCCAGCTGTTGTGCGAGCCCGCGCAGTCGCATACCGCAGTACAATAGAATACATAATGTACAAAAGCCCCATCTAGCTGTTCAACAAAGTCTCGACCATCCATAGCTAATACGCTTCCGTCTATCTTCTTCGGCTGCTTCTATTGCAGTAAACTTGACGCTGTTCGGGAAACCATCATGTCAGAACACGAGACGGCTCCAAGGGCGAGGGCTACATGTACGGCAGTAGATTCCTATGGGAAAGCATTGAAATCATCGCGCAGAATTGTCGTTCGCGTCCCTGTTGGCGACTCTTTCGGCCTGCTTCGCCAATATCCGCTCTGTTTTTCGAAATGCACGGCGCTCGTCTTTGGCTGCCTTCTTGGCTTCCCTCTCGGCTATGAGTTCCTGCAAGGTCGGTATGCGTGGGCGTTCACTGATCGGTACGCCATAGGGAGCTATTATCCGTTTGACGACGTGCCGTTTGTGCTGCGCTGTTGGCCATCCTGGCATAATGGATACGACGTCGCCCGTGCGAAGAGAAGACTTTGGATCGTGAACGAGGTAGTGTTTCGGATCGGCGAACCACTGAGAAAGGTTTTAGTTTGTAACTTGGCGCGTAGCATGTAAGAGGTTGCACTCACCTTGTTGACGATGCTGTTCCACACCTGCCCTCCAGTGCGAACCTTGGCCGTTTTATCCATGAGTCCAGCTGATACCACGACACCATGAAGCTCGTGCTTCACTCGCAAAGCAGCCTTAGCGATGGGAGTGGCCATGGTGATTGGATCTTGCGTTTGGTAAAGTCGGGCGTCGTGGCGTATAGGTGAGCACGAATCTTTGTTCCTCTCCGGCTAAGCAACGCGGTTTTGCGTTATGTAAGCGGTTGCGCCAAGGTAACTACTAACTAGCCTGGCATGCATACCCGGTAGGAAGGTCCCGAGTGAAATCGCGCGAAACTTTCAATGCGGCCGACCCCACAAGAACTCGGCCTGGCAAAATTTACAGACGTGCCCCGCAACCCGTAACCAAGAAACCTCCGTCTATTATCCGTACTTCGAGGTAGTATCAGCTAGGACTGCGACTGCTCACATTGCTTTGAAATTTTGAGGCGACAAAGCTGGCGGCGATTGCTGTTCGTACTAACCACGCATCAACCACGCTTTGCAAGTTTGTTGCAGACCTACTCCGTACAAGCGGACGATTCGCACGACAGTTATCACGCGCTCACATTACCAAACAGGTCAAGTGACCAAGCAGACACGCAGCGAACATGTCTTCAAGCGCGGGAGTTAAGAGGCCCAGTAAGCTCCCTTCCTCTTCTTTTCCTAGTCTTGCGCCGCTTAGGACACCGGAACAATTCCATTCAGCCCTGTTCTGCGCCCTGGCATGGTTGCAGAAGATGGCTAACTTTGATGACTCTGTAGGGACGCAGTCGCTTCCTCCGCCGTCGCTACCGCAGCTTACTGCTGAGCAGAAAACTCCAATTGCTCCGAACGACAAGGACACACAGCGCCTGATTGTTGTCCTGTCAAATGCTAGTCTCGAGACGTACAAGGCCTCCCATGGAGGGTCGAGTCGCACTGGCATGCATCGCGAAGACAAGTACTCCTTGCTCAACAGCGACGAGCACATTGGTGTCCTTCGCAAGATGAATCGGGACATTAGTGATGCCCGGCCAGATATCACCCATCAGGTGCTACCTCTCAATGGCTCCAAGCCTGCTCCGTCTGCATTCAACATGCTGACTTCTGACCTTCTCTATAGTGCTTGTTAACATTGCTTGATTCCCCGATCAACAAAGCTGGTCTGCTCCAGATATATATCCACACTGCCAAGGGCGTCTTGATCGAAGTTTCCCCATCAGTCCGCATCCCACGAACGTTCAAGCGGTTCGCCGGTCTCATGGTGCAGCTCCTTCACAGGCTATCGATTCGATCTACCAACTCGAACGAGAAGCTTCTTCGCGTCATTCCCAACCCCATCACCGACCATCTACCTCCGAACTGCCGAAAGGTGACTCTGAGTTTCGACTCGGAGCTCGTTCGTTGCCGCGACTACATCGAGTCACTGAAACCAAAGGAGAGCATTTGCGTTTTCGTTGGTGCCATGGCCAAGGGTACCGATACATTTGCTGACTCAATGGTTGATGAGAAGATCTCCATTAGCCAATACTCGCTCTCTGCGAGTGTCGCTTGTAGCAAATTCTGCCATGCCGTCGAGGACGTTTGGGATGTGCTCTAAACGATCATACAGGATGGGTCGAACATGCCCTTTTAGCGGTGGGCCAGACAAACAGTTGTCTGTCTGAAGTTCTGGAAGCGCTAGGTGGGTTTACTATCAGGACGCCGTGTTATCTAAGTGCGAAGGGCCTGTATGAATTCGAGAGACAAGATGGCCGTGGGCAGAAAGACACACAAAGATGGACTCAGAACGATCTGACTGGTCTTCCTGCCTCTACAGCTCGTTTATCGCTAGGGGTTCAAAAAATGACGCATCTGCTGAGCATCTTGGAGTATTGACATGTCACAATGCACGAAATTTGAACAGATCAAGGAGTCTTTTGAACGGAATGCTGAGTAGCCGTTGGTAGCTTACAAAGAAAGAGAGATTTGTACCGCACGCCCCAACTGAGCACTAAATTATCCTGGCATACGTATATCCATGTATGCCCAGCAGTCGATAGCACTCGCCAACTGCACAGGAGCTAAAATGCTCAATCTCATCAAAACAGTTGGCGAGCCTGCGCTCGGTCTGGTCTGCACCATTTGCTGTTCGAGTGGGTTATCACATCGACATTGGGGCGCAAAATCTGTCCTGAGGCAGGGACCAGAAATATACCGCCACGTTTCGTAAACATGAGTGCGGCAGCCGACCGCCATTGCTAAGCGCTCCGCTGGCCGCCTTGTTGATGGACAGATGGGCCGCCCTGCATATTGTGCCTTGGAGCAAGATGACCATGCTGATTCGCAAGCTGCAGGAGGACACTTCTTCCACAGCAACGTGAGGCCATGGCCGCTATCACGAGCGGCGTCGTCACAGAGCGATGACAGAAACAGAAGCAAGCGCGAAGGGTACGTATCTGATGCTTGGAGCCTTGGCTGCTATTGACATTTGACTGCTCACAAGGCTTGTCTGGTCATTGCAGCAACGTCAACCTCCTCACAGCGCACGTAGATGGGAGCTGCATCAGGCCCACAGCTTCCTCAACCTATCACGATCTTCGAGTAAAGGCGGTAAGAATGCCACTCTGGGTGCCTAATGTCCACCATTGGACATTGGAGCATGCATATCACTCTCTTTGACTCGCTCTGCCTCAGTTGCTTACTTGCTTGAAGCTCTTACCACTGCCCGACCTCATCCGCCATCGTGAACAGTACAAGAAGGCATGACACCCTTCATCGAGGTGTCTCATTTACCATCTGCAACATCATTCTATTCCGCAGTCGTTCAACCACTTGGTTTGAAGGCTATTGCATCAAGCCTCGAGTCAGATTCGACTTTTCTCCCGACAGCGGTGGGGTTCGGAGGAGTAGACAACGCTGCCGTCTTCGAGATCCGCCAAACGTCGAACCCGCTGAAGCCTCCTCGACTCTCATCGCTCACTCTTGCTGTGCCTTCGAACTCCGCCGTGAGCAGGTTTCATAAGTCGTGGCTCAAGGCTGAGCCACCATCCTGGTCCTTGTTCCGGGACAATCGTGGGCTCGAGAAGCTACCAGGTGAAAGACACCGGGCGCTTCAAGGCCCTTGGTCAGTGCAGGAGGGTGGGAAGACGGCTGTTAGAGCTATCATTTTTGACCAAGACGGCAACAAATTCGAAGCTTGGTACCCGGGTACCTCGTCACGACCAGGTGCTCCCGAGGTCGTCAAGTGGACAAACCCTTTCGATCGCCAGTTCTCACCACAAGACTTCACAATACAGTCCTGGACGCGTTCGCAGCTTACCAGCAACTCTTCATCAGAGCACAGCAGACCCCAAATTACGGCAATGAGGCCATCGCACATGTCCCCGGCGCACAACGCCAATTACACTTCGGGTCCAAGCACACGCTCCTCGCAAGAGGAGACGGCTGCTTCTCAGGACGAGTCTTCTTACGGGGGGGCCTTCAACACCACGACTATGGTGGGAGCATTGCTCGGAGCCGCCGCAGGCGCTGCTCTAACATACGGCTACGTGACTGGGAACAAGGATCCCAGCGCTAGCGAGGAGCATGAACCTCAACGGACACGAATCCTGCCAAGGCGGGCAACATTTCCTGAGAAGCCAGTCACTACACATCGCTATCCGCATCGTCGTGCACGTGAGGGGAGAGATTTGGATGGCTCCAGTATTCCGCGTCGCTTCTCTACAGCTGATGCCAGACATCTACCCTCGAGAGACTGTCATGATGATGTTATGGATGATGACAATGTCAGCTACGGCGTTGAGCCAGTTCACGAATCTCGTTACCTGACGTATCCGCCGTTGCCAGCCTCTGTGATCAGTCACACCTACACCAGAGCGTCTTCGACGGCCAGACCGCTCGACAATGCCGGGGATCTACGGGATCACCGTAGCCGAGTTTCGACACATGCGCCAGATGGCGCACTTGAGTATCGAAGCCGCCCACCTTCACGAGAGTTTGAACATACACACGACCGTCGAAGCCGCCCCCCTTCGCGTGTGGCTGAGGATACAAGCGCTCGTCGCAGTCGACCTTCTTCGCGAGTTAGCGGTCGTCGTAACAGCACTGGACGGGCTCAGAGCGAGGTTGCCCATGAGCGAGTGCGCCACTCGGCCTATGATCACGAGAGGGACTATCAAAGCGTCGCCGCTTTGCCCAGAAGGGCTCCTAGATCCACGGTTTCAAGACCTCCTCTAACGAGAGTTTTTCGTCCGCAATACGAATCGGATCAAGAAACTTTTGTCTCGGCACGAAGCCACCGTTCGGCATCGACAGTGCGCAGCCGGGACCGTCCAACGGATCGGGAACACGGGCGAGATCTAGGACACGAATTTCCCGACTACGAGGCTGTCACTCGGGAGCACAGGACGCCACGAAGCGAGGTGAGTGCTGCAACCTTACGCGAAGCATCACGGGAGCGCTCAAGACGGGGATCGAGCCGCGTCTCAGCAAGAAATGTGCCCCTGCCCCGAAGCATAGTGGGAAGCAGTCACGCAAATTGGAATCCCTGGGATGTACCCCTTCCAATAAGCGGTGTCGGTAGCAGTCATGCAGACTGGGATGATGATATGGTGAGCCTTGCCCCTAGCGATAGCATCAGCTGCGTAGGTAGCAAGGCCCATCGCAGTCGCAAGCAGCGGTATTGAGCACCATGTTATTTTAGACATCAGAATGTTTTCGCATACGTACAGAATCAAATCACGGCCTCTGGATTTCCCGTATGCAGTATGCTCCAGTCAATCAATACCAGAACCTACTGAAATGCCTCAGGCAGCTGCGCGCAGCATCAACACAGTGTTCATCGTAATTCCGTTCAATGATATTAAAATCGTGTTGCAGACACCATTGATGAATTGCCTCACAATGCACCTATTTACTACGCCCCACGGCGGACGACAAAACTCAGTCTTATTTGCCGACGTCTCGAATTTTCGATCCACTACCATGTACAAACATTGGGTGAGTGGCTTTTTGGTCCGGTTTTCGGCGTCATGACGCATTTAGCCTACCCGATTTCGCACAAAATACGAAAGTATTCATGTCGAGTTGGGCAATCCGAGTGAGAGTTGTATCGCCAGTACGGAACCTCTAGGAACTTGAGTCGATGCCACAAGTCTCTCTAGACTCGACCAGTGAAGCTCATTCTCGCATCTGGCAGCATGCCGTCATTCGAGCTTGGGGAGTCGATACCCCCTGATACGGCACATGTAAGCAACCATGAATAGGTGGTTATAGAAGTGTTTAGCTGACAGCGACCGAGGCTGTGAGCGTCTCTCTGCCGACATGGAAATCCAATGTAGGATATGAAGAGGGCGAGGATTGGGTGGTTAGCAGGATGACCACCGGCTACCCTCGGTGAGACGCGATGGCCTGGCCAGCTATGAGTTTCGCCAGCTCGGATGAAGTAACAAGTGTTGACGCCTGACCAGGTTCTATGTTCACAAGACTATCATGGGGCTCGCAGAACACATCGTCGCCCAGCACGGTCAATCCGGGTTCTCGGGCATGCTCTTCCCAACTACCCGATCAGCCAGACGCTGTCAGCAATTCATCCAGGCTCGCGTCGATCCGCAGATTGCCTCGAGAATCACCGTTCTCGATTTCGGTCTAGACCTCGCCAAGAAACCTGCTGCAATCCTTTGTCAGCTGTCACCTACCATATCGGCAGTCCTGTATCCTACCGATGCCCAGTCTGCGGCGAAACAGTATTGGCAGCATACAGGTGATGGGGTGTCTAGTCGTCGTGCTGAATTTTGTCACGGACTATTCAGAGAGGGACTACTGGTACCAAAGACTGCGGCGTCTGATGGCAATGGTGCAGGTACGGCACGACCTTTCAGGGGACCGCGTCGTTACACTCGACCTGGATCATTCGACGGCGTCCCAGCCAAGACGAACTCGACGACACAAAGCATCGAGCCTGATGCTGGAAAAAACGTCAACGAAGCTCAAGAGAGCTCGCGTTTCCTCGAGGAACGTTTTGGCAGGAACTTGGATATGTCACTTGTTGAGCGGGCCAAATCGGCTATCCGAAGACGCATCGTTGGGGCTGTGGCGGGCGATGTCGACACCGCAGGCAACGATGTACACGATATGGCTGACAACACACGAGGCCTAAAAAACCTGCGGGAAGACGACATCTACTTGTTCCCGGCCGGAATGAATGCCATCTTCAACGCCCATCAAGCGCTACTGGCAGCAAGAACGCCAGCCAAGAGTATCAACTTCGGGTTTCCCTACGTCGATACCCTGAAGATTCTACAAAAGTTCGGTCCCGGCTGCGTGTTCTATGGTCATGGCTCAGATGATGACCTGGATGAGATAGAAAAGTCTCTCAGGGCCGGTGAGCGATTCTTGGCCCTCTTCTGCGAATTTCCCGGAAATCCTCTTTTGAAGTGTCCCGACCTTGTTCGAATCCGAAGGCTTGCAGACGAGTTCGACTTTGCCCTGGTAATTGACGAAACGATCGGCACATTTGCCAATGTCAATGTCCTCCCGGTCGCTGACATCGTTGTGAGTAGTCTCACTAAGATTTTCTCGGGAGACTCAAACGTCATGGGCGGTTGCGCCATTCTAAACCCGGAGGGTCGCTACTACGGTGGTCTGAAGCAAGCCATGGCTGCAGGCTTTGAGGACACTTACTGGCCGGAGGATGTCCTGTTCATGGAGAGAAACAGTCGAGATTTCTCGATGCGTATAGACCGCATCAACACCAACGCAGAGGCCATCTGTGAGACATTGAGAGCTGACCCCACAGTCAAAGATGTTTTTTATCCCAAGTACAACCCATCTAAATGTCATTATGACTCCTTTCGCGTGCCGAAAGGTGGCTATGGTGGACTTTTGTCTATCGTCTTCCACCAGAAGACACAAGCCCAAGCTTTCTACGATGCAATGGGTATCGCCAAAGGGCCGAGTCTTGGGACCAATTTCACGCTGTGCTCTCCATACGTGCTGCTCGCACACTACCAGGAGCTGCCTTGGGCGGAGGAATATGGCGTTGACCCATATCTTGTCCGGATCAGCGTGGGCTTGGAAGACACTGCGGCATTACAACAAATATTCAATGCCGCACTCCAAGCCGCAAGAGGTTCGTCCTGAGGTAGTGTACACAGCTGCTAATTCAGCATGAAAGGGCAACGATAAGGAGACTTATGGATATCCGAGGTAGTCTGGTGGTGCTCTGACTTGCATTGAGCAGTAGTTACATTATGATGCACTCCTTCTGATTATATGTTGGACCATACTCCTCCATCCCTCGCTCAATATCATCGGAATGCTCCTTTTCCTTGACTTCCTTTGCGAAATACTTTCTCATATATCTCCCCAGTTCGTTATCAAGGTTGCCTGTAAAAGCTGTCAAAAAGGGATCATTTATAATCTAGCACCGTGATTGACTTACACCCTGATGCTTGCATAACAACGTCTGCCCTGCACAGTGGGCAGTATCTCTCTCTGCGGCGCTGGATGTGGACGACGCAACGTATACAGAATATGTGCTGGCAATCTAGCCTGACCGGTCGGTATGCTACTGCGAAACAGATTGGGCATAGGTAGTCAGTCAATTGGGGAACGACAGTGACCAATTCTTGGGACAACTGAGCGCAAACGTCTCTTCCGATACTTCCTGTCATGAGCATGTGCGGCTGTACTGCGAGCCTGAACCTCTTGGATACACCAAGTGACGTCCTCTTATCGAATTCTACAAGGTCAATCATGTTACCATGAAGCGTGGCCAAGGTAGGACGTGCTACTTACTTTTCAAGATCTTCAAGACGGCAAGCTGGTTTAACTCTTGAAATTGAAGATTCTTCAAGAGATTGCTGTTCAGCTGTACAAATCTTGTGAATGCCTGCTGCGACGCCCGAAGCTTGAAACACCGAGCAAGCTGCCTTGTTTCCACTTCCTGCTGAAACCATTGTAGCTTCTTGAGAGCTGCTTGGCTGGATCTTGCCCCGTGATCTTGCTCATTTGTCGCAAAGAAGACTTCGGCGTCCAGATAGAGCTCAAAGATCTGTCGCCAACGCGCAAGGTCGGTTTTTGAAAATCGACTTGGCCGGGAAACCTGACCGATCTCCTGGCGTAGCTCTTGGATTTCATTCGTCATGTTCCTCCGCTCGCTGGCTTGTAATGCATCTATGTTGTTCACGTCGCTTTGCAGAATGTCGAAGAACTCATTGTCGAAGACGAGGGGCACCTCTATCGTTTCATGGTGTCCGCCAACCTCCAGTGCAACTTCCTCGGCGGCTGATTGGTTTTCTGTGAACTGACTCGGCAGGTGAGGTTCATCCGACGCATCCTTGTATCCGTCATCGTTTGAGACTCGACGTCGGGATGCGTCTACTTCCACGGCTAGCTTTTCCAAGAACTTACGGGAAGTCGAGGTCAAAGAAGCATCCACAACAACGCCGTCTTTCAAGTGGACGTCCACAGTCAGTATTGGACGCACACTGTGACCATCGCCAGTAGCTATTTGACGAGGCCTCCGTCAGCATTTGCGCGGGTATGGGCCAGTGGGTGCGAAATACTTACAGTTGAGTCGATAATTCAGGGCAACTGGTGACGTGTTCTCCGGGTCGGTCAGCGACTTGAGGGTCTCGGGATCTAGTCCGAGATCATGGAGCTCCCTCTGTACCTTTTTCAGGCATTTTTTCAATTGACCGTACGGGATCGCCTGCTCAACCCAGTGAACAGGGAAGTCTGTCCAAGCCTTGTGTTACTAAAGCTCCAGTGCAAGCGCACGGTCGTTGGGAACACAAACCCTGACTTGCCAAAGTGTCTCTGAAATCCCGTGCAAACTTCATGGCGCAGAGGGCTTCTGGGTTCAAGCACAGCCAGTGCCAAGTAAATCAACGTTGATCGATGCGAGGTCGTATCATGACATAGCGGTGGATATGAAAGCCCTCTGGTGTTGGATGCATTGAGGCGGCTTGTACGCCGTTTTGCAGAATCGAGGGATCGACCAATTTAACCTAGCGACAACTTCTGTAGAGGCTTGTAATTAGAGGCAAAAATCCTGCACCGTTGGGAACAACAAATAGGTTGGTTGCCCAGGGCCGCCTGTACCGTGGTAAGCAACTGAGGGGGTTGCGGCGCTTGACCGCGAAAGCCTGCAGTGATGTGGCTTGTGGAGCGTGCCTGTTTCACTGCAATTGATATTGCCATGTGCTGGAGGTAGGCCACCACGAACTATTACGTTCTACGATTGCTGCATCCAGCCAACCGGAGCCAGCTAGCCTCACGCAGTGTCCAACTGCTCTCAAATCTCGAAAGAAAGGTCTTAAACTCGTATTGAACCAAAAAAAATTGAAGAAGAAAGAAAAAAAAAAAGGGGGGGGGGGATCACTTGCATGTTCCTCTTCCCAAACTCTGGGTGTGGTTGATGCCGAGCTCAACGGCGTTCGTTGGCTCGTCGCTTATTATTAGACAGTGCCCCCCCGTGCACTCCCGGCGTTTTCGATGGTTCACACCACCAAGGCTCCCTCTGGGAGGGCGCTAATCTGCGCGGGGAGTTTAGGTTGAAACTTCACCAATCAGAGATGGGTACCATTACACTATTAGTCCATGCCAGGCCAAGTGAGGAGGAGCGAATGCTCATCGTGTCTGAAGGTTTTTCTCTGCATGTCACGAGTCGCTGATTTCCAATAGAGGGCGGTTGACACCTTGGTAGGTGTCATTCTTCCGCTTTTATTCATCTCAAGGGGTAAATGAATTTATACAAGGATGCGAAGCAAAATATGCCTTTCGCTTCATTGACAGCGTTGCGCTACCTGCCCACTTATCCAGCTTGTGGTGAAATGCTCTGTGCCAAGGCTAGGTAAGACTTGGACTCGACAAGGCGGCTGGCAGAGTGTAGGGTATCCTTCTGTCTTCGTCGTCCGTCTCGCCTTAGCATTTAAAAATCCATTACCATGAGTCACGCGGCATACCTCAGCGATCCCAGCTGATAATTTAAGGTAGCGCAAATACTTGTAGCTGCTGGACGGCATCTGTGAAGCGGATACCTTGTAAACTGCCATGGGCGCACAACAATCATCGGATTCGAGCGCCGGGCCTTCAAATGCACCCACGGTCGCAGAGAGGACATGTTATTATGAGCTGCTGAGCATTGAACGTGATGCGACAGAGGAAGAGTGAGTTCGCATTGATCCTGAGCAGAATCCTCCCAGCCACAGTGGATCCGGGCGTTGACACAAGGGAGAATCAAGAGAGCATATCGGCGCAAGGCACTCGAGTTACATCCTGATCGGAATCTCGAAAGGGTTGAATATGCGACCCAGCGTTTCGCCGAAGTCCAAACGGCGTACGAAGTCCTATCCGATCCGCAGGAACGAGCATGGTATGACTCCCACAGGGACTCTATACTCAGGGGAACAGAGGATACCGACAACGGAAGTCACCCGACGACGTATCGCAACGTTCGCTTGACCTCTACCGAGGACATCCACTCGCTCATAAGTAAATTCAATGCCAGCGTTCCCTTCAATGACGAGCCTTCTGGCTTCTTTGGGATCCTGCGGGAGACATTTGCCCATCTTGCCCTGGAAGAGGAGGCGGCCGCGGACCAAGGAGAAGACCCGCGCATGGTAACCTTCCCAACATTTGGCTCGGCTGAGGATGAGTATGAGTCTTCCGTCAAGGCCTTCTACGCCGGTTGGTCTGGGTTCTCGACGCGGAAATCTTTTGCGTGGTTCGACAAGTATCGACTTTCCGACGCGCCTGACCGCCGCGTTCGTCGACTTATGGAAAAGGAGAACAAAAAGATCCGCGACGATGCGATCCGTGAATTCAACGAAGCGGTGCGCTTCTTACTTGCATTCGTCCGCAAACGGGATCCTCGTTATGCACCAAACACACGAACTGATTCCGAGCGTCAGCAGTCGATGCGTGAAGCCTCGGCTGCTCAAGCTGCAAAAGCCCGCGCGGCAAATCAGCAGAAGATGTCAACCTATAAAGCTCCGGAGTGGACTACCACACGAGACGACATCGGTGTCGAGGATGGAGACATATATGACGCCATGAGTGATGACACAGAGGATGCATCCGAAGAAGAGTTATTCGAGTGCGTGGTGTGTGATAAAACCTTTAAGAGTGGGAAGCAGCTTCAGTCTCACGCGCGAAGCAAAAAGCACCTTAAAGCCGTTGACAGACTACGGTGGCAAATGCGTAAAGAGGGCACCGATCTGGATCTAGAGCATGAAACTGTTGAATCCAAGGTTGGCGGTCTGTCGTTCGATGATGTACGGTCTGATACTACGGCTGCTGAAATCAACGCTCCGCAAGATGCCGGTTCTGATGCGAGCGTTGCTGAAAAAGCCAGGGACAATGTTGTCGAGAACTTGGACCCTGACGACACCATCCGCAGCCACGACGAAAAGGAAGACCCTGGCGACGACGAATATGCGCCTCGAAGTCAAATCGAGGATCGTTTGAATGACTCGCAGCCCAATTTTCAAAGACCTCAGGTAGGATCAGATCTTTCGCAGCAAGACGAAAAGCCGGCGGAAATGGAAACAATACCAGGCAAGAAGATGGGCAAAGCCAAAGCCAAGCGCGAGAAGAAGGCAGCCCAGCGTCGGCAGGACGAAACACTCGTAAGCCGATCCCCTCTTCTTTCAATTATTAACCTCTGATTGTCAACTAATTGTTTCTACCACACGTAGCACCGGTGCCAAGTTTGCGCCCGTGTATTCGAATCGAGAACCAAACTTTTCGACCATATCAAAGCCGAGGATCACGCTGCCCCTGTTTCGATGCAGGCAATGCCAAAATCTCAGAAGCACAAAAAAAGGCGCTGAATGTCTGCGCGATGCACTGAGGGCATGTGAATCTCAACCTGGCTGAATCCGGTTCGCAATCTAAGCCCGTGCGTGTTGATCGGAGTCGCTTCTCATGGTATAGCTTCCAGTGTTGAGTAGACAGTCGTTCAAGGAAGCCATGCTAGATGTGGCGCCCCCAAATACACACAAGACACGTCGAATAGTTGGTTATTCTTCTTCCTGTTCCATGGACCAAGTCAAATGATTCGACATACCTCTATCTCGAATCAGACGACAACGCATCACCTTCGTCGTCACTGAGTGGTTCCACTTCATCTATAGCACCCGGTCTTCCCTCAGAGACGTAACTGCCTTCTAGGGTTGGGTTCCGATCCGCCACGTGGATGATAGCTTTGCCTTGAACGTGCTTCACACACTTTCTCCAGTTCAACCAATCGTCCTCCGATTGAATCAAAAAAGCAATCAACATACTTGGGTCCATCTCGCGTACGTGGACGCGTCGCAAACGATTCGTGTGACATGAGTCAATCTCTTCCGGTGTATAATCCTGCGCCTCGTCGTGATATGGCAATGCTGTACGAGTGTGGTGTGGATCCAAATAGAAGAGATACGAACCCTGTGCGCCCGCGAAATAATGTGCGGAGGATGGCCTACCACTGTAACAGACGTTAGTGTCCAGTCACTTGCATGATTGACCAAAATCTGAGCCTACCCAGCTATCCCCACGGAATGTGGCATTTGCAAGGCAGCTATCAAAGCCTCCCAGTACACAGGTGTAATCGTGTCGATGCCCAACCGGGTCCCTACGAGAACAAGGGTCGGCAAAAAGTCCCGACCATTGGGTTTGGCAACCTCCATAAACTTGTCCTCGTAGACGTCGTGTCCGTCCCCTGTAGAATATACTTGCAGCGGGCTTTCGTCAGATGCAACCAGCTCCCTGAAAGTGTTAACAACCCTTTAGTCTTTTGAGTATGCGCTTTGCCACACTCACTTAATGCAGCGGGCAGTCGCTGAAGGCCCAAACCATTCACCGGGAAACTTCCCGCAAACACTCGCACCTTTCTCCACGAACTTATGCAGCGAAAATGGCGCTCTAGGATCATCCGCGAACATTTGTATCAGCTTCTTCTCATCTTCTGGGCGTGAGCCCCGGCGCCAGTCTGCCCATTTAGGTTAGCGCTGAAATGGCCTTTGCAGTGCGCGCCATCGAAATTTACCTCGGCCAAAACACTGTAGACTCAAGGCATTAGCAAGGAGGCTTTGACCAGAACGAATCATACAGCCCCATCCAGCATCGCTAGTGAACACGATGTGATCGCCACCAAATTGCGTTTTCAGCCGCATAGGCAACGACATAGCGTGAAGAGCTTTGGGGTCCGCGGATCTGCGTATGGGCACGAAATCAGATCTGTATGTCATCCAGAAGCGGGCTTCGAAATCATCGATGAAGCCTTGAGGCCATCTACCCAATTGTGATGGATCCTCGTAGGCAAGCGCTGATGAGAAGCTACTAGGTGTGGAATCATATGGTGTTTCCGAGGTAGTCTCATTTGCCCCCACCTCAGCTGTGTGGTCTTCATCGCGGGCTGCGCATTTCCAGTCGGAATTCAGAAGCTTCTTCTCGCCAGTGTTGGATATAAAGTCGCTGTGATGACTGAGCTGATATGACTTCCCTAAGCACCAGGCGGGAAGGTCAGCCGTTGTGTCGTTCGTTGGTTCCGGATCCCAGAACATCTGAACGATGCGCTTATATGGCCGAAGGTCGACCTTGTTCAACGCGTTTTCCATCTCCTCGATCGGCACAAAGCGATGACTGTCAACGACGGCGACAGACACAAGGGTCTCCAAGAGGGACTAGGATTGGCCTGGGGTAGAAATAAAGCAGCTACAGGGTCAAGCAGCGCAGATCCTGACGGCGCTTGGTGCAAGCGTTCCAAGCCGTGTTCGCAATCGTGATTTCGGAGCGGAACTGACGCACCCAGGCCACCGTTGCGTTGAAGGTGGCAGTCGGAAGTCCGGGTATGACTATTGTCGGTTGGACAGACAAGGTCAGCGCTTGCGCAAGGTGACTCGAACGCCGAGGTGATCTGTTATCCCGGATGCTGAGTTGGAAGATGCAGCTGAGCGTGTTGCGTCGGATGGATGCATAGATTGTCGTTGCTGACTTGGGTGCACTGTCAGTATCCATGTCAAGCATTTGGCACCAGCTGACCTTACCAAGCGCCCTCATGACATAGCGATGCAGCCGCCGCTTTGTGCTGCAAACTTAAAATACTAGACCGAAGAGATAATGGGGACATCCAGTCAGCTACAACAAGACAGAACAGATAGCTGACGACAGTTGTAACGATCAAACCGTCGGCTTAGCTACAGACTGCGGTCTGCCAGATGTGGAAGATGGGGAACTATGGGAGGTAAGGTAAGTGTTGAGCTCGACGCAATTGTTCGTCCGCTTTTGCCCCGCTCCCAGGTTGCCAGTTACATACCTAGTCAGTCGGGTCCCGGCGTCCATCTACCTCACTGACCATTACGAATCAGCGCCCCAGAATACTTACTTAGGTATACTGCGCAATTTCATGTGTGTGGACTTTTCGCTTTTGCCAAACACTTTCATCGACGAATATCATGATGCCCATGCAATAGCGTCCCGGCTGCAAGCACGTCGTCCATCCACCCAAGCATCTCCGCTTTTATATGTGGCATACCCGTCATCGCCCCTTCGGAATTCGAACACCAATCCGTCACCCGACCCACCTTGAGTGCCACTGCTGGCACTGGCCCACTGGCAGGAATGATGACATTCACAACTGAACACACTTGTAGTAAGCGGTTACAGACCTGATCGTTTCATACGACTGCTACCAGCCCCTGCTTCGACCGCAGCAATTGAAATCGGCGGTTACTTTTCGTATGATCTAGTTGATAACGCCCAAGGCGGAGATCATCCACCTCTGTTGCTCCGCGCTCGTCCAACCGTTCACTGTATTATTTCACGTCAGGTGAAAGCTCTGGTTCAGCACCTCCTGCAACGTTCAAACCTGCTGCGAAGTCAGGCTTTTCAGTAACATACCATTTACTATCGAAGACTGTTGTATTAGCCTCTTCGTCCTTGCCCAGGGAGATTTGTACTAGCGTTATACCTACTGGGAAAGCTTCTCAAATCCCTGCGTGAAGTGGCAGCATTCGATGGCACGTGGCGGCAAGAGGGCCCCTCAAGGCTCTCGAGGTAGAGGAGGCGGAGGTGGAGGGAGAGGAGGAAGAGGAGGAGGGGGGGCAAGAGGAACAAGAGGGGGTCGCGGCCGTGGCCAGTCTGGGACAACACAGGAAACGAGCTTCATCACCGCCAAAGGTACGAACGCACTTGAGCATGGTAAGCTGGAGGAGGCCCTTAACTTGCCCATGACACGCACACGAGACTAATACGTACTCTCTGTCACCAGCTTTCAGCCTCGCCGATGAGGCCAGAAATACGCGCCAAAGTCATTGGGACAGTACGACCAGCCTACGTACCAGGCCAGTCGTTTTTGTCAGTTCCGGTGCGAGCGAACCCCTTAGGCGGCTAGATGAGACGACTGAAAGCCTTGCGAAAAGCCCGACTACCCTTGACGAGAATTTGACTGTCGCTTTACCGCCAGGGCCACCAACCCACTCGGAAGACGCCATCAACAAGCGTGGAGAAGACGCTGCCGATGACCGTGGAGAGAACGCCGCCGACGACTCTGGAGAAGAAGCCATTGTAGGGCCAGAAGAGATGGAGCGTGATTTAGATGATGGCAGAAAACTTGACCAGCCAGAGGTCTTCTTCTTTGATGTCAGTCGCACGCACAAGCGCGGCCACCAAAGTGCCAGCGATGTTCGCGGTGATTCGACGGAAAAAGCCGCCTCTGTCTCCGACGAATCTGAAGGCAGATCTACAGACGAGATCATCCTCTTCAAAGGCCGCGAGACATCGACAAAAACATCGCAAGAGATTTCGGCAACTCCTTCGATTATGCTTGATCCTATGTACACAGAGATAATGGCTGTAGAAAGCGACATCCATCCACCAAGAGGTTCCAACCGAGGACGCCAGAGCGTCTCACATGAGGCGAACCGCGGCCGCGATCAACCTTTCCGTGAAAGGAGTGATGAAGATTCCCTCTTGGCGGATTACATCGCCAACTTGCGCGAAAATGGGGAGATTACAACGCTGCTTGGCTCTGATTTTCGGAATGTTCGAGACATTGGTGGCCCGGACTTCCATGCAATAGACACGAGTGGAAACCCTGCATCCTCCGTCACTCCAACTACGCAACTCAAGACGCAGAATGGCGATGAACAGTCCAGCGAGGTCGAAAGTGAAGCTGCACTAGACGACGATGCTTTGGCGCAGTTGCTTGCTGGACAGCACTCAGACGACGCATTGCTGGCCGATCCTGCCAACAGCTCATCGACCGAATCCGATAGCGATGATGGCAGCTGCAAGAAACAACAGTTGATCGACTCTTTCGACGTCATGGATTGGGAGCGTCCAAGTCTACGGAGGAAGAAAGGAAAAGGCGCACGGGCGAGAATCAACTTCGACCTATCTGATTCAGACTTGGAAGAGACTTTGCAGCTCGCTTTTAAACGCGACCGCCTTAAGAAAGCCGAGCGGAAACGGCAGCGAGAGGAGCTGCGAGCTCTGGGTATGCTGGGCCCCAGTGGTCATAAGCAGGATGACTTGCGAGTCAAGTATCCCAGTGGTATGAGTATTGATCAAATGGCCGAAGAGTTTCGAGGGTTTCTACTCCGCGGCGACTCGAGGTAAGTTCATTTAAATTTGGGCTACCCACAAGACCCTGACGAGATGGTTTGTAAAAACTGACCGCTTCTGTAGCTTATCGCTCCCGCCAATGGACAATAATGCGCGGAAGATTGTGCATGAGCTTGCCAGCAAGTTCAACATAAAATCAAAATCGACTGGCAAAGCTAGTCAACGCCGACCGACATTGTACAGGACCAACCGAACATTAGAATTCTCGGAGCCTGCGTTCAACAAGGCTGTCGGACGCATCACACGACGCTATCTTCCCCGTCTTGACACCCGAGGCAAACGCGCGAAGCAACCTGCGGCGTCGGGAGCCAGTAACGCGGCAGCAAGCTACTACGAGGGCGAAGTCATAGGCGCCGCGGCACCAGAGTTGGGAGTGGAAAATCGCGGTCGCGCAATGCTCGAGAAGATGGGATGGAGCACAGGTACTGCACTCGGCACGCTCGAAAACAAGGGAATTTTGCAGCCAGTATCACAGACCATGAAGAAGTCCAAGGCAGGTTTGGGGTAAGTAGCCGCATGGATCTTGTCAACAGGACGAGGCGGTGTAGAGGATATCATGTGTAAAATCTCATGTTTCGAGTCCCAAACCTCGAATAGTGTACAACCGCGAACCCCGTTGACCGTGACAGGAAATCATTGACCCCAGAAAAGCAAACCATCCGTAACGCGTTAATATAACCCAGCGGGCTGCACGCCCAACCCTGTGCTTGACACTTGCGCCGTGGCGCTGAAGCTGCACAAGATCCAAATGCCCAAACAAACAATAGCTGCCGACGCTTATTTCGTGGAGGAGGAGTACTTGGTGACGGCCTTGGTACCCTCAGACACGGCGTGCTTGGCCAGCTCGCCGGGAAGGATCAGGCGCACAGATGTCTGGATTTCCCTAGAGGATATGGTGGACTTCTTGTTGTATGCAGCGAGCTTGGATGCCTCGGTAGCGACGCGCTCGAAAATGTCTGTTCTTGTCAGTGACGCTCCTGGAGCGGGTGCAGTGCGCATACCGTTGACGAACGAGTTCAGGATTGACATGGCGCGGTTGGAGATACCGGTGTCGGGGTGGACCTGCTTGAGAACTGGTGACCCGTTAGTAAATGGTCCTCGTGTAGATGATTCGCGTCATGCTCACCCTTGTAGATGTAGGAGCTGTATGTCTCCTTGCGAGTCTTGGTGCGCTTCTTCTTGTCGCCAGATGCGGCGGTCTTCTTGCCGGCATCCTTCTTCTCGGGAGCCTTGCTGGCAGTGGCGGGGGCCTTGCTGGCGGGCTTCTTGTCTGCTGCCTTGGGGGCCATTTCTGCGGTTGACAATGAGTGATGAAATGGAAACGATTCCGAAAAGTCTGATGCGTTGTGGGTGAGTTGGTAATGTGTGTCGACGAGTCGCGAATATGGTGTGCGGTGGGAGAAAGTAGATGACGAAGGAAATGGAAGCGTTGGGGGTCAGGTTGGTATTTGTAGATTGACGCGCTCTACTGGCGTCGAGTTACTGATTGCTTCACAGCGCGCGCCGCGCGATATCATGTTTTGATGTCTGTGGTTGGCCAAAACCTAGCTCATAGCCCCACTCGCTCTGGTGATTGCGCGAGCACGCATCGTGTTGGAAGCTTTGGTCCCAGCCCCCCCTCTTCCAGGCCGCGGGAATCCCGTCCTCGCCCAAATGCGAATTTCTGATTCGCTGATTTTGTTCAGTCTGGCCCTCAAGTTCTAGGAAAACTTGCCTACCCGAGGCTTCACCATCAGCTATTTCGAAATTGACGATTAAGTGCATTTGATGTATGAAGGCAACTAATGTTGGCTCTCATCGTGACGGTCGCAATTTTTAAAATAGACGAACCATCCTCATAATGTTCATTCAGTTATGTTCACGTCACTGGTGTTGATGCACGTGGAAGTTTACAAAGAACATCAGTGACATTTACAGTTTGCAATAGGCCGAATCTGATAGACATGGCAACACAATTTCCCCACGACAAGCATCAAAGATGCCATAAATATTATCCACGACATGCAGTTTTGTGACAGTACACTGTATAGCGTTGTAGCCTCTCAGACGCCTTTATGAAGTAAGTGGGTGGGAAGCTAACACGTTACAACCAGGTTGCGCCCTAAAGCATCGACTGCGTAGCCCTGTACGTATACTCACCCGAAGCGGAAGACAGCATAAAGCAGAGCTGTCCACTACGTATTGACAGGACGGGACTAGCACTGCGTATTAATAGGCCATGTACATCTCACGACACACTGCTGGCCACTGACTCTGCCTCGCATGCAAGGTACGCGCAGTAACATGAGGTGCAAGACGCAAACGATGCTCGTAATTTGGTTGGTCAATAATGGGCATGTTTTGTGGAAAGTCAATCGGAGTAACGACCCCGCAAGGGCCGTTGCCAATGTGTTGTTTTGGACGAACACACTCATTATCCAAAATCGGCATAGCGCCCGACGCGCCAAAGCTCTATTACGGCGAGTGATTCGCGACACACGATATGACGCGCCGAAAAGTACTTAACAACAAGTGCCCCCGCCGACCTCACACATTAATAGTCAACTATCCATTAACTACGCACTCATTGACAGTCGAGATCATCCATTGCTCTCACGTCCACTCCATAACTCTCCAAGTTTTTTTCGACTTCCCACTTCACAACCTTCAAAATGACTGGCGGCGGAAAATCCGGTGGCAAGGCCTCTGGCTCCAAGAACGCGCAGTCGTAAGTCCATGCCGGCACTATTCGGGCGATTCAATGTCACTGACACACCTTAGCCGCTCGTCCAAGGCTGGTCTGGCGTTTCCCGTTGGCCGTGTTCACCGTCTCCTGCGTAAGGGCAACTACGCCCAGCGTGTCGGCGCCGGCGCTCCCGTCTACCTGGCTGCTGTGCTCGAGTATCTTGCTGCCGAAATTCTCGAGCTGGCTGGCAACGCAGCTCGCGACAACAAGAAGACGCGCATCATTCCCCGCCATCTCCAGCTTGCCATCCGCAACGACGAGGAGTTGAACAAGCTTCTCGGTCACGTCACCATCGCACAGGGTGGTGTGCTACCCAACATCCACCAAAGTAAGTCGATCCGTCACGCCCGAGAGTGCTCTGCTAACGCAAAAAAAAAAAAGACCTTCTGCCAAAGAAGACACCCGGCAAGGCCGGCAAGGGCCCCAGTCAGGAGCTCTAAAACGCTCACTGACTTATTCTGATTTTCTGCGCTGCTTCATTTGGGTTGATACGACATCGGGGTCACGGTTCAGGGTCACAGGTTGCTTTCATTCACGCGCGTTATGGACTGTACGATAATTGCGACAGCAATGATCATGAAATGAATTCTGAATTTTTCTACACTGATATCGAAATTTGACGTGACTGCCACAAGTGGACTGCCGATGTAAAAGGCCTGTCTGGCGATGCGTAAGAGCGCGGGCTACAAGTGTTTCGACTGATACTGGGTACAACGGCTCAGGACCCTGGTTTGTATGACAAAGCGTAACAGTCCTGCGCATTCTGTCTAATGTGCCCAAGCATCGCTCCAACAAGTCGAGCTGCGTGCGACTATCCCCTACATGCCTGTGTCCTCGCCAGTGGCTTGCAAGGTTTAGTGGTGGTTCTTGGAACCTTGTTCGGTAGGTGCTGTGCAGTTTTAGTTTCGAGATCGAGGAAGATGCCAATTCATGTAGATGATTACATACGATCGAGTACTGGAGAGGGGAGGTTGCGTTCGTACTTGGAACCTATGCAGTGTCAATCCTGTCTGTAATGACGCGAGCGTCGCGAGAAATAATAGCTTACCACCGGGCGCTGTTGGTGCAATGTAGGGATCGGGGTGTTTCCAGCTATCCAGCAATTTTTCTGTTTCCGAGAGTAGCGCCTGCGACTGGGCGTTAGTCGCATGGTTTGTTAAGTGTTCTCGTAGCTTGGTGAACCAACTCGCTGGTGTCTTGGATCCGTGACTTCTCGATTGGCTTCGAACAACGAGCGGATATACAAGGCCTGTCCTCTCCAAATATGACGATGGACTGCCCAGTCAAGGGCCAGCTTCAATGAGCGGCGATAAAGCGACCTATACGTTGCGAGATTAGCAATGACCTCATGCGAGTCCTAGGCTTTCTGCAATTGGGAGGCCTACAAAGCAGCTCTTCGCGTCGACATTGCTTCAATATCTACAGTACCTCGATGTGCAGGTAAGTTCGGATTCGAGGCAGGCGACAAGGCTTAGTCCGGTCGACTGATAATTGAAGGCTATTTTGCAAGTGCGTGTTGCGGTAGCTTCCCGGCCTAGGCAATCGACGCGGCTTTCTCGCGAGAAACGCCCGATGGCTCTCTGTTTGCCGAACTCGAATAGGACAGGTCGCGTCTTTCGTTGATGTGTGCGTTGGCGCGAGTACAGATTGCAGAGAGCTCCGATGTCCTCTGAAGTTGACCGATGTTGACCATAATTTGGATTGCAGTCGAAGGTGAACTATTGTGATGACTAACGATGGTGGCCAATCAATCAGTCTACAGAGTAATGCTGTCTGCAGCCTAACCTACACTGTCGTAATCAGCCTTATGTGCTGGTAAGATCACAACGAAGGGAAGTTTGGTCATCATATTGGGATGTCGAGCATTATCTATAAAGTACCGGACTACGGAAGTGGCGCGAGATGGTCAACGAAAGATTGCAACGGATGCCTGCATCTTGAAATAATGATGTCGCCAGATGAAGCGACGCATCCCTTTCCAACTAGATAACGTACTTGGGAGTAGAGCAGTTCACGCACGAGCTTCCCCTTGTCACCGTGCACGAGTGAGATCGGAGCTGGACGTCATGTCGAATGAATACACGGGGAAGGTTTACACTGTAGACGGCCGCGTACAGACGTCTAATGGTAGGAAAGACGACAGTTTCTCGTGTGCTCATGGAAAGACATGAGGATCCGGTTACAAGATCAGCCCATTGACCAATCAGCAGCGAGTAACGCGTAGGAAGCCGAGACCTCCTTGGTACTTAGTTTATCTGAGGTACTCTCTTGGCTATGTATATGCCAAAAGATACTTAAGCAGTACTTTTCACCAGGCGCGCATGATTGTTTTCTTACCGGCAAAGACCCTCCTACTTTATAGCTCCGTCACTGCCCGTTCCCCATTTCCGACCAGCTTTGTGTCCAGCTCGCAGTTGTCCTGGGTTTTTTGATTCAAATTCGAATACGTGTTCTCCATCCCCTTTCAGCTCTTCTGGCAGATCAATAACTAGTGCATTTAAAGCCGTGCTTTTAACAAAACAACGCCATCATGCTTTCGAGACGACTTGTCACCGCGACACGAATGGTGCGTGTTGGTACCCGCCAGACGCGCAGTCCGTTGGTCACATTGCCTGCGATGATGCAGACGGTTCGAACGTACGCCGATAAGATGGTCCAAGTGCCACAAATGGCCGAGTCGATATCGGAGGGTACATTGAAGCAGTTCTCGAAAGGGGTTGGGGATTTTGTAGAGCAAGACGAGGAGCTTGCCACGATCGAGACTGACAAGGTATGCGGAACACTAGCAATCGCTAACAGGCAATGCTGATAATTGCATAGATTGATGTCGCCGTCAATGCCCCTGAGGCTGGCACCATCAAGGAGATTCTCGTCGCGGAAGAAGATACCGTCACAGTGGGACAAGACATCATCCGCATGGAACCAGGTGGCGCTCCATCCGGCGGAGACAAGGACTCGGGGTCAAAGAAGGGCGACGCATCGGGCAAGGATGCTAAGCCGAGAGAGACAAACGAGACAGAAACCTCTCAGCTCGCTGACAAATCGCAACAAACCGAGGCTCCCGCCAAGGAGAACTCGAAGCCTACAGTTGAGGAAAGCAAGCCCAAGGAGCAGTCTCCAACAAAAACGAAGCCCGAGGAAAAGTCAAGCGCCCCCCCTCAAACAGCTGCCGCTCCAGGTGCTCGGGAGGAGAGACGGGTATGCTTACATGAAAGTCAAGAGACTCGCACTGACTCTCTGTAGGTCAAGATGAACCGAATGCGCCTTCGAATCGCCGAGAGGCTCAAGCAGTCGCAGAACACGGCCGCGTCATTGACAACATTCAACGAGGTTGACATGTCTAACATCATGGAGTTCCGCAAACTTTACAAGGATGAGACACTGAAGAAGACTGGCGTAAAGCTGGGCTTCATGAGTGCATTCTCCAAGGCAGCAGTACTTGCTATGCGCGATCTTCCTGCCATCAACGCATCTATTGAAGGGCCCAACGGCGGTGATACGATTGTGTACCGGGACTATGTTGACATCAGCGTGGCGGTTGCGACTGAAAAGGGACTTGTGACGCCTGTCGTGCGTAATGCTGAATCCATGGACATGGTGGGCATCGAGCAAGCGATTGCAGAGATGGGCAAAAAAGTAGTACCCGATGAGTCCATAGGCGAGCGACATTGTGCTGACTTGATTTAGGCTCGCGACAACAAGCTCACAATCGAGGACATGGCAGGCGGTACTTTCACAATCAGCAATGGCGGTGTCTTTGGTTCATTGATGGGCACGCCGATCATCAACCTGCCTCAAAGCGCGGTCCTAGGCTTGCATGCTATCAAGGAGAAACCGGTTGCCGTGAACGGGAAGGTCGAGATCAGGCCGATGATGTACCTCGCGTTGACGTATGACCACCGTTTGTTAGATGGGCGCGAGGCTGTGCAGTTTCTGGTCAAGATCAAGGAGTACATTGAGGACCCCCGTAGAATGCTCTTGTAACACTAGCTGGGGTCCTGTTCCGGTTTGTAATATAGAGAAGGTCTAAGATACTAGAGAAGTAGTTCATATATATTACTATATCTAGATTTTATTTAATTAAAGTGATATTAATATAAATTAATATATATAATATAAATAACATAATTCTTTAATTTTTATATTTAATTTGTAATTTTTTTTTAAAAAAAAATTTTATATTAATTATAATTATTATATTATTATGCTTAATAAAAAAATTATATTTTAAATTATACATTTATTAAAGTATTTTAATAAAAAAATATACTAAATATTCAATAATATATAATGATAATAAGATAGATTAAGTAAATAGAGAAGGTTTAGGTTATATATTTATAAAAGCTTAAACTTATTTCTTCCTTTATAAATAGAAATAAGTATATTATACCTACAGCACGGAATATGCAGAGGTCAGGTATAGTATCAATAAATCGAGTGTATATTATTAATACTAATAGCCTTAAGTACCGAGGGGCTAGATAACTCTAGAGCGGCGATATAATACTCTCTTTTAAAGTAAATATTAATAATATAGCGAAGAACTTAGGCTAAGTTTAGGCTACTTTCGGGCCGGAAGTTATTTTTTATAAGAAATTCTTTAATTTTATAATAAAAAAGGTCCTTATATAATAAACCTAGGGCGAAAGAGGCTATATAAAGCTAATAAAAGAAATTAAGAGATTAAATATATATAATATAATAAAAATTACTTAAATTAACTCAAAGAAAAAGCTTATAATAAGGGCTATAATTATTTTATATATAAATAGTATAAAAATAACTAATTATTTGTATAATTCTAAGGTAATAATTAATATAGAGATCTTTAATTATAAACTTTACGAAAAAAATATTTAACCCCGTTAATAATATAAATATTATTAGTTCGGATATATTATAACTATATATAAATAGGATATAGTCTATTACTAATATAGAACTATCCCGTATACTACGGGTAATAAGAAATATAAAAAGACCCCGCGCTATATTATATACGGAGGGAAGTATAAGGCTTAGTCGCGGGTATATTACGCGGTCGCTAAATAATATACCCGAGCCTTAGCTTATTATAGAATAAGACCGACTAAGTTTTAGATTATCGCCTAAACTACTTTTTACTTCCGTAAGGCCTAAGAACCTAAAAAGACCGAGATTAAGGACTTAATAACCTTATTATATCCCTAAAAAAGTAAAAAAAAAATAAATACCCGCTAACTAAGACTATCTTAGTCTATCCCGAGAGCTAACTTATATAACTCCGCCTTAATAATTACTTTTATATAAGAGCTAATATAGAACTAGCTAAGAATTAGGCTAGAATTACCTTAGATAATAATATAATTATAAATACCCTTTTTTCTAACCTTTTTATATAATAAGCTTAATATTCTTTATTAGAATACGAATAAATAAAGACCGAACTTAAGTATAGCTAAACTAGATATAACTTAATTACGCTCTAAGAGCTAAATATCGAAAGGAGTATATAAGAACTAAAATAGCCCTTAATAAATTATTATAAGGTATAGGAAAGAGATAAGAAAGTAGTTATATATATATATAAGAGATATAACCTCGATATATAATTATTTAAGATAGGGGAGGACTAGATCCAGGTCGATATCGGCTAGAGATCGATCTTTAATATTTATTAAGACTAAAGCAGAGGAAGTTAGAGACCGATCTATACCCTTAATAATAAAGAACCCTTAAATAACCTAATTATAATAAGAGATTTTAATACTTACTATTTACTTTAAGACCGGTACGAAAAAGAATTAGATAAAGTATAATACCTCCTAGACTAAATAAAAAACTAAGGGCTTTAATTAATTATATTAAAAAAGGAACTAACTTAGATCTTTAAGGGCTAAAAGGATAGGATAATTAACTATTATTAAATAACCTTTTTTACTTTTATATAATACCTTAGCCTTATATTATTCTTAGGATTAAACTATATCTTATAATTTACCTAGACTAGAGATAAATAATATATAAACTAATATACTAAACCTAATAACTTAGGTATAAATTAAAAAAAACTCGATATTAAAAGGGTAGAGGCCGAGGTATAGGTTAAGTTTCGGCCCGAGTACTAGCTAGACCCGGCTAATATAATATCACTTAATTATAGTATATATAAGATTATAACTATATTATAAAAGATCGCTAAGGTAGCGACGCTAAAAAAAGAAAAGGTTTCCTAAGGTTAGTATTACTTATAATATAATTAGGCTATATATATAGCTATCGAAGATACTAAAGAAAAATTATAGCGCTATTATCGAACGCGGACCTAAGAAGTATAAGAGGAGCTCTAGGATATATATAAGACCTAGGATTTGACTATAATAGAAGAATAGCGAGAGTCCTAGCGGACGGTATTATAAAACACCGCGGATAAAAAAAACTCCCTTTAGAGATTTAAGAAATAAGCTAGGCTCTAGAGCGGACTTCCCCCGGAACCGCCTAAGATACCTAACCTAATTACTTTTAGAAATATCGTAAGAATATACCCTTAAAAAGTAAGGGTATTAGCCGCGAGGTTCTTCTTAATTATTTAAGTATTTAAAAAAAGTAAACCGGTTATAAAGAAAACCCGGCTAAGACCTAACTAAGAGCCGCCTTAGATTATTATATTAAAAGATATTAAAGTAATCCTATAGAAGCTTAAATTATAGAAAGCGCCTAGAAAATATAATATATTAATAATACTACTTAAGGTATATAGAGAGTTACTCTAACGCTTATTTAATAAACTAATTTCGGCTAGTTTCTAGCTAAGATATTTCCCGGAAATATTAAATATAATAATTATAATTATATTATAAGAATTAAATTTTTTTTAAATTAAACTAAAGGGCTAGCGGCCTATCTCCCTCTTAAGTATCCTTAATAAAGTCTTTAAAATAGCGATATAGCCTAGAACTTTTACTTAAATAAATAAATAGGTAATAAAGAAAGCTAATTAATAAAAAAAGCGATATTAATTATAATTAATATAATTAAGGATTCTTAGGAGTATAATAGATATATAAGCTTACTCTAGCTTAATCTTAGCTTAGCGTTTAATAAAGTTAATTACTAAAAGCTCTTAAATTACTTAGAAATATTAAGGCTTCCGGGCTAGATCTTAAGCTAAGTAAAGTTATATCTTATAAACTAAAATATATAGATTTATTTTAATAAGAAGCTCTTAAACCGATTCTAGACTAAATAAAGGGTGCCCTAGGGCTTACCTTTTTCCTTAGTTTTCTTCCTCCTTTACTTTATAACTTTATATAATAAGCTCGAGATAGTTAGCGGAATAATAGATATAGGCTTTATAAATAATATAAATATCTTAGTATTTAAGAGGGACCCGGAGGATACCTAACCCCGGCTCGAAATAATATAAAGGTTCTATAAAGGATAAGTAAAAGAGTTTAAGGCGATCTTTAATTTTGTTAAAAATAGGGACCTAATGCCCCTATTAGGTGCCTTACGAGGCCCTCCCATATGACACTTGCAGGGGCCCCCTGGAACTTATAGGGATCTTTCAGGGGACTAATACAAGGGTCCACAGCGCTTACGAATGCGCTTACGAATGCAGTGCTTCTAAAGCCTTCTATAATATTCGAAGGTTAGCACTGCCATACTCGCTATTACAAATCAAACCTTCTGTAATCTTCCACTAGGTTCGGTTTGATCCACTCTTTTACAGGGCATTATAGCGCCCTCACGCCTATAAATATAGGCCTTCATTCACTACTAGATAGTTCTTTTGAATTAAGTCGTCATTCTTTTATCTGTTTGCCTACCCTAAAAATCATCGAATTAGTCGCGATCTTCCTTCCACTGCGCCTATTAAGAGTACTACTACTCTTTAATAAATTTATAAAAAAGCGAGCTTATATATTTCACGAAAAAAAAAAAAGTAATTATAACTAAGATCTAGGCTAGAACTATAACGATTTTACCGATAAATAAGGTATAATTCCTTAGATTTTAGCTCGAATAATACTTATCGTAGAAGCTATACCTAAAAATAATAGGCTAAAAGATAGACTAATAACGACGCGTACTCTTAGCGATTATAGGTAATACCTAAGGGATACTAGTTCTATAGGCGAGCGAAATCTATACTAAAGTTATTAAGTTTATAATCGCTTATAGTTATCATATTTATTATACCCCGATAAAGATAAATAAGAAGGCGCGTAAAATTAAGGTAGAATTAAATAAGACTTAAGCTAAGTACCTTAAAGAAGTCCTCGGGGCGTATAAATATATAGCGAGATAATACCTTAAGACTAAGATAGGAATACTACCTATAGATCTTTATTTTAATAAGCGCGTTACTTAGGCCTACGATTAGATAAGAACTAGACCTATCGAGGTAGCTAAGAAAGCCACGAGAGCCTAGATTAAATAAAGCACTAAGAAAATAAGGGAACTACCCGCTAACGAGGGATCGGGCCGGTTCTTAGCTAATATTATAAAATAGCTCGAGGGCTATAGCAATACTTAAGAAACCTATACCTAGGAGTAGATTAAAAAGTAAGAAAAAAAGGTATATATTAAGAAAAAGAAAGCGGGACTAGATAAATACCCGGCCGATTATAAACTATTTATAAAAAAAGCGATCTCTTATTATAAAAAACTCCCTTAATATATTATGTTATATATAACCTAGATTAGGATAGGATACCTCGGGCTTAAAGTTTTGTTATTTTAAAAGTATATATTAGATATATTAAACCCGCTATATAACTATAATAAAGGGAAAGAGGATACTTTTTACTTAATCTTATATTATATAAGTATCTTTAGGCCGGAAATAAGCTAGATAAGGCCTATATAAGATATTTAATAACGAGCCTATCCCTCGCTAGGACTATAATAAATTACGAATTAGCTCCTTAAAATAGCTAACTTAGAATAATCTAAACTCGCTTATTAGCTTAATTTTACCTATAATAAATAAAAATAAGGCTAAGAATAAGAAAAAAGATAATAAATATACCAAGGCTTAAAGAAAGATAATAATATAAAAAGAACCTATAAGGAATATATAAAGATTAAGGCCGGATATAGTACGGATATATATAAGGCACTAAAACCTATGACTTAATTTACCTTATTATAATAGAGTAAGGCTAGCTTATAAGTAAATATAAACTATTATACTAAATATACCTAGGACCCCGACCGGATCCGTATAGAATTTTAAGTAATAAATATACTAGCGGTTAAGTAAACGCGCGGGACCGACCGTATTAGTATCCTATTTACGATAAGGAGGGTAGCGGTCGGATATAGTACGGGCAGGGTCCGGGCCTAATACGTATAGAAGGTAAGGAGAATCGATTAAAATCTCTAGCTAGAGTAATAAAGGGTAAAGGGTAATAGCGGCACGAAGCTAGGTAAGAAATAAATAAGTATAAGTATAAGGAAAAAAGGAGTAAAAATAAAAAAATAATATATAAGTAAATAAAGTTCACGCGGCGTAGGGGCTAATTTAGTATAAATCCGGACCTAATCCCCTTAGAACCTTATTATAATAGTAAAAGTCCGGTAAAATACCGTATATAAATAAACACGCGGGCGGAATTAGCCTTAGTATAAGACTAGTACTATAAAAGCTAGTATTTTACATTACTTTTATTATAGTAAATAAAAGAGGATAGCGCTAAGGCTTTTACTTAGTTTTTCCTTAGGATTATATAGCCTAGATAGCCTAGCTAGCTAGCGTGAGCCACCTATAAGGGCGTATAATATATTATTATTATTATTATTTTTATATTCATTATTTATATATATTTCATAAGTTTTATTTTATATTAAGTTAAGTATAGACCGGGTATAGGTATTTATAATCAAATTATTAATAAATATTTCTTTTTTAATTTTATTTAAATTAAAAAAGGAATTAAATTTTAATTAATCTAAGGGTTAAGTATCCTCTAAAGAATACTTATTTTAATCCTTAGATTCTATAGCTTATTATTAATTTTTATAAAAAATATTTTTATATATTTTATTATAAATATTTTATTATTAATTTAATATTATTAAAAAACCTAATTATATTTAAAACAAGTATAATAAGCTTATATTATACTTCCTCTAGCTTAGCCTTTTTTAATTACTTAATTACTTACTAAATTATCGCTTTTAAAAGCCTTAGTATAAGATTATGAATTTAATTAAATATTTTAGATTATGTCACAGCTGGTCAAGAGCGGGGACCCACCCTGCACCTGGCAGTCACGTGAACTCGCGCCTGCCTTTGCATTTTGTCGCGATCCCGACCGTCTTCTGTTGTAGCTCTTCGAGCTACGTCTTGTACATAGAGCCTGCCCTACCTGAGGAGTGCCTATCCGTAGCAATAGACCAGATCAGCCTGACCGAGTGTTCCCCGTCCTACCTGCCGACCGACCCCCCCTAACATTACGTAGCTCCTACCCATAGGACGCTGAACACGATGACCTCCCGCCCGACGCCTCCAGAGTCACCTCAGGATACGCGCGCCTTCGCAGATGCCGTAGCTAGCAACCCTTCTGAATGGTTTCACTTCTGTCAACAGGCATACGCCTACATGGAATCCCAAGACACCTAGATTACGAACCTCACCGATCACATAGCTGCACTAGACGAGAAAACAGCCACCCTCGAAACCAAGATCATCGAGGAGAGCGCGGCTAACCGGAACCTTCTTGCTCAGATGAAGGATAAGGATATGCAGATTATCGAGGCAACCGTGACCGCCCGACTCGCCCAGCAAGCCAGCTTACCGACCGTACGAGTAATCACTCCAGAGGCTTCAGGAACCCCCCCCGCTGAAGAGGTCACAGCTCCTCACTTGGGAACGACTCCGCCGCCTGCTGCCGGATCTACCACCTCCTCCCGACTGTCTGAGAAGCTTCCCGACCCTGACAAGTTTGAAGGATCCCGCCCCGATCTCCGCCGTTTCTTACACCAAATCCACGCGAAAATGACAGCTAACGCCGACCGATTCCCTACCGCTACGAGCCGGTTGACGTACGTAGCCGGTAGGCTTACCGGGAAGGCATACGCCTTGATACTCCCCCGCACCGTCTTTGGAATCCCACAGTTTAGCGACTACCCCGAACTCCTGACTTATCTCGAAAACGCGTTCGGCGACCCTGACCGCGTCCAGAACGCCCAGAACCGCCTACACCAGCTCCGCCAGAGGCACCAAGACTTTAGCACGTATTTCTCGGAGTTCCAACGCCTCGCCTTAGAGGGAGAAATGGCTGATAGCAACCTAACGCCACTACTATTCCAAGGAATATCCCGTGAACTGCAGGATATGCTGCTTCACAACCCGCCCCCTAGCCGGGAGTTCCACCAATACGCCAACCACCTACAGACTCTAGACAACCGATACCGCCAACACCAGCAACAAATCCAGCGTAGCCAACCCCCGAGACCGGCTCTACACCAAAACCAGAGACAAACCTCCCCGCGCAGGGGACGCAGCCCTCCGAACCGCAGCCCTTCACGCCGCACGGTACCCGCCGCTATGACCGCCAACGACCCTATGGACCTGAGCAACCAACGCCGACCATGGGGCCCGAACCGGAGGGAAAACAACCTCTGCTTCCGCTGTGGCTCCGATAGTCACCATATTCGAGATTGCCGGAAGCCAGACACCAGACGCACTCAAGCCCGATTTGCCGCTTTAAATAGCGAAGACCTGTCCCCTGCTAGATCCCCTGACTCTCCCGCGCCGGATAGTCGGAGGTCAACACCCTCCCTAGACCGCACGGAAAACGGAGTGAGCCTGCCCTAAGTCACCGGCAGGTGCTAGCAGAACGTGCAACTACTGTCCCCGAGAAAACCGCTTGGAGAACGCTTCAAATCTCCTCGGCCGTTGTGCATGGCGTGCCGATTGAGGAGGAATATAACCAACGATCGAACCTGATGATTCTGCCTGCTGAACTACTTTTACCCGATAACATTACTTTACCCGCCCCCGTAATGCTTGACAGCGGAGCTGAGGGGAAGGCCTTTATCGACAGAAGCTGGGCCGAGAACCATGACCTAAGAATGCACCGACTGACACACCCGATTACGATCGAGGTGTTCGATGGCCGCCCCGCAGAGAGCGGCCAGATCACACACTATATCCGCAGCCGGATGCGGATAAACGACCACGAACAGAAGAACATAATGTTATACGTAACCCAACTTGGAAGCTACCCGATCGTGCTTGGGATGCCTTGGTTAAAACAACACGACCCTCTCGTTAGCTTTGGAAGCCACATACTACGCTTTAACAGCCCGTACTGCCAATAATACTATAATATGCCCGGACTTTCGTCAAAAGTCATAGCTATATATACCGTTCCTGCGAAAATCCGCCAGTATCTAAAGCCCGCCCCCGGACCACTAAGCCAACGCGATATCTTTCCAGTATCGTTAAGAGCCGCATCTATATATGCCCGAAGGAGCGATATGAGGCTATTCGCTATCACTATAGCCTAGATCGAAGAGATGATTATAGAACCTACCGAACAAGAACCTGCCTTACCCCCAGAGATCGCCGAGTTCGCTAACGTGTTCTCGCCTAAAGAAGCTGATAAACTACCGCCGCACCGACCTAGAGACCACTACATCTAGTTAAAAGAGGGAAGCATACTACCGTTTAGACCCTTGTATAGGATATCTCGAGAGGAACTAAAGACCCTAAAGGAGTGGTTAAAGGAGAACCTGCGAAAAGGATTCATTCGACCAAGCTCCTCCTCTATGGCGTCCCCTGTGTTATTCGTTAAGAAGAACGATAGCGGACTACGCTTCTGTGTCGATTACCGCGCTCTAAATAACGTTACTATTAAAGACCGATACCCGCTGCCGTTAATTAAGGAATCCCTGAATAACCTGGCTGGCATGCGATATTTCTCGAAGATCGATATCGTCTCTGCGTTTAATAATATCCGGATGCGCGCAGGGGAAGAGTACTTGACCGCCTTCCGCACTCGATTTGGACTATACGAGTCGCTTGTTATGCCATTTGGAATGACTGGAGCCCCTGCAACCTTCCAGAGGTATATTAATGACGTACTGAGAGAATACCTTGATATTTTCTGTACCGCCTACTTAGACGATATCCTGATCTATAGCCGAACGAGGTCCGAACACGAAGAACACCTACGAATAGTCCTAAAAGCCCTGAGGAACGCTAGGCTATATGCCAAGATATCAAAGTGCGAATTCTTCGTGACCGAGACGAAATTCCTAGGCTTGATTATCGGCCGAGAGGGAATCCGAATGGACCCTGAGAAAGTCCGGACCGTGAGAGACTGGAAGACGCCGACCTGCGTTACCGATGTGCAAGCCTTTCTGGGTTTCGGTAATTTCTACCGGAGATTTATCTAGGACTACTCGAAGATCACCGTACCCTTGAACCGCCTGACTAAAAAGGGAGTCCCGTTTTATTAGACTACTAACTGCCGTAACGCCTTCGAAGGCCTGAAAACCGCTTTCAGCACCGCCCCGATACTAGCCCTATTTAACTAGGAAAAGAATATTATCCTAGAGACAGACGCCTCCGACTACGTCTCCGCTGGGGTGCTATCCCAGGTAGGGGATGATGGGATACTGCGACCTGTTGCCTTCTTCTCGAAGAAGCACACTACTACTGAGTGTAACTACGAGATCTACGATAAAGAACTGATGGCTATAATTCGCTGCTTCGAGGAATGGCGCCCGGAGTTGGAGGGAGCCTCTTCACCGATCAAAGTGATCACCGACCACCGCAACCTAGAGTACTTCACCACAACGAAGCTACTAAACCGAAGACAAGCCCGTTGGTCTGAGTTCCTATCACGATTTAACTTTCAGATCACCTACCGACCCGGGAAGCAAGGTACTAAGCCCGACGCTTTAACCAAGAGGTCAGAGGATCTCCTAAAGGAGGGGGATAAACGCCTTCTCTACCAGAGCCAGACAGTACTAAAGAGAGAGAACCTAGACCCGAGGGTAAGGTTCCACGCCGCTCGCTTACTAACCGAACTTCCTACCGACTTGTCCGACCTCTTTAATAAAGGCTATACCGCTAATGAAATCCTAGAATCTATTTAAGAAGCGATCCGTAAAGGCAAGCGACGCCATGCCCGTATCACACTATCTGAGTGCACCGAGAACCATAACCGCCTATACTTCCGAGACCGCTTGTACGTCCCTGACCACGACGAACTAAAGGCTGAACTGCTCCGCCGCTGTCATGAGTCACCCGTTGCCGGACACCCTGGACGAGCCCGCACCTACGATATCCTATCCAGAAGTTACTTCTGGCCAGGCATGCTGGCATACGTGGAAAGATGGATCAAGAACTGTCACACCTGCCGCCGGTCTAACCCGTCCCGAGACGCCTACCAAGGAGTCCTAAAGCCGCTACCGATCCCCGAACGCGCCTGGAGAGACGTGTCAATGGACTTCATCACACACCTGCCTCCGAGCCAGGGATACGACGCAATCCTCGTCGTAGTAGACCGTCTAACGAAGATGAGACACTTGATACCCTGCAAAGCAACCTGCGATTCGGCTGAGACTGCCCGTCTATACCTACACTATGTCTGGAAGCTACACGGCCTACCATTAACTATTGTATCCGACCGAGGCCCCCAGTTTGTTTCTGAGTTCTGGAAGAGCTTGAACCGACAGCTACAGATCAAGAGCCTATTATCAACCGCTGTACACCCACAAACGGACGGCCAGACTGAACGCTTTAATGCTATCCTGGAACAATACCTGCGATCCTACGTATCTTATCTGCAAGACGACTGGTCTACCTGGCTCCCGCTAGCTGAATTCGCTGCTAACTCCTGGAAATCCGAGACTACTGGCATGTCGCCGTTCTTTGCTAACTACGGCTCCCACCCCCGGATGGGGTTCGAACCAGATATCCCTACCGCTAATACTCCCGCCTCCCGGGACGCAGAAAGCTTTGTTCGCAAGATGAAGCAGATCAATAAACACCTACAGTCCGAATCAACCGCCGCCCAAGCCCGCTACGAAGACCAAGCGAACCGGAACCGCCGACCTGCCCGCACGTATCGTACTGGAGACTTAGTCTGGCTGGACGCCCGAAACCTGCGAACCCTGCGGCCGCAGAAGAAACTAGACTGGAAGAACATCGGCCCCTTAAAGGTCGAGAAGGCCGTGTCGCCGTACGCCTACAAACTAGAACTACCTGCAAGTATAAGAGTACACCCTGTGTTCCACGTCAACCTACTCCGACCCGCTACCAATAACCCCCATCCCGGACAACGCATCGCACCCCCGCCGCCTATTGAAGTTGATGGGGCTGAAGAGTTTGTGGTACAAGAGATAGTAGATTCCCGCTGGGAACGAAGAGGCCGAGGTAACCCACGATTGCGGTATACTGTAAAGTGGGTTGGGTATGATGATCCGACCGAAGAACCCGCAGAGTATCTGGAGAACGCGCAACAGATCGTCGCCAACTACCACCGCCGATATCCCGATAAACCTGGTCCTTGATGAATACTCGCAGGAGCTCGCCCTTGAAAGGGGGGCGTATTGTCACAGCTGGTCAAGAGCGGGGACCCACCCTGCACCTGGCAGTCACGTGAACTCGCGCCTGCCTTTGCATTTTGTCGCGATCCCGACCGTCTTCTGTTGTAGCTCTTCGAGCTACGTCTTGTACATAGAGCCTGCCCTACCTGAGGAGTGCCTATCCGTAGCAATAGACCAGATCAGCCTGACCGAGTGTTCCCCGTCCTACCTGCCAACCGACCCCCCCTGACAGATTATATATTTATTAACTTTATTATTATTTTAAGCCTACTCTATTTAGTAAATATGCTTATCTTATAGTTTAGGTAGTAAATACTTTACTTAAGGCTAGCGCGGCCTTTATTAATAGCTATTGGCTCCTTAATAATAGCGTTCTTATCTTATTTATAAGGCGATATCGTGCTTTAAGAAAGTTTAATACTATAGACTCGTTTTTAGTATTCTTATTAATTTTAGGCGCGGTTTCGTAACTTTATAGCTATTTTCTAGCTACACGAGAAGTTTTTTCTAAATATATAAGTATAAATAAATAATATACTCCTTATAAAAGCCTTAATAAACTCTAGTTATAATTCATATATTTTTATAAATAAAAACCTTATAATATAATAAGACTCAGCCTTTTATTACTAAAAAATTATTCCCGCTACTTAAGGGGATATTCTAAGGAAATTAAGTAAAAAAAAAGTAATAACCCTGATCACCAAAGCACGTCACGTATACTGGCATGAACGCACGGGCCCCGTAATATACCCCTAAGTATAAAGCCCGCAAACTCTACTTTTCTCTTTCCTTTTTACTTATTATTAGCTAGACTTAACCTATGTTACTAAGTTATCCTAACCAGGCCTAGCCTATAATATAACTAACGATCTATCTAACAATATAGCATATTCGTATAGCACGAGCTACGATATCTAACGAATAAGTATTTAGAGTACCTCCCTAAGTAATGATATAAATTATTAAATAAATATATACCTTACTCCGGCCGATATAAGAACAAATTATAGAGTTCTTAGAGGTTATTTATAGCGTGAATATAATACTTACTCCTTCGCGGGCCCCTAAATATATTATATATATTGCCCCTACCGGTAATGCTATTATAATACTTTAATAATGTCTTTACTAATATAAGGCTTATTAAGATACTAAAAAATAACCAATTAATTATACTATTATTTAATAATTAGTATAAGTATAAGGTCGCTTAAAGACCCTATCCTTAAGGTAAACAAAGCATAGTTTTAT